ATAATTTAACAAAATATGCAAATGATGCATTGTTACTTTAAATTTTGGGGACCTGCATATGTGGTCTCCATAATGGTTTTATTTTGGTTTCTATACATGTAAATTTAGGTATTCATAAGATTTAGCAAATTTTCAGATAAATCAATCTTTGGGGATCTGATAGCCTTGATTGTCTTGATTATTCTTAAAGGTGTACATTTTTAAATACCAGTATATGAGGCTTAATATTTATTTTAAAGCTGGAAAGTTCATTTCTCATGTAAATTTTCTGTTAAAATATTTACAAGATTTGTCAAAAAAGTTAAAATTCCAACCTGATAAAAACTCTTGGTAGAATTTACTAGTGCAGGTAGTTTACTTAGAGTTTGTGTAATAATTTTAACACCAGTATCTCATCAATTGTAATTGTTTGCCAGTGTTTCCAAGCACTTAACAAATATACTGAGAGATATAGGCCACCTTTAGTTTACTTTATTTTAGCTTATAGTAAGATACATGTTACCATATAATGAGTTCACCTTAACAGATCCCCACACCATTATCTTCATTCTGTCTATGGGACTTTGATTTAGTATATAATGATAAAAAAAAAGGTGGATTTTTTTTATCCATTTACAAGAGATTTTAGGGTTAACACAATTTTTATACTTGGAACTAAGATATTGTATACTTTTTCTTCAATAATCAATTACAAGTAGAGGCCTTTAGCGGTAACCAAAGTACCTGGAGAAAACCTGTGTCATTAGGCAGACAGCCCTTCTCCAGGTTACATATAAACCCAAGACTGAACCCATAGATCCTAGGCCCCAGCCAATCCCCCAACAGAAACAGAATTGTATGAACAGAAATTATGAACGTGTAAGTAACACCATTCTCCATCATAGGTACACAGTTCAGAATACTGTGTAGAGTTGTTCTAGGTGCATTCTATTAAAATTACATCACTATATATTTTGAAGCACCTGATGATAATTTAGTGTTTTTTTTGTCAGTGTAATGAAGAATAGGTAATAAAACCATATTGGCAACACCCCGCTAAGTTTTAATTGAAAAAAAAACAACTGACATGAAAAATTTTAAAAAATCCCTTGTCTAAAAGACGATGATTTATCTAAGCAAAAAATGAATCACCTGAAATAAGAAAGAACATAATTTATTATTCCAGTGCCTGCTATCACCAAAAAGTAAGCAAATAAACATACATATGATTTGTTTTAATAGTCAAGACGTTGAGTATTATTAGTTTCCACAAGTCTACTAATTTTAAAATCGAATCCAAAACCCATTTCACATTAACTCACTTGATTTTGTCAGCATTTTGAGGAAACTGAAGAACATTTCAAGAACGAACCGAGGTAGGCAGGTAATTTGACAAATCGGTGATCTTCAGAAATGAAATGAAATGGGGATTAAGAACCTACTTTTCTGTCTGCACTAACCTGGCTAATGAAGACAGACTTGTGTAATGCAGTGTGCTATGATGGAAATTTTTCCCAGGCGGCGAATTCCAACTGCCAGGAATTCTTCTACGTGCATGCCAATGAATACACGAGACCTCGGTTTTCCATACAATCCGAATAACTGGGTCGCTGGTACTACAAGGTTTTAGACCATTTTGCTTCAGACAGCAAATTCCAACTGCCAGGAATTCTTTTTTGTGCATGCCAATATATGCGACCTTGGTTTTCCATCCAATACGAATGACTGGGTCACTGGCAGTACAAGGCTTTAGACCATTTGGTCACTCGACTCCCCTAAAAACTGATAAAATTTGATAACTTTGTGTAAGAAACAAAGTGTTTGGTTACACAATAAAAATGAGGATATGTATGTATGATAGTTTTTAAACAGTGTTGAGTTGCAACTGCTGTCAACATACTGATAGTACTGTAGCCATTATTATTTAAAACATGCCCATAGACCAAATTCAAAATTTCTTTCAATAAGTCACCAAGAACTTCTTGTAAACATTAAAGGAGTATATGATATGATATCAAGTAAATTGCCTGTTTCCGCTAACAATTAATGACAGTTGACGACAGTTAGAAATTAACATCAGATAGTCCTTACTGGGTTGGATTTTTTTCAAACTTGGCTCGTTGGATTGTAATGAAGAGTTTTTCCTCAAAAGAAAAGAAGCCTATATCCTGGTGTATGTGTGATCCTTGTAGTAAAGCGCAGACAGTGTGTGTGGCAACCACATGTTATTTGTTGTGTTTACATCACGGTATGTCATCATACTCTACAGTTCACATATCACGACTGACAGACACTGTCTCAGAAATATAGCAAAGATCATGATATCGTGTGGCAAAATTCATAATCCTGTATGAAGTTTTTGAAATTGAATATTTATTTGAGCAGTCTGATTCGGTTCATATTAGAAGAAAATAATTATGCTAAAAAGAGAATAATCCATAGCTCAGGAAGTGCTGTAGTGGCAGTTTGGCTTTGTAGGCTATTTTCCTGAAGGCGACCACACCCTACTCTAACATTTAATCTTTGATATTGTTTTACTTTAAATGACAGATAAAAAAAAAAATCAGATATTGTATTTTTTACTGTAGACCTACCGAAACTATATGTATATGTATGGATATTGATTACAAAAAAGCTCTTTCTTATTGGCATTTGACTGATGTATGAGGTTAATCGGAACATTCTTAACCTATTTTGAGGACAAAGAGGCCCCTTTTAAAAAAAACAAACACATCTATAAATTAAATTAGCTTTATGATATGTAAAAAGCGTATATAATTAGCTTGGTAACATAGAAAAAATATATATATAATTAGCTTTATAATATGTAAAAGCTTTATAATACGTAAAAAGTATAAATAATTAGCTTTATAATATGTAAAAAGTATATATAATTAGCTTTATAATATGTGAAAAGTATATATAATTAGCTTTATAGAATATAAAAAGTATATATGATTTTTTTCCTATTTAGACCCCTACAATAAAATATGAATGAAAACTATAATTCAAAAATACATGCATGTGGCTCGTCTCAAAAACTTTCAGTTCAAGTTTTCAACACGAGTGGCTATTTATCAAGACCCTAAAGAACTAAAAATTAAATTACTTTGGTCTTATTTATAGTTTATGTTATTTATCAAAAAATGTATATTTTTATGGCTTATTTTGAGATTTTATTTGATATCAACATACATTCACAGATATAATTGTATTAATGAATATAAAAGTGTCCTTGTATAAAGTGTTATGTCAATATTTAGAAAGGTTCACTTATCTAACTGATAAACAATTATATTTACAGTAGTTTACAGTATAAATAGGTTTTTATGCAGTCGATAGCATAACAGAGATAGCTAGTCTTGTTAGCTTTACAACTAGCTTTCAGATTTAGAACAGTTGGAGTTTTCTTGAGCCATTTCAGAATCTGCCAACCAAATTTTCTTATCTAAGATATTTCATTACAATCATAATTTGACTGATCAAGATTTTGGAACCCAATAACTTTGAGTGAGAGTGATGAAACTTGGGTATATGATTTTCATTACATCATTACCCTTGACTGAGTTCAACGATGAGCACTTTATGCGAAGGCTAAGCAGATATAATCAATTTGATTAGTCAAGACTTTTGGAACGCAATAATCCTGCTTTTAATTGAGGTGTCAATAATGAACATATACTGCTGAGGTTAAGCAGAATGATAAGCAATTGATTGGTCAGTGCTTATGAAAAGCATAGAATTATACTTATTTTGAGATAGAGATGTTAGATATCATCCTCACTGTAGGATTATTTTCCTTATGTTTTTAAACACTCTTCCAGAGAACTTTTCAACAAACCAACTGTATATTATTGGTTTAAATCTTTAAGATTTTATTGTGTATCTCTTTTATTTACATATTTGTTTGTTTACCTTTTATTACTACAGTAGTTCTACTTATGTGTCTTGGATATCTACCATATTAGTTTCTGCAGTCGTTTTTTTTTTGGAGTCTAAAAAATATAAGGAGCCGTGACATTGGTACAAATTAATATTCTATTACTCATGAATATCACTACTGACTGATGAAGCCATGAGATCATATTTTTAACTCTCAATCATTAAAAACTTTCATGAAAAAGGCCACCTACCCTTCTTGAAGAAATGCTATAATGGTAGGAAAGGGCAGTCGGGTGGATCGTACATGCTGCGATACTTTTCTTTAATGAAATACTGATAATATTTCCATACAATTAAAGTAGAGTTAAATGTAAAAAGCTCATTCAAGATTTAAGTGCACACTTAGAACATAGCAACTTTTATCAAAATAACCTTCCTGCAGCTACTGGATATTTATATGTTTACAAGATAATAGACCTAGTAGCCTATTAAATAATAGCCTCTAAATTACACTCCTTCACGTCAGGTTTTTTTTTTTGATAAGATTATTTATTTCTATGGGTTTAAACTGGTAGATGAGATGAGAGTATAAGAAGATGATATAAGGATTGTGGCATGTAGATCTATATCTCCGTCTGATTTATCATATATTTACATAATTATTTACGTTATTATTACAATTCCCCCAAGAATTATTACTTGTATTTTATTTAAATGGACCAAATCAAACAGACAAGAACATAAGAAACATACAAATGGATGTCTTGTTGGAAATTCCATCTCGTGTTATGAATGCTTGGTTTTGTTTTTTAATTCCGTTTTCATTTTGAAGTTTCAATTTATCATACCAGGCTATTATGGACTGTGCCTGTTGCGCAGTATTGGGTTTTACTATAAAGATGTTTAGGGTAAAATGCCCTGATGGACTCGTTCCCTTTAAGTGACTTAATGGTTGAAAATCTAACCCTAGAATTTCATTGATCTACAACCAAGTAAATGCACCCACTAAACTTTTGGTATTTTGTCAAAAGCTCTTTAAAATCAGTTAAGACTTATCTTAAACATGCATTTCAATTTCCAAGATGATAAAAACTTGAAATTTCTGAACTATTGTACATTAAACTCTTTTTCTTTTCCAGATCCTCATATAAAAGTTATTGGATACCCAGAAGATGTTAAAGTCGCCAAAGATAAGATTGTTGCTATACTTGATACAAAGGTAAGATGAAATTAATGGATTATGATCAACAGATTTATTTCATCAGCCCTAAATTCTATTACAGCTGACTAAGAAACTACAAAACCAATGGAGGACATACCATTTCCATGGAAACACAAAAATTATTAAATCTGAGAAATTTCTAATTAGCAAAAAGCATAACTAGGCCCTACTATAATAGGTTGATGTGTGTACAGATTTTAACAGATGCCTTGAGTGCTTTATGAGATATAGTATATTAAAATCTAACTCTAAGTGGTTTCCATGGAAACACAAAAAATATGAAATCTGAAAACTTTTGAATTAGCAAAAGGTGCAACTACAATAATAGTGTGATGTGTATCTGAGTGACTGTAATTCACATTTGACAAGGAGAAACCAGTCTGGAAAACCCTGACAAAAGTTCTCAGACAACACATGGATAGTTATTAAACCAACGCCATAAGCACCAAGCAACCATGGCTTCACAATGTGTACAACTTGTATTGAATCTTTAAACATCTATGGATTGACAGATGTTGCATAATGAAATCTCAACCAATTGCAAAGCATTCTCCTAGCGACCTACAAATATCTCTAAAGTGTTAATGCCTCTTTAACTTTCGAAATAATGGATTTCATCTCATCACCATTTACCATTGACATTAACATTAACATTGTTATTACTACTATACTTCAAATATTTTCTTAAGAAGAATTTTTTCTAAGAACAAATGTTAAGCATCTATAAAAATTATTTTGTCATATTGATTTTTCTTTTGTCTTGTTCGTAGATTCAATTATATTGTGTTATACTGTCCCTAATCCCCGATATATTACAGTATATATATTGTTTTCTACTCTGTATATATTAAGTCTAGCTTGTAACCCGCTGTACGTGTTTTGTTTTGGTCGTAGGGTTTGGTAGCTCGCAATCTTCTACGGTGCCGAATACCCGCAAGTGACGTAAGACTCACGCACATATTTACTAAAATTCACCCCTTAGTAGCATGTACAGCAGGATGTGACCTAGGCTTTATGTAGAACTCTTATTGACTTACAACAACCATTCTTGTAGTTTTGCATTCTACGTTAGATTTTCCAGCTTGGTTTCTCCTTGTCAGTGGTGTAGGATGGAGTGTCTAGTTCTTGTTGGTGTACACGTAAAAGCTCCACTGCCTGAGCAAAATTCTTCTCACAGCACACCACATATATGTACATGTATGGCGGTCTTCATTAGTCTGGTGTCTCCAGAAAGACATTACATTTCTTTTGTTCTGAAGTTCTACCTTATATTATGTCATGACATATTTAATTATATAGATAACTTTCCTGTAAATAATAGTCATATACTTTAACAAGATTTGACGAGATGTTAAACATCTTGCAGACTTGCATTTCATTTTAAGAGTTAACCTGCTTCTTAAGGGAGGGCAAAGAGTACAGGGTGACCTGTTATGTGCACATAAAAGATCCCTTGTCAATTTGTCAGTGGGACAATAAACCCCCTTGTAATGCAGAATTTAATTTATATTAAACAATATTTATTCATGATAATATTCCATGGATAATTCATCTCGATACTGCTAGCACCATACCAAGGCAGGACTCCATGGATAATCCAACTTCATACTGCTAGTACCAGACCAAGGCAAGGACTCCATGAATAATCAAACTCTATACTGCTAGCACCATACCAAGGCAGGATTTCATAGATAATCCAACTCCATACTGCTAGTACCATGGATAATCCAATACCATACTGCTAGTCTTGTACCATACTAATTTATTATACCATGGTTGATTAACAACATGATTATCATCAACATACATGTAGAAGTGGCCCTGTCTGGGGGGAATTTCCCTCATAGAACACTGAACACTGTATAGAGTTAGCTCATCTTCATTAGCCCAGTTGGTACAGAAATCTAGGACGTTAAGCCCTATTTTCTGTGTCTGTAGGATTATCCTTTTATTATAAATTGTGTAAGCATATTGACTTCATAAAACAAGTAAAGACTTTTACTTATCACCTATTTTCAGAACTAGTTTATATAATCAGACCGTATGTTTACAAACAAAGGATGTAATATTTGACTGTAGGTAAAGCAGACACCATGAATTAATGATCAGTAGAAAGGTTACCGTCTGCTAACTGGGTTGATGCCAGTACTGTTTATACCATTTTATTATAAAACATTGTTGGTGGTTGATTAATATGTTAAAAGAGACATTCTAATTACATCTGATATTATGTTTTAATTATTTAATTAAATCTGCTGATAGTCATTTAAGGGTTTTTGAATCCATTTCAAATTACAATATTGTAATATCACTCCAATAATGATTCAGTATTCAGTATTCAGTCAACACCCCCTATAAGTTAGATAAAATCTTTTGATGGGTTTGTTTTTAATCCCATTGAATTTTAGTAAATAATCAATTTGAGTATATTTTAGTAAATAATCAGTTTGAGTACATTTTAGTAAATAACCAGTTTGAGTACATTTTAGTAAATAATCAGTTTGAGTACATTTTAGTAAATAATCAATTTGAGTGCAATTCATGCTGTTGTAAAATTAGGTATTGGCAGAAAAATACCAATTACAATCATTGGCATTAATAGGTTTTTTTTTATTCTATTGTGTTAGCATAAACATAAATAAAATGTATTTAAATCTACAGTAAATGAAGTTTGGTGGAATCACCTTTCATGAGATCTCATGTCTAGTGAACTACATCGCTAACCAGAAACCTCTGTAATAGAGAGAGAGCGACAGGGTTTAGCATCCAGAGGACATATCTGAAAACCAACAAGGTTGCCATATACAACCTGGGAATAGAAACCATGCCACTTGACCTTATGACCTAAAGCACATGTCTTTGACCATTTGCCTAATCTGTAATAGATTAGATTTATAAAACTACTGTAAGGAAATGGAAGGGGGTCTGTCCAAAAATGCTCCAAAGGTTAAATTTCTCAGCTGTGCAAAACTTCATAGTCATTTGAATGGAAGAGAAACCAGGGTGGATGGCAGTAGTCTGGTAAAATTCAACAGATTGTTGCACAACAAGCAGTGTCGTCAACAGGAAAGAATGATTAAAAAGTAAATAGTTAGTGTTAGTTGTATTTTACGTCCGCTTCCACCGAGGTGATATCGCAGACAAGTTAAAAAGTAAATTATTCACTTCATTTTTAACTCACCCACTGCTATTGAATTCTTGTCTTTGTTTTGTGCTGTTTTTTCATCACCATTATTTCATATACAGTCATATATATATATATATGTATACAAGCCTGGAAATGGCTGTTTAAGTTTTACCTGCTGACAAAATGGCTGGCACTAATAAACTTGTACCTGACATTTTAAACTTTGTGCCAGACATGTATTAATAATATCAATATAATAAAACTCAGAAAATACCAGTAGGTAAATCTGTTCCATAAAAAATGGCAAATTGTGCCTGATAAGCCTAATATGGGCTATGCCTGTTTATATAAAAAGAAAGCTTAAATTTGTGTCAGACAATATCTGTGATGGGTGCCATTTCTGGGCTTCTATATCTTTGTCTTCAAATCCAGGAATTAGTCTTTAGATTTAATTTATTCATGGAATTTGCATCATTTATTAATGATGATAAGACATCAGGATGCTATACCTGTTGTAATTATTATGACAGTCATTGGCCAGGTATTTCAATGAATCACTAATTAGCATTGAGTAAGGCTATAATGGATCAATATAATTCTCTTAAGCTATAGCGTATCCCTACCTGTACATATGTAGTGTACAGCACCTAGATAACTCATGACCATATTGTATCAATACTCATTGATTTTGTGGAAATTCCAGGTGACACGATAATGATTCAACATATGAAATCACCACCATATGACGCTGTCCTAAAAATATGTGATGACAATGGTTTTTGTGGCATTTATAATACTGAAATATTTCATTCCTGCCATTTGAGTCCGTCCTAAGCTTGTAGTAAGACGTGATATGAATTAATGTTGTATTACGTTTATGATTTGACGACATTGTCTTAAGCTTATAATGTTGTCACTCAGCTGCCAGCTTTAATCGGAGTTCCTTGTGCTGGATTAGATATTATTGTTTTGGTTTTGACACTTATCAAGTACTTTAACAATGAATCAAATAATGGCGCCAAAAAATAAGAAAAACAAGGTAAAGTGTGAATTTTTTGTGAAAATCCAGTGTTTTGGTTTATTTGTTATTGATTATATTTTGCTCAGTATTATAGGTTAGGTTGTTTTTAAACTGGTACAGATTAATGTATTGTGTATGTGATTTTGGAGAGAGGTTGGATGGCCGATTGGTTAGCATGTGCGCGCTGTATCATAAGGTCGGTTATTGAGTCAACAGGCGTGGTTTCGATTCCCCGGTTGTACATGACAAGGAGTAGGGTCTGCTGCCAAATCTCCTTAGTTTTCTCCGGGTCCTCTGGTTTCCTCCCACTGCTAAAGACCTCTGCGTGCAAGCGAATTATTGAAATAAAATTGAACCATGTGTTAGTCCCAGAATGACCTAATTTGTGTCGACTGGATGTTAAACCCCATTTCTCTATGTGATTTTGGATTTGATTTAGAGGGCCATGCCTCTTTTTTAAACAAATAGTAGAATATTGGAAATGGTGTAAGAAATCGGGCTTGACATCCCTCCACCACAAACTAAGTCATTTTGGAACTAACTTATGACAAATCTTTGTTTCAATAATTCACTTGCTTGTAGGGAGGGGTATTTAGCATTTGAAGAAAACCAGAGGACCCAGAGAAAACTGAGGTTTGGCAGCAGGCCCTACCCCATGTCATGCACAAACCACACCCCTTAACTCAATGAAAACCAGGTAGAACTATTGAGATTTTTTCAAGTCGGCCCTACTCCTTGTCACATACTATCTTGGAATCAAAACCACAGAACTTGACTGAATGACAGATCATCTGTTCTAAAGCGCACTCGTCAGTCCACTCGATCAACCAACCCCCTCTTTCAATTTGATCAGAATAAATTATTAAATTGGGTTGATGTGGTGTGTTATTAAAACTAGTGATACAACAAGATTTATAGAATTACAATTTTATTTCAAGCACAAGCTTGTTTACTGATTTTAGTTTCATTTAAAAATCATAGTCTGTTGAATACAACATGATCAGTTATATCTCTCTACATTAGGTTAAACATACATTATGTAAGATTTAGTTAAAGAGCTAGCCATTCTTGCTATAAAAGTTGAAAAATAGATATATAAAATGAATAATTTGAAAATTTCATTCAAATTACTCTATTGCGAGCAAAGATATTAGCCTTTGGAGGTTTGACAAGGCGTGTGCTATAACTGCAACCACCGTACTGGTTGTTCAAAGCTAAGTCTCACTCCTCCATTTTTAAATGAAATCGAAATATAGCTGACCTGTTCTAATCTATTTAATATCGGAGAAATCTGATGCCATCAAGAGAAGATTATGGCCTGGATCAGTTAGTTAATATCTAATTAATAATTTAGAAAACATTTCAGGCATCAAGAAAGACCAGGAATAGGCAGATTTAGCTCTTGCATAATGTATGTTTAATCTGTTAACCTGAAATTTTAAATGTAGACACATATCCATATCGCAAAACATATCAGCACATCAAATTTAAATAAATAAATAATTGTTGTCTTGTTTTATAACCCAAATCAAAGGATTCATCGAGTTGGCTCTTGTGAACACTCTTCAGACTACATTTATCAACCAATGTTTTTAAATTTTATATATGTGTTTACATTAGTGAGACGAAGAGGTTTGATGAATTCAACAGTTTCCGTTAATTACTTCTATTTTTTTTTTAACCATGATTTTACATTTTATTTTGCAGGGAAACAGGGTAACATTAAAGATGGATGTATCCCACACGGAGCACTCCCATGTGATAGGAAAGGGAGGTAATAATATAAAACGTGTGATGCAGGACACTGGTTGTCATATTCATTTTCCTGATTCTAATCGAGGCAGCAATGTTCAAGAAAAAAGTAACCAGGTAAGAAAGATTTGAAATTTGAAATCAGGATATTAATATGAAGTGTATGACTGTGTGTACAAATCTCCCAATCTTGGTCTTATAGAAATATAATATGAAATGTAGAACTGTTTGTATATAAATCTCCCAAACTTTGTCTTATAGAAATAATAATTAAATGTGAAATCTAGTACGGAAAAATGTTGGACAGCTTGACATAGTGTATAAAATGAAATGAAATGGATAAAGCTAAGGACAATGTAACTTAATAACATACTTTTTTAAACTATTGATATTCTTCAAGTTAAACATACATTATGCAAGAGCTAAATCTTCCTATTGCAGGTCTTTCTTTATGCCTGAAAGGTTATCTAAATTATTAATTAGACATAATTAACTTATCCAGACCATAATCAACTCTCGATGGCATCGCTAGCCTGCAATGTTTATTGGATTAGGTTCTGATTTCTTGTTTGACTTCCATTCATAATTTAAACATGAAATGGATAATCGAGACTGTTTTTTTATCATACAGACTTTAGTAATGATGATCGAGGCTAGGCCGAAAAGTCAATTGCTAAAATCTTGGTTCATAGTGGATCAATTTGACTGAAATTTTCAGCAAATTGCCTTTACATTATCGTGTTTTTAACTATTATAGTGAGAACTGTCAGCTCCTTATCTAATCTCCCATAATGTATCTTTAAAAAAAGGAAATAAAAGTGTGACATCTCTACTGTGTTTGAATACAATGAAGCACAATTTCAAACTTGTTGTCAAAACATTATATATTGATTTTCAGAATTACTGTCTTTCATTATCTTTGAATGAAGCAAAAGGTCAATTATACCATTTTACTTAATTCAATTTTGGCTTAAAAAGCTGGACTTAAATATCTGGTCCTAAAAGTGTTTTTTGTTTGTGTACAGGTATCCATAGCAGGCCAGCCAAATGGTGTAGAAACAGCTAGAGCACAGATTAGGGTAATATATCTATATACTTATTATTAGTGTCTTATATTTATAAAAAACATACTTTATTAAACTATTTCCAAACAACTTTGAGCATTTAATATTTTTCTTCCAAACATCTCATGCAGAACATTTAATATTTAACATTTTTCATATTTTCTACCAAATGTGTTGAAGCATTCAATATTTTCTACCAAACATCTTGAAGCATTCAATTTTTTTTCTACCAAACATCTTAGAGCATTCACTCCATACAAACTGTGTCCCTTGTTAGATAGGTAAAAAAGTTGAATGTTAAGATTTGATTCTCTTTCAGGAATTACTGCCATTAGTGTTTATGTTTGAGTTACCTATGACAATACCAGAAACCACAACTCCGGCCATTCAGCAAATCCAAAATACTTATAACGTAACAATTAGTATTAAACAACGACCTCGTATGTATGTCACCACAGTGATCGTACGTGGATCAGTTAATAATACTAAAGCTGTTAAAGAAGCAACATGTAGACTTGGTGAACAACTCACTGGTAATGTAAGTATTTGTTGTGAATCTTTAGGGATTAAAAATGTTCCATGAAATTCAGGGTAATTATGATAGATTGTTAAGTGTGATGGTGGCTTAGTGAGTTTGAATCTGCATCATTCACAAGGAGGTCTAGGGTTCAATCCCACTGCTGACAAAGTTTAAGATGTTCAAGATTTGTTTTTCCTTGTTATTGGTGCAGTGAGAAACATCTAGTTGTTTGAACGGCCAAAAAAAACTGAAATTCTGTGTATACCACTGGCACCACGTTAATGATCCCCTGACAGTTAGAAATCAAAGTAGGCCATCCGGTCAAACTTTCTCTCATCATAGCACATGTATGCCCATCTACAGTAGCTCGATTGGTGCATAAAAGTAATCCCATTTAATTTATAAATCAGAACAATTTTTTCTAATTCTGTATTAAATTAATGTGTATCAGCATGGGTTTATGATGTTTATATTTAATAAATGATATGTTAGACCATACTTCAATTTAAAAATAATCTCTTAACGATATTATAGGGTGGTCTGATTACTTCTTTGTGTTCTTCTGTGTATTTGTACTAATATCAAAATAGTGGTATGATAGTTGAATACCATTGTTGCCATAGTAGTTATCAACATCTACATAGCCTTGATTAATCAAAATTATTCTTATGGTGAAACCATTTGGCAGAAAATGTAAACATCCGCTGTTTGAGGAAAACAACATAGATATTGATATGCATGTATGCGTGCCCAATTTAAAAAAAAAGTTTAACTTTTGTTGCAATGTTTGTTCATGGACTGAGAAGAACTATCAGAATTTTCAAGCCCATCTCTTTCTGGTCCGAGGTGGCGTTATTGTACAAATGGCACAGAAAAAAAAAAAATGTGGTCCCATTTACAAATTGGTTGTGCATGTAAAATATCCCTTGGCAGTTGGAATTTGAAGAAGAGAAGGTGAAACTGCTGCTGTCAAGGCAAAATTCTTCCTCTCAAATTGTACATGTTAACATAAAACCTCAATTCTTTTTTTTTTTCGACCATAGCATTATTGTAAATGTTTGTTATATCCCAGCATGTACATGTAAGACAGTGACGATAGGAAGGAATATATTTTATTACATATTTTCAGTTATGATATCTATTTGAACTTTTTGTCTAGAAATTGTATATTTTTCTTACTTGTAGACAATATCTAGTATATATATTTATCTTACTGTTTGTTTATATAGTATAAATACTAGTGTCTTATCTCTTACAGGGTGCATTACCGGTTAGCATGCAGTTAGAAATAGCACCACAACACCATCTCTTTATAATCGGTAGAGGGGGTGTTAATATAAAACAAATCATGCAGAGAACAGGAGCTAATATACACTTCCCTGATCCAAACACATCTACACCACAACGAAAAGGCACCGTTTATATAACGGGCAATATGGAAAGTGTTGCTATGGCCAGACAACAGTTAATCGTACGTGATTTCTCCTAATTAAATTTTCACTTTCTTCACATTATATATCTGTCAGGTTCTAGCATTTGTATTATTTTAGTATTTCCAAACTTTTGGTCTCTCTTACTGGCAAAACACATCTTGGTAATATCCCCAACATTCCCAGAAAAGATGTTTATAGAGTAATACTGGCTGGGGGAGGGAAGGAGGGTGGGGGGGGGAGATTGAGACTCATATGCGTCAAATGAGATGAAGAACAAGGGGCACTACACGTCAAAGATAAGTCATCACATGGAATTTAAAGTAGGCAGTAAAACAATAGTTATTTCATTTAAAAATATTTGTATTGGGGGTGTACAAGTGTTCATGAGACCTTAAACCTTTTTCCTTTCATGGAAGATAAGCTTATAGGTTAACAAATGTCTGGTTCACAAACTTGACACTGTAGAAATAAATGAGTTATTATGAATTACATGTAGTTAAAAAATTCCAAAAGTATTTTGTTGAGGAGACTTTTGAATGCAGCTACATTGCTTATTTTACGATGTATAACTTTTATAATTGATTATATTTAACAGGGCTGTTTACCTCTGATGTTATTGATGTATGATTATATTTTACAGGGCTGTTTACCTCTGATGTTATTGATGTATGATTATATTTTACAGGGCTGTTTTCCTTTGATGTTATTAATGTATGATCATGTTTTACAGGGATGTTTACCTCTGATGTTAATAATGTATGATTATTTTTTTAAGGGGGTATTTACCACTAGTATTAATGTATGATCATTTTTTACAGGGCTGTTTACCACTAGTCTTAATGTTTGATGTAAAAGAAGATATAGAACTAAAACAAAGTAAGTTCAATTATAACCTAAGTTAGCTAGAAATATATTTACTAATGTTCTTAGTAATCTGTTTTAATAATGTTATTATAAATATCAGTAATCATTTATGCCAACGAACCAACGGTAATAAATCTGTGGTTTGACAGCTCAATATGAAACTCTGTATTAAAACAACTAATTGGATTTGGGAATTTTCAATCCTTACATTATTGTACAATGAATATCAGTCTGAAAGTAGTTAAGTTCTTTTCAGTACTTAGTAAAAATATGATGAATCAACATCCACTTCAGAATATAAAGAAACCAGCTCTGTTTAATTTGATGGAGTTGGTTTTGTTTAAGGATCAATTTCAGTACATATTGGTGTTATTTAATCAGTCAAGTATTAGATAATTTCTGAAAATTACAAATGACAATCATCAGCTGAGTATGAGTTTTAATATTGTATTCTTTAGGTCAGATTTCACAGCTAATGGAGAAGTTAGATGTGTATATAAGTGTTAAACCAAAACCAAAGCAACCAAGCAAGGTAAAGCAGATCTGTATTATATATATAATGATGTAGTTCTTTGGATTTGAAATATTTTTTGGACCATTCCCTAATTCAAAAACTTTGATGTCCCTCTGTTGGATAAAAATTTAATCAAGTTCTGAAAAAATATAATATAAAATATAAATACCCATACTTTAAATATAAAAAAAGACAAGGAAAAGAACTTATTAATCACATTTTGTGATAGCCCATATTTTCAAATTGCCCATCACTGGAGCATTCCCAGCTGTTATAGATATATTTCATCTGTAGGTTAACTTGTTGTAATTTTATTTGAATATTAATTATTACAGTCTGTGATTGTTAAAAGTATAGAAAGAAATGCTACCAATATGTATTTGGCCCGGTTATTTTTACTTGGAGCAGAGATGGAAGATTGGAATATTTCAGCTTGTAACCGTGGAAATAATACCATTGGTTTGACGTCTGCTACTGGTCTGGGTTTGAACACTCTAGGTAAGTCTGCACTATTACTATGCAAATTTTATTACATAAATGATATATTATATGTTAAAAATTGGCCAACAACGCACTAAATAATCACACAGGATTAATTTTCTCTACACAGTAGTACAGTGTTTTTGACCGAATGCTAAACTACTGAAATTAAGATGGATCGTGATGTATACTACAGGCCTCACGTTTCTGGTCTATTTACCAGTTGTAACTGACTGGCGGTAAAATTTGACCAACAGGAGAATTCACCTGGCAAAGTTACATACCATGAAATAAAATATTACAAATGTTTTAATCATAAAACACAACATATACAATAAAACACAATAAAACCACTAAAATGCAAAAACTGAGAGCAATAACTTACTTTTAGTTTCAAAATGAAGTCAAATTATGTATCTGCGCCAAACAAGGGGGGTTGGATGGCCTAATGGTTAGCAGGTGCACGCTGCACTATCATACAGATGTTATTGAGTCAACTGGCGGGGTTTCGATTCCCCGGTTGTACGTGATAAGTAGGGTCGTCTGTCCAACCTTGTGGGTTTTCTCTGGGTCCTCTGGTTTCCTCCCACTGCTAAAGACCCCTATGCGCTAGCGAATTATTGAAATAGAATTGAACCGTGTGTTAGTCACAAAATGACTTAGTTTGTGTCGAGTGGATGTTAAACCCCATTTCTCTCTCTCTGCGGCAAACAAAGTTTAGAAAGGCATATTGAAATGACTCTGTCCCAGTTTTGTGTTTCATAAACTGTTCAATACATCTTTATAAAACTTTGGACACACATCAACCTTGTTATAATAGCTATGATTTTTTTTAAATTAAAAATTTCTCGGAGTTGAATCATTTGTGTATTTAGATGAAAACAAATTTGATTAAGATTTTGGTATACAAAATTGCAGAATGTTAATGTCTAAAGTTTCTTGTTGCTGATGAATGTTAACAACTATTATAAATGTTGTATGAAAGTTTCTGTACGTTTTAAAAGTTTTCATTAGAACTATTATTATGTTGAGATAAATTATCTTTAAGAATGACTATAAAATGACAAAATACCGATTAACTGAATCTATGTGGTGGTCGAGGTGAGATTCTGCGTAAACCGTTTCTGAAATTAATAGTGTGATATCAGTATGTATCTTTATTTGTTCAGTTCATCTGATATTTACATATTAAAAACACATGTTATTTCTACAATCAAGATTATGTAATGGTCGTGCAATGACTTAAAATATAAAACCTAATGTTGAAAGATTGGACATACGCTAAAAGCAATTGACATTAAACTGATTATTATTTTGTTTAAAGACATGCTCTAATAGAAACACCTGATATAACATTCTGTTAAAACTGGCACAAAATTCTATTTATTTATTCTAGATAAAAACTATATTAAAGTTAACTAAATAGACATTAGCACTATAGCAACTGTACTTTTTTATGGGAGAACTTAGTCCGAAGAAACATTTTTGTGCAAAAAATTTGACTGTTTCATTCAGGTGAAAGGGAAAGGAATTCGGCCTGAAAACACGGACTTCCTTCTCAAGTTATTCTCAACCTACGCTAGGGTTCCCTATAAGTGAAAAACACTGAGTGGTTGCAGATTCTCATCAATGATTAAAACTATGTAATTAATTTTGTACCTTATTATATTTAAAATAACCTTAGATCCATCCACAAGTTCCTAAAACCTCTTAAAAAGAAAATTTGTATTATTCGTAAATTGAAAGTTAAGAGGTCAGTTTCTCACCGATGGATGGGAAGATGTGTCTCAAATTTTGCTTACTATGTAACTGTTTAGTCAAACCACCATCAATCTGAAATTATAGTTTTACCAACCAAGAATGGTCTCCCAAACACCCATTCCTCTTTAACATCTAATATTATACATATACATAAATACATAAACTTGTAGAATTGTTCCATAAATAGGGAGAAGATTTCAATTCATCATCAGTGTTAATAAAGACATGATTAGATTTTATACATGTTTGCCAAAAATAATCTATTCCTGTGCATATATACACAGATGTTGAAAATCTTAAGTGGTTTTTCAAAATGAGATCCTGTAAAGTGATGATTTTCTGAAATCAAAATTCAATTAAGAAAGGTTTTTTGAAAGCATAATTTGCTTTTTAATTCCACCTCTTGTTAGTAAAATTTAATGTTGTAATGTTCAGTTACTAATATCCACTATGTCCTAGCATTAAAATTGAAGGGCCATGTTCACTCATAGTGTACTGGATCACATTCTGGTTTCCTTTTGGACACAATACTATTGAAGGTTATATTTTTATCCCACGCTAAATGAAGAATATTGTAAAGGGTTCTGTCCATCCTAGGTTTCGCTTGTTGAGCATATTACATAAACCATTCAAAATCTCTACATGAAACATTTTGCACACAGGAACCTCTTATAAGATATTTTCCAATTTTAATTATTTTTTGTTTCCATAGAAACAATTTTGACAAGTTTGTTATTGTAATAAAAATTCATGTATACCATATATGAATGGCAAAATGACTAGGTTGGTTTTGAGTGGACAACTGGACATTAAACCCCATTTTATATTTGTTGGTAGATTGAGCTGAATCAGTATAGGCTATAAAGTGTCTTTAGGTTAAAAAAATAAATAAATTTGTTCAAGTAGAGTACTAAGTTATTCTGACTAGTGGAATTTTATCAATGAATATATAGATATCTCTGTAAGAATTCCTATTAATATCAAGGGAGGGGTATAGACAGTTGTACTGTAGTGTTAGTGTCTGGTTCAAATCTGGCTAACTTGTAGTAGGATAATAGAAATAGTAATATAGACTGTAATTTAGATGGTAATAAAAATATATCTTTATTTAGTTTGATGAAATCATGGATGTAGGGTTAAGCAGCTCATTATTATGAATAAACTAAGTATAGTACCGGTAATAATTTATACCATTTATGAAGAAGAAAAAGTAAAAATATATATCTTTATTTAGTTTATCATTATGAACTAAGTATGGTAATAATTTGTACCATTTATGAAAAACAGAATGTAAAATGTATCTTTATTTGGTTGGATAAAATATTGAGTAATCCAACTTATCATTATGAACTAAGTATAGTAATTATATATGACAGTAATTAAGACCAGAAAGTAGAAATGTATCTTTGATAAAATCATGGATGGCTCATTGAAATTTATCATTATCTTTATAAACTAAGTATAGTAATTATGTTTGCCAGTAATAAAGAACAGACAGTAAAAATGTACCTTTGTTTAGTTTGATAAAATCATGGGTGTTGGGTCATTGACATTTATCATTATGGATTAAGTAAAGTAATAATTTATGCCAGTAATGAAAGACAGAATGTAAAAATTTATCTTTGGTTTGATAAAAATGGATATTGGGTTACTTAACTTATTATTATGAATTAAGTAAAGTAATAATTTATGCCAGTAATGAAAGACAGAATGTAAAAAATGTATCTTTGGTTTGATGAAATGGATCTTGGGTCATTTAACTTATCATTATGAACTAAGTAAAATAATAATTTATGCCAGTAGTGAAAGACAGAATGTAAAAAATGTATCTTTGTTGGGTCATTCAACTTATCATTATGAACTAAGTATAGTAATTATTTATGCCAGTAATGATGAACAGAAAGTCAAAATGCTGATTCCATCAACAGCTGTGCTGTATTTGTATTTATCTTGGCATTTTAAAGTAAGCTGAACTTCCTGAAAAAAGACATTTTTCTTTAGGTTTATCAGTATATGTAGCATATTTTAGTCTAGAACAAAATCATCTTACATCATCTACCTGTAGGTTAAAAAGACTCCAGGTTAAAAAGACTCTGTTTAGTTATTTGTCACATTGAGTTGTTTCAGTGGTGGTAGTACAAAGTATTATTTTCTCGCTACACTATCTACATTACAGAGCATCATTCGTGTGGAACTCACTTGCAGAATATAATGGACAGTGTGATTCTGTGTCAGTTTTCAAATATAAAGTGAAAACTAGGTTATTAAGTCACTATCATTAACAATTGAAAAGAGAAATGAAATAAAATGAAATTTGGTTTAAAGTACTACTTTTCTGCACCATGTGAGCTAATAAAGATGAGTATACACCATAAAGTGTGCTATGAGTGACATTTTGCCTGGACAGCAGCACTACGGTCTAGCGTTCTTTTGCATGCAAGCCGTTGTCTACACCAGACTGACTATACAGTGTACGTGCCAGGTCCTCTGTCCTGCACCACTGACAATGGGACACCTCGTCTGAGATACCTGAGGAAGTTTCTAGGCCAACACCGAGAGAGAATCTGAGACTTTCTGTTTAGCGAGCCAGCATATTACTCACTGAACCACAGCAGCTCACAGTCCCTAGTGGATTAAACAGTTGCTATATAATTGAGAAGTGGTATTTATTGTTCTGGAAAGATTAGGCTTACAATACCTCTTCTACATGTCATTTCTTTTATGACAATATCAACGCCTTAGCACCTGGTAGGCTACATGTAGATATTGACTACCCCAATTCCTTGAAAAAATTAGAGATCAATGATCTTTTTAGCATTGAGTTTTGTAGATCATTTTTAAAACTGCTGCTCCTTAAACTGCCTCAAACCATCTGAGCCACACAAACAATAATATAGTCCATAAACAGTTGACAGGCGGTTAGGGGTGCTAGAGGGAGCAGTAGTTTTGGGAAGTTTAGCGTTAATAAAATGCATTAGCGTTAATAAAATGCATAAACAAAATATTTCTGTGCAATTTAACTCCAGTCAGATTTATTCTTAGCAAAGTTGGTATACATATGAATTTATAAATAAAATATAATCAAATTTAGGATGTGCTTTAATATAAATATACATACAGACTCTTCACAAGGAGATCATTGTGAATTAAGAAAATAAAAGATATCTTGGTTTGAGCACTTTATCGGCAAGTGGAGATATGTCTAATCTTGTAGGAAGAGAGAAAAATTTGCACACATTCAGACTTTTTTTATGGGAAATAAAAACAGTTTTATAACATTTGGCCAAATTCCAATTACTGAGGTGAAATGGTCGAACCTGTTGCATCAACTTTAGTCATGCATTTACTGCGAGATTAACATAGAGATAAGCAGACGTTTTATTTGTTATGTGGATGAAATGTGTGTTCTCTCTTTTTAACTCTGTTCATCTATTTCATGCGTTTGTCTTTAGACATCATCTTGAAAACCGATTTGAATTCAAATTTACTTTAAGTAAGTTTAAACTTGTTTAAGTGTGTACACTGCGGCAGGATTTGCAAGATTGTTATTACACAACAAAATAAATAAACAAAGAAAATAAGCAAGGAAATTGTGAGATTATTTCTGGCATAGTACAATGCAGAATATAACTCTGGTATTGACGGATTGACGGAATGAAATTCCTTTTTATAATCCATCACCTAATTAAATATGACTGTAATTCTGTAATGTCATTATCTATATCTTTTGGTCTTGTCAACATGGCAGAAAAAATCTTCAGCCATTTTCAAACTCGGTTCTTACTTGACAATCGTGGGGTCGGACCAAAAACATGGATCATGTCTATTAATTGGTAGTGCACATAATAGATCCCTTGGCAGTTGGAATTCATGGTTGAGTAGGCTGAAGTGAAACACTGCTGTCAAGACAAAATTTTCCCTTTTGCATTGCACATGTACTCATAGAAATAATTGTAAGTTTCAAATTAAAAACACTTATATGGATATACTACTTCTGAATTTATTAACATGCTACTTCTATATGTCTTATACGCTGGCTCGCTAGCCTGGAGGTCGGGTGTTCGATCCCTGCATTGGCCGAGAAAGTTCATCCAGATTTTCCGGCGTGGTTCTCCCTTGTCAGTGATGCAGGACGGAGGGGCTGACAAGGAAAGCTGTCTAGTCGTTCGGATGGGACGAAAAACCGAGGTCCCGTGTACACATTGGCGTGCACGTAAAAGATCCCTTGGCAGTTGGAATTCGATATAAGAGTAGGCCGTAGTGCCGCTGTCCGGGAAAAATTTCCCTCATAGCACACTGTATGGCGTATGCCCGTCTTCATTAGCCCAGGTTAGGAGCAGAACAGTAGGACGTTAAACCCCATTTCATTTCATTTCATTTCTATATGTCTTATAAGGATTATGTAAGTCTCAATTGAAAATAGGTGAGAAATTAAACACCATTCCATTTCTGTTTACTTTTAATTTTGAAGCAATAAAGTTCTTGAGAAAAACCGTTTGTATATGTTGTATGTATGACCCATTGCTAGGACACATTTTGACTTTGTATTACGGGGCTCTTATTTCTGTTATCATTGAGTCAAGTGTTGAGGTTTCGATTCCCCGATTTTCCTACCTTCTGGTTTCCTCCCACTGCTAAAGACCCCTACGCGCAAGCAAATTATTGAAATAAAATTTAACCATATGTTAGTCCCGAAATGACCTAGTTTGTGTCGAGTGGACATTAAACCCTATTTCTCTCTCTCTTTCGATTTCCCACTTGTACGTGACAAGGAGTAAGGCCTCTGTCCAACGTCGTGGGTTTTCCCTCTGTCCTCCGGATTCCTCGCATTGCTAAAGACTCCTACGCAAAACCAAATTATTGAAATAAAATTGAACCACATGTTAGTCCGAAAATTACCAAGTTTGTGTTGAGTGGACATTAATCCTCGTATCTCCCCCTCTTTTTCATCTCTGTTATATTTGCCTGTCTTGACTGACTAGCATTCAAATTAGCTGGCTTTAGAACTTGCCTGTCAGTCACAAAATTTGAATTCCAAGGAATAAATACAGTTAAAATTATAGTTTTTATGTATAAAACACTTAAGAGTATATAAACAAATTTGGATAATGCTAAATATCGTCATATTCTTTGTAAAAAATGTTTTGTTAATCCAAGTAAAATGACTGGCAAACTTATGAAGTGAAATCGCTGCTCTTGAACAGAAACATTTTGCGAACTCTCAGTGATGACATTTCTCGAAAACTGCTGACTGCTGATCATTTTTTTTTTTTTACGTTGCCTGGTAAATTAACTGAAACCATTTAAGATTATTTTAAACCAATATTATATAATCTCTGATTTTAATACTATTAAATGATTTACTGACATTATAACTGTACAGCTCTCCACTAAAAAACTATTATTTATTAACCACTTGCTAAGAGATACACAAATAAAAGATTTAATTTCCACAAAAAAATCATCTCAAGTATCTAATGGTATTCATTATTATCACCACTTGCACCTGCTGTTAGTGGTAATATCTTGAGACTGTTTCTTGAGTAAAGTTTGCTTAAGAATGAATCTACTTGAGAAGAAAAGGAATTTATTTTTCTGTATGGTTGAATTGAGTGACATATTGGAAGGTGTTGCCAAGATAATTTCTAGCAGAAGTCCAACTTAATGTTAGTTTTGGCAACTATATAGGGGTTTTTTTTTAAAAGAAAACTTAAATTAATGATTTTTGGAAGTATATAAAAAAAGTGTTAGTTAAGTTAAGTATGAACTGTTGATAAGAAATAAGCAAATTAATATTTACATATATTAAGATTTGTTAGCCAAAAACATAGAATCTATCTTTTATGCACCTGTTTCAGCAAAATCAGATCATAAAGATTAAACATTAAAGATTTATCCAGCTGATTTTTTATATGAAATTTATCGTTGTTCATCTGTTGCCAATTAATTTTCTATAATAGGTAAACCATAACAATAGATATATTTTACTGACATTGAACATGGCAATCAGGATTCATCAGAGTTTTCAAGTATTAACATAACAACCTGTTTACCTTTGGCTCGAATGTACTGGGGGGGGGGGATGGCTGAATGGTTAACACATGCGTGCTGTATCATAAAGTCTGTCATTGAGTCAACTGGCGTGGTTTCAAATCCCAGGTTGTACGTGACAAAGAGTAGGGTCGCCTGTCCAACCTCGTGGGTTTTCTCTGGGTCCTCCGGTTTCCTTCGACTGCTAAAGACCCCTAAGCGCAAGCAAATTATGGAAATAAAATTGAACCATATGTTAGTCTCGAAATGACCTAGTTTGTGTCGAGTGGACGTTAAACCCCATTTCTCTCTCTCTCTCTCTCTCTCTCTCAAATGTACAGGTAACAGTACTGTACACAATCCTTAACCATTGATCATTTCAACCAGTTGATGCAGAACAATAGTACGTTAAACCCAATTTCATATTAATCATTTCAACTGAATGTCGATAATAATTCCTATGTATGGTGTATATTTTGAAACTATTTTTCAGGGTATATAAGTCACAACATGTTAAATGTAAATACAACCAATTCACTGCTGATGTTAAATGGACATAGAAGTCCAACTAGTCCTCATAATATTCCCTCACCAACCAGTCCTAACCATTGGTTGACAACCACACATAGTAAGTTATCACTACATATAATAATATTCTCTCACCATCCAGTCCTAACCATTGGTTGACAACCACATATAGAAAGTTATCACTACATATAAAAATATTCCCTCACCAACCAGTCCTAACCATTGGTTGACAACCACACATACATAGTAAGTTATCATTACATATAAAAATATACATGACTGTGTATCAATCAGCCGTAGATTTTGAGCACATAGAAGAAGAATATAAGCCATCTTTGTGCAAGGAACAAAAGTATGTGTAGTGATCATCAATTAATTGGGGAGAAAAAAAATCACTGGCCTGTCAGTTCTGAGGAATAGATGAATGATATGTCAGAGTGTTTATCAGGTTAAAGCCACTGATCGTCATTTGAGGGATTGTTTAACAAACATTGATATTGTGAAAGTTGGATCAAAACAGGAATATCAGTCCAATAATTATTTTGTTCTGTTCAAGAAAGATTGTCTGTCCAAACTTGTGGCTTTTCTTTGGTTTCCTCCCACTACTAAGGACCCTTGCATGCAAGCGAATTATTGAAATAGAATTGAACCAGTTTGTGTTGAGTAGACGTTAAACCTCATTTCTCTCTCTCTTTTTGATACTCATCAGATATTGTTTTCATTACAGATGTGTATAGTCCATTAATGGTTGTTACTCCTGCCACGTCATGTACCGTCCAACAACCACTAAATATCATGTCACAATGTCACAGTGTCATGTCGTCATGTCAGAACAATAGGTCACAGTTAAATGGTTATCAGAATGATTATAATCGAGCCAGTGCCTTTATATCTGTTTTACCACAAACAGGTAATACAAGTCAAGGTATGTAGCTTTTATAAATCGGGGATCCGCAGTGGCTTAGTGAGTAAGATGCTGACTAGCTAACATCTCAGGTTCACTCCCAGTTTTGACCAATAAAGTTCCTCTGGATTTTCTGGCAAAATTTCACCTTGTCAATTGTGCAGGACAGAATTGTTAGCATTATAAATATTTTTTTTTTGCAGGTCATAGTAGCAATAACAGTGATTCTACTAGTCCACGTCACAGTCCACCTGGTAGTCCAAGTCCTATAACCCATAGTAGCCCTTGTCATCCAGGTAGGAAACTTATTTATTATGTACACTTTATTTTCATAAATATCTATGTAGGTTAAAACATAAAAGCCATAATGGGGTTAATACCGTATCACTGTTTAAAGGACAATCTGGCAGTTGCTTTTTTTTCACATACTATTTATTATTGAGTTCTATGTTCTTACCATAGAAATGACAAAATTCAGAGTAATTAAAGAATTGTATTGCTTATATTTCAGTTGATTTATCAGGTTTACAGACAGCTGGTGCTATAGGTGATATATTAAATAGAGAATCAACACTTACTAGTAGTGGACATACATTAGATCTGCTAGGTTTAACTACTATAGTACCACCATTAACTAACTCACAGTCAATCTTCTTGGATAACATGCATTTAAAGTAAGTTATGGACAGATTTCCTTTAGGGTTTGTTGCAAAATATTAACACTTACCTCCAAACAAATACCCACAGATAAATCTCCAACCATCCACCCACCTACCTGCCGTGCCCATTCCTGCTAACGGAGTAGGAAAATATTGATGTATTTCCATTCATGATTCAGTATTAAATAACTGACATTTAATTTATCATATTCTTTCCGTGGTGTCATTTATCCCATCCACACGAGTTCATGGGTTATTCGTTTGGAGGCAAGTATTGAAATATTGTGACTGTCCCTTGATTTAGTAACTCAACATCTAGATGTACTTCTTTGATGTTTGCAATCAAAATAATGTACACATATTGAAAAAATATACTGAAAAAAATATTTGAATTATCCTGGTTAATATAAGTTTTGAATGCCATTACAGTATTATTTTAAGACATGTGAAATGATAGGCTGTTGTGGGGCTGTGGTAGTTGGGTCGTCAGCATTCCAATCTCGGCTAGAATGTGCCTGTTTAAAGTGTGCCTAGTCATTCGGATGGGATGAAAAACCGAGATCCACCCTTGTATACATTGGTGTTCTCGATTAAGAAGTTGAAAAATGATGAACAGTATAACTAGTATTTTCTCAAAAAGACCAAAGTGTTGTGTTGACGAGACATTAGACCCCATTCCATTTCATGACTTTAATAGATGTTGTGGGTACTTATCGGTAATTATCTTTGAAGGAATATCTTATATCAGGATCAGTTTCTTATCTGTGTATTTTTAAATGTCAGTTAGTTTATCAAAATTAGAACTATCAAACTAATTTATAATATAGAAATGTTGATAATTTATATAGTAATGTTGATAATTTATAGTAATGTTGATAATTTATAGTAATGTTGATAATATATTGTAATGTAATGTTGATAATATTTATAGTAATGTTGATAAGAAGAGTGAAACATCATGTATGGATTCTGGTAGTTCAGAGAAATTAGCACCAGGAATAGAAAGAAAAAATTCAGCATCTTCTCTGTTTTCGTCAACTATTTCTTTCTCACCTTTTGATTATGAAGAAAAGAAATTAATGGCTTTGAAAGGTTTGTATTAATTTACCTTATATCTCAATTGGCAATTTCTTAATTCAATTGAATTTAAGAGTATTTTTTTTTTATCAAATACAATGTATTTAAAACAACCATTCTTTATTATTTTGAATAAAATTGAATATTGTGAAAGTTGTTTTTTTGAAAAATGAACAAGAATTGTCTCCCCTGTAGCATCAATTCTGTCCTACCTAGTTCTTTTGGGGTTTTATGGAGAAGTGCTAGGACACAGAAGACTATAGTAGGTTTAAATGAAACAGCGATATCGAGTTGATATAAATCAACAGTTATCTCTTCTGACTCTCCTGTTTGTTAAATCAAGAGAGGTTAAATGAACTAGAAATGTCTTGTCGTCTGCATCTTGATATCTTTACTAATGAATAAAACTATGCATATTTGGTCACATCAATTTGAATTTTATTCTTTCACAACATCTATTAAAAATATTGCTTCATATTTATACAAAAAAACTACTGAGTCTTGAAATTTTACATAAAAATTAATTCCGAGACTTGAATAGCTATTTATTTATATAAACACTGACTGAAGAATTAAATAAATTGTTTTGGGCTTACTTTCCTTCTATACATATAAATTAAATGTCCTTTTGGTATTTTTTTACAGCCATCCGTAAGAAACCAGAAGGTGAATCACGACATCCAACTGATGCTTGGTCGGGTATGGGATTTTCAAAATCAATGCCCGAATCTGCCATTAGAGAAAGAATGGGACAGATTGGTATATCTTCTAAATACTGTGAACCTTCAATGACGGCTTCATATCAGGTAAACAGTCATTTCATAAAATAAGAGGTTGTTCATTTTTCATCAAAATGATTAATTATTGGTCCGAGGTCTAGTATAGTATACTTTAGTGAGAATTGAAATGGTAGAAACATCTTGATGCGTGAAAAGGAGAATTTACATCTGGTACATTAAACACAGGATATAAAGTCATTACACGACTACACCTTGGCATGGCTATCAAACTTGACTGTCTGGAAGTGATGTTGATAGACTGGAGAACTTTAGGAATCGTAAGAATACATCATTTAACAAGTAGAAATTCTCAAAATGCATGTATTGAAAATGGAAACCCCTGTTTTATATTTTCAGCCAACAACATCAGAGATATCTGAATGTTTAAATATAGATCGTGATCCATGGAAAGATCAAATGGTATCTGTTAATGCTCCTATGAATAAAGCTCCTGGTGAATATCCTAGTCCTAGAAAGAAGTGTAAGTTGTCTACTTTTAGTTCCGCTGTCTACTTTTAGTTTTGTTTTATAGTTAATAGTTTCAATGGGTTAAACTTATATAAGCTTATATAATGGAACTGGCCGAATCCACAGAATCCACACATAGATTTTTCAAGCAAATAAAAGTGTTCATATTTTTTTTAATTTAAAAAATATTTAGTATACTATAACTTAGCCAAATCTACATACAAACTTAAATTTCAAGTCAAGCCCAACTAATCCAATTTGCCCAATCTTATACACCGACTAGAAGCTAATGTTATTATTAGATTGGTTAGTTTGTCAAGTAGCCAGTAGGATGTTTATAGATAAATATAATATATTTTATTATTGTATATTTTAGATGAATTTGGTTTGAGTAGTAGTAATCATGTGGATAGTGCCATATTACCATCTAAAAACTGGTCACATAAAACTGATTTAGCTGAATTGTTTAGTACGATGGGTCTTGGTAAATATACAGATCTCTTCACACAACAAGAGGTACGTAACATTTATGACTTATAAGTAAATTTGTTGTGTGCTTCCAGAATATTTTGTATGCATGAACTGATTTAGTTTGCCTGAAAAAAGAGTTGCATGAAATCTTTAAATCTTTAAATTTGAACAAACAGATTTGATTCTGATTTTAATTCTACATTTTCGAGCACTCTACCACGGTCTTTTCCTCCCTCTTTGTATAAGGTAGCACGAAATTTCTGTAGCCAAGATATGACTGCATCAGATGAATGACTTTTTAAGGAGGTATGTTCAGTGTGCTATGACTGATTTGATGAAATGCAAATCACGAAGCAGCTGTCATGGCCAAATGAACGACATCAATTAATATAAAATTAGTTTTATATTTCGATCAAATGTTTTATAATTTCAGATTGATATTTCAACATTTACAACACTGACTGACCAAGATCTACGGGAACTTGGAATCTCAACTTTTGGTGCAAGAAGGAAAATGTTATTAGCTATTGCAGGTAAGAAACTGATATTTTTAAATAAATTCTTTCTGTCTGTTGAATCTACATGTACCTTAATTCTACATCTAAGTTTTTTATTTCATTTTGTTTATATTTTGTCAAAAACTTCACATTTATCTTATATATTTATAGTTTTTATACATACTGTATATAGGAATTCACTTACATAATTATATATTCTTGTGTTACATATCTAAAATTTACATCTGTTTACTGTACGCTGAGCTGTAAACAATTGTCTGAATCCTTGTTCTAATGTGACTCATCCTTCTCCCATCGGCCATTTCAGCCATTTCTGTCTTATTACTACATATACAATTGACAAAGATCTTTGAAAATTAAGCAGACAGATGGATCATTGTACTAATGCAAGAACAGGATTTAAAACATGTTATTTAAAAATTGTCTCTCTTTAAATAGTTTGAATTTTATTATAGATACTTATGATAAATATTATATCTTTCAGATATGAACAAGAGAAAAACATTAAGAAATGTCAACATCCCTTCAAATTCATCTAGTACTGCCTATACAAATGAAAGTGATACCAATCAAAGATCTCGACCAGATTTTGCTAGTCTTAGTGGACGTTGGTAGCTGCTGGATGGCTGAGTTTACGTTTGTTTGTTCTGGAATTCTCTCCCCCCACCCTTTTTTTTTTTCATGACAAAAATCTTGGAACTGCGAGAAAGTGGACCTTAAAAGTTTCTAGTCTTCTGTTATTGCTTCTTTAATGTTTTTGATGTTTAATATTTTTCTTCATGTTGTTTACGTCTCACAATCAATCTTTATAATAATTAAATATTTTATTTTAATTTGTAATAATATAACAGAGAGTTAACCATCAGTGATAACATTGTTTTTGTATTTATAATATTAAATATAGTTTTGAATGTTTTCCGTCCAAATGTTTTGTGATATACAAAGTCATATTTCTATTAATAGTAACAGAGTTGTTTGGTAGTGTATTTTTTACACTGAGCTTTATAAACTATGCATTTATATTTTTGTTTTTCTTTTTTGATGGATTTTTATCGCCCGGTTTGTATTTTTATGAGCTTCAATTTTTAACATTTTTTTGACGATAGGCTCTAAAACACCTTTCTTTTTTTTTTCACAGTTTAAGAAATTTTTATATGAAAAAATATATAACGATGACAATGACATTTATCTGCTTTTCTTTAATATTTAATGCACATTTAATACTGGAAACCCTAGTCCAAAAATTATAATTAAAGCATAATAAATGATAATGGATGAGAGGAAATCAAGTATTTAGAATTGATTTGTCAAAACTTATTATAATATTTAAAATGACCGAAGACATATCTTATTAATGGGCGTCCTCGCTGAAGGAATTCCCACCAGGCGTCGCTAGTTAAAACTCGGTTCCATGTGACCTTATCGATGGTAAGAGACCCGTATCGGGGTTAAATTCAATATCAACGACCAAAACTAACGTTTGTCAACACACCAGTTTGTAATAAATGTACAGGAAAACAGTGCTGTAAGGTAAACAATGAGGTCACGTGGGACCGCCTCACCTATAAATTATGTCCCTTTATCTCTAGCGAGGACGCCCATTGGAATTCTATAGACGAAAAGACAGCACTAGAATCCTTGATTTGGTGTTAAATTTATTTGATAAAATCATCACTCTTAACCAATTGACAAATATCAAATATTATGAAACTTGATGTAGCTGACTTAATCTACAAATAGTATGATGCATCTAGATCATGTAAAATTAAAAATTTGTCATCATCATCATCATCATCATCACCTTCTAATTTCTGATTTCCTCTCTATAAAATTTAATGATCTGTCAAAAATTGATTGTGCCAAGCTTAATTTAGTTACAACATTCACTTGACATTTTATATATAGTTTATTGTCACATGGTATATAAGTAACTATTATTATATTATTTGAATTGGGTGTTAAACAACTAAATAGTTGTTCTTGATATTTGTTGGAGGTTTATTTTGCATTGTTTGATTATTTTTGATAGTTTTACAATACTCATATATTTTGTATTTTAATTTACCCATTCTTTGATACTATTTCCACGAGAAAGTATAAATCAGTTGGTATCTATCAGAAATTTTTAAATTGTTTTAAAGATAAAACTAAATATTTGAAATAACTCTTCAAGATGCAATTTGATATTTGAAATGACTCTTAATTAATGATACAATTTAATACTCAAATATTTATCAACACTTTTTGACATATAATGAGTAAAATTGAATGTAAAAACATCTTTTCATGCAATTCATTTTCAGACATAGCCCTTATAACTGACATGACATAATTTGTAGTCTTAAATCCTAGCTATAAATTATCATAAATTCTAGCTATAAATTATCATAAATTCTAGTTATGAATTATCATTAATTCAGACTACGAATTATCATTAATTCAGACTATGAATTATCATAAATTCTATCTATAAAATCATAAATTCTAGCTATAAATTATCATTAATTGTAGTTATAAAATCATTAATTCTAGCTATAAATTATAGTTATGAAACCATTAATTCTTGTTACAGATTTTCATTAATTCGAGCTATAAAATGTTATTTCAAGTTATTTGTTAATATGGAATAATTGATACTAACTTGTATTAAACGTTGATATTTTGATTTTTGTATATAACGCTTTACTCCTATGTGATATGTTTATTTTTCTCATGCATATAAAATATATCTTTTATTACTATTACATGTATAATTTGTTACGTTTCAGTTAAGGTCCACTTAGTAGATCCTTTTATTTTATGGCAGAAAATAGTCAGTAATTTACTTATGATTTTGTAGTCATGGTATGATTTTTGACTGTTGAAAAGGGAGAGCTCAGTTATTTCTGTGTCCAGACAGTTTGACTTTGAAACAGAAGGTACCCACTACCAGGACTTATATTTGCCAGCCTTGACTGACCTGGCAGTGAAATTGACCGCCGTTTTACATTCATAAAATTATCTTTTAGCCATAAAACTCAATAAACACAGTACAATATGGTTTTTATTAGTAAAACATGTAAATAAATATACATAAAAAATATCAAATTGTATGGAAAAGACTGACCAGCTGGTCAAATTTTGAAGTGAAAGGCTGACACTCTCCACTATATTTTTAAATTGCTGAAGGACTTGTTGGGTATTTTTTTAAGATTGAAACAGAGTTAGAATTATTTTCTGCCATAAAAAGATAAATATAGCTAAAACAAGAGAAGATTGGCTTTGTGAAATAATCTCACACAGGCTGACGAGATGGGCTTGTTTTTTCATTGGTCCAATTTTCCTAAACCCTTAATCTAATATATACATGTCGGACTAGGCAATCAAATCCTAACTGGTGATTTACAAAATAGTATAGCAGAATTAATTATCTGTTTCCAAGGCATTGGTAATTATACATATTAACAGCTAGCCATCTTTCCATGATCGACAATCAAAACCTACATGTAGACAATAGTTAGTAGTAAAAGGTTTTGTGCTTGCAGTAATGTGACCAATGAAAATCAAGCCCAGAGCAGCCAATGAAAATGACTGTTATTGTTTCCATATTTTGATGATGCATGTGAAATTTTTAATTGTGTATCTTGTAATGGTATTGTTATATAATATATAAAGGCTAGGTTACGTTGGTTAATTATTATTGTTATAGTTTGGTTTATATTTTCTTAAGATTTAGTTAAAAACTCGTCAAAATATCTAATACTGTTATTAAATGAAAGATATATTTGCATATTATATAAATGAATCTCAACATAATAAATGATAATGTTATAATATGTTTTTTGATTGAATAAAATGTGTCTAGTTGCATAAAGCATACATAAATTTAACCCTTTAGCACCTAGTACATGTAAATATTGACTATGCCAGTTCCCCGAAAATTTCTAGAGAAAAGTTCTTTTTAACATTGAGTATTGTAGCTCATTTTCGAAACTGCCTGAAACTACTGCTGCCTAGACCACCTAAAATCATTGTGGTCCTGATGTAGTTCACAGCTATTCACATGACTTGTGCAGTTTTAAGGCACTTGAGGGAGTGGGGGTGATAAAGGGTTAAGTCATTTCAAATGTTTGAGTTTAATGCTATGAACCACTGGAAATTAAAATGTCCAGTTACCAATTGAATTGTAAACAAATGTATTTTTGTTCAATTGGTTTTAGAAGTGCTGCATAATGAATGACAAGTTATTTGTATTTCATTTACCAATATATATTAGGGCTGAGACCACTATTTAATACTATTCTCCATTTGATTGATTTTTAAATAATAAATGAAAAATGCTTTCATTACCAGTAAGTTTGATTAGATTTAGCAGTGGAATTCCATTTTTTGTTTTAATTGGAATTCCATTCTTTTGAATGTTTATAATAAAAATTGTTGAACTCAAAAAGTCGTTTGTTTGGAAACATGAGATTAAATGTAAATTTCCCGCACATGACATAGATCCATGCATAACACAAACGCATTATATATCAAAATGTTCAGTTTGGTGGTACATGTAGTCTGAAATTCTAGTGTTTTGTAAAACTTAATCCGTCCAATGGACTGTTTGCAGTTTAAAAGCCATAATTATATATTTTATGATATAAAAAATAAAATAATTTTGTGATGTATGTTAAAATGAGATTATATGCTTGTAAATTGCCGTCCATGGATTTTGTCTTTATATTATCATTTATAAAAATGAAATAAATGTAGTCAAATATTGTAACCACAATACTAATTTTTTTTGCAAATAAATAGAGATCCAGAGAAAATTCAACTATCAAATATGGTGTTATAATCATTAAATTTCATACTGACGGAACTGTACAACCAGCTCTAGTATACACGAATCGTAGGATATTTTTATATGCATTCCTAAATGATAATTGTCATTTGCCCTTTTTAGACTCATCAAACGATTTCACCCAATACTTATAGGGGGACGCTGGCTTCTTAATAATCTTGTAAGGCTCATATTCCTTTTAGATATTCAACTTTCACAATATAGTAGTTTGGAAGGGATTCTAATTCCTTGAAATAATGAATACCGGCCTTAAAGATTTTAATTCAAGTGTTTTGAAATTTAATAGAAGTCACTGTGGGATCTAATTAAAATATGGATCCCATTTTGTTTTGATACAGGATTGAGAATGGTGTAGAAAAGAAATGATCCAATTTTGGACTAATATTCCTTATAGAGATCAAACTATCAAAGTAGTGCCAGGTATTCAAACTACATCAATCAGTGGTTGTAAGGGTACAAATATAAATGATTTACATTGGACCAGAGACTGATGGCATAAGCCATGTGAGCTAAAATGACAGAAGACTTATGAAATATACATATTTTATTCTACATGATAGTTTGTACATAATATTGTTATTGAATATAAAGTATAAGGATTCAGAGATAGATGAAAACAGATGATTGTAGCATCCATGAATTGAAAGCACTCCAAATAAAAAAAAAAATACCGTACAATACAAGTTCAACATCTACACTTTTAGTGAGCTCACCATCCTCAAATCCCCAGGCTTACACATCCCTCATAATTTATTTTTCATGCTTCATATAACACCTGAAAGTTTATATACTATACAGTCTATAAGAAGTCGGACATACTCCATATATCATCTGACATTATATATACCATACCATATTAAAACATCCGACAGTTTATACACTATACAGTCTATAAGAAGACATAGCCATATAACATCCAACAGTCGATAATAAGTCGGACATGCCCCAAATAACATCCCACAATTTATATACTATGACTATACAGTCTATAAGTCAAACATACCAATAGTAACATATTCTTTTGCACCTCACATCCATTAGATCCATCAAATTGTTATATTAATGTGTATGTTAGTACTGTAAGAGTCTACATAATAAAACTAAGCTGAGTTATAATAGCAAACACGGCTAGAAGCTATTACACCTCATTTATTCAGCAGCTGTTAACAAGTGACTAATAGTATACAGATAAAAAAAAGTTGACATTGTTTGTATTTCTATAAATAAATGATAAATTAAAGATGAGGAATTGTTTGACAATCAAGGGCACAGATCTAAAGACAATCTTATTAAAGTGGTCTCCAAGAAAAAGTAAAGTTGATTTCAAAGGGTCTTTCAATATATAGATGTTATGTATAAGTATTTAAAATTTTTAACTTTTATATGAATTCAATCTAGAATAACAACATGATATTATCAAAATATATATAAACAATCTCAAACAAAAGCAATAATTAAAAAGACACTTGATTTTAAAATTTTGCAGGAAATCAATCAGGCTTTAAATAATGATAGTTACAAAAATGAAGCATTTTTTGGGTTGTTTTTTTCTGAACTGATTAGCACCACAACATAATTAAAACCAGATTTACTTCTTCATGAATGTTTCATTTCGTAATTTGTAAACAAGGCCATTATATTTATCAACTAAATCGGACATAAAATAATCTTCAAAACTTGTTCTTAAAGCTGATAAATTTGGTAATTCTTCACAACTTGGTATATTGAGTAAAGTATGAAACAATTCTTTCCATAATGGCTGATTCCATTTCCTGTAGAAAAACAAATGAATTACAGAGATTTAAAGATTGTGACAAACTTAGTGTCTCGGTCAACTTTCAACAGGACAATTTTATACTTTCGATGGCCTCCACTACATGAAGATCTGACCAGTTGTAGTGGGAGGTCGCATCAGGGGTCATACTGGCGGCTTTTGACCCTATGACGTCAGTTCCTATTGCTGCGAATGTCTACCCACAGTTCTGTGCACAGCACGCTAAGAACTCGACCCAACAGATCATTTGATTGGCTAATCCCTCACATCAACCAGAACGCATGTTATTTAACAACTCTTTCGCCAGATCCTAGTGTAATGATTTTGAACTATAAAAAACAGAACAAAATAGGATCATGTTTCAATCAGATTGATAAGAAACTATGACAGAATTCCCTGCAAAAAAGGGAATTTTCAAATATTTTTTGTTCATTATTATTTGCATATGGGCATGCACACTGGCCCATACTGATGTCCATCTTAAATTATATCTAGTCTAGTTTCGTAAATTAAAATTATATTTGTGAGAGAGAGAAATGGGGCTTAACGTCCACTCTACACAAACGCTTTGCGCGTAGGGGTCTTTAGCAGTGGGAGGACCCGGAGAAAACCCACGAGGCCGGACAGGCGACCTTACTCCTTGTCACGTACAACCGGGGATTCGAAACCATAATTATATTTGTACAAACTTACCTGACAAAAGAATTAGCAATGTGCCATTTTCCTTTACTCTGATAAACATTCATATATTTACCAAATATCAATACATGTATTGTACCAACCATACCAAATATATCAGTCTAAAATAGAAAATAGTAATATACTCAGTTCTTATTAGGTTTTGGTATGCAAATCAAATGCCAAAATATTGAACCATTCAGAAATAATCTGCGAAATTGTAATTGCAAGTATGTAAGGAATTGGCTCAGTAACTATTAATCAGATACCCTTCTTAACTGTAGATATATTTATCCTAATACAAATATGGCACAGGGTTTGACCACAATCACAAAGTACCAATAAGAAATCCCCCCCCACCTCCTAAAAATAGTACTAAGCTTATGAGTTTATTATAAATTTAAAAAATAAATATGGATCAGACCGTCCTTTTTAACTTATTTTAAGCGATGCGTAAGTATCAGAGAAACAGAATATTTATTTTATGGCTTTATTTCGTTTTTTTAAGGGTCTTTCACAAAGAATTAATTTTCTTCTCTAAAATATATCAAGGACGGCTTCTGGAACAATATTTCTGTTTAATATGAAAATTATGTGGACAAACAAACAAAATAATATAAATACCTGATACGTCCATGGTTGATCTGTCTGCATTTCAATACATTTAAAACCATTGGTTCCAACTTTAGCTAGAAATGTTGTTCCTTCTGGAAACTTAGCCATATCAATACTTTGTCCAAAATCAATTAATTTCAGGAATTTGGTTTTGTTACCAAAGACTTCTGCTTTGTTTTTACTTACTTTGATATCAGGACTGAAACAAAAATAGATTTGATAATATATGATGGTCGACATATTTCACATTTACTGGCAGTTGTCAAATTTAATTCATTTTGCAAAGAGTAGCCATTTTGAAATTAGTAGTTATTTTGCCAGTGATACCCATTCTCATTCAAACAATTTTTGTATTTGACAATAAATCCATATTTTTACCATCAAAATACACGTTCCTCTGTTGTGGATGTTTTTTTTTTCAAATAGTTTTATATGATCTTGATAAAAGATGAGTATTGTCACTTACATACATCAGTGTAAGAAAATGACTATTACATGTATGTCTATTCATATTAAATTTTCTATATAGATAACTTACATTGTATCCACTAAGAAATTATCTGGTTTAATATCACCATGTATAATTTGACATTTGTGTAATTTTTCTATAATATGAAACATTTCAACTGTAATATATACAGCAAAAGGCTCCAAGTCAGTCATTAATCTGGCATTCCTCTTTATAGCATTCACTAAGTCCTGAAAATAAATAAAAATATATTTACATGGAAACTGTTTTGGAGAATGTCAGCTGTGGTTGTGTTAAACAAAAATTCTGATCGCACATCTTTATCGATGCTTTACAATTTATAGAAATAAATTTAACAATCCCTGCACAACAGACTTGGTTTAGAGTAGAGATTTTTTAATGATATAACATTTTGGGTTGCATTACCCTTTTTCCTGATCCAGTACCTACGCAGATTTACCAGTCTGTCCAGCTTTAGTTACTCTTTCAAGGGAGTGTTGCCATTCCACTTCTCGCATCCATTTATAGAAATCTATGCTTTACTATTTATAGAAATCTATACTTTACCATTTATAGAAATCTAGCTTTACCATTTAGAAAACTCTATGCGTTATCATACATGTACTAGAGAAATCTATGCTTTATCGTACTATAAAAATCTATGCTTTATCATACTACATAAATCTATGCTTTACCACTTTATCATACTATAGAAATATATAGTTACTTTCCCACTTAATCATACTATAGAAATTTATGCTTTCCCACATTATCATACTCTAGAAATCTTGGCTTTCTTACATTTTATCATATTATAGAAATCTAATTTAATGGATGTCAATTACCATAAGAGATTTTGGGGACTATTTTGCATAATGGATAACTTTCAGAGTGATCAGTAACAGTTACACCAAGTTTGGGTTGTTTTTTTCTGTCTGGGACTTATATTCAGTGCTTGTGAACACACTGCTATATACACAACAATCAATGGATTTCAATGTTTGCTTAAAAGACAACAAACACAACCAAGCATATTATAGAAAATTTCAGACATAACTTACCAATAACGTTCCCTGTGAAAAATACTCTTGAAGTAAACAACTACCATTATCAAAAAAATAACCCTTTTTAACTGTAACCATAGAAGGTGCCTAAACAGAACAAAATTCAGAAAATATTTTGCATCTTGAATATGTGAAAAATGTTTCAATGTGGATTATGAATGAGTTGTTATATTTAAACCTAATAACTTATTTTATTGAAGATACATTGTCACAAAAGTATGGAGAGTATAGTATAGATGTGCAGTCTTACTAGAAAAATACTGGATTACCCGAAAAACATGCATAGGGCAACTACTGGGCAAAAATGTCAGGGTATCACTAACTCAAACTGGCAACCCGACCGCTCATTGTAAAGTATGCTAGCTTGACTGAGAGAGCTGTTGTTATTTCTTGATCAAATGGTTAGGTAGTTTAGGGAACATTGAGGGGTGGAAAAGAAGTTGACAGAAAATAATTCAAGAATTTACTTGGCAGTAAATGGGCAGTAAGTAATGATAAATACATTCTGAAAAATGGACCCTCTCTCAATCAAGTTAGGTGACAAACATGGGTTCTAAAAACAGATTCTTTTAATAGCTTGGAGTATCTCCCGGTGAATACAAAGTTTTGAGAGGGATATGAAGCAAATTTTTCATAGATCAATTAGTATGAATATGTTTTTTTTTGTTCAAATATATCATCAAATCACACCATTTTCATGCGGGGAAAGTATCTTTAATTGCAACACTTTCTATAAAAGCTCTAAATAAAATATGACACAAAAATTAGTAGATTTGAAAATTCCTTGTTTTTACCATGTATAAGAAATAGCTTACAATTTGAAAATAAGATTAAAGAATTTACTTACAACGTCAACAGGTTCATGTAAAAGTTGTAATCTCTTTTCTATTTCTTTACAGATATAAAATTCCCACCGACATACTGGCTTCTGTACCTAATATAAAACATGAGTTATAATAATGTTTGTGATACCTATTAATGCTACTGATGTCATTGAGAAAACTTGGATGACTCATCACTGTAATCATACACTCGTCATTTTATAATCCTATCCACATTCTTTCACAAAAACCAGGGGGTTGGGGGGGGGGGGGGGAGGTTAACAAATGCATGTTGGATCAGAAGATCTGTCATTGAGTCAAGTGGAGTGGTTTCGATTCCCCGCTTGAACTCAACAAGGACAAGGAGTTGGGTCACCTGTCCAACTTCATGGGTTTTCCCTGGGTCCTCCTGTTTCCTCCCACTGCTTAAGATCCCTATATGCAAGGGAATTATTGATTTAAAATTGAACCATATGTTAAGTCCGAAGTGACCTATTTTGTGTTGAGTGGACTTTAAACCCCATTTCTCTCTCTCTTACGCAATTATGGACCAATCATTATGGGTCCACAGAACTCCAATGTACTACAGTCGAGGTCACACAAACTACTGAGAAATCCAGAATGTGACAAGTTTTTTTTAATATAATTATAAATATCATGATTTATATCTGATGACAAATAACAATACATCCCCTTTGCATACCAAAGAGTAAAATTTGTTTCCATGGAACCAAAACAATTATTAAATCCGAGAAATGTATAAAAGTCACAACTATTATAGTTTAATGTGTCTACAAAGTATCCTCATGACATCTTGAACAGTTTATGTGATATGCTCCGGAAACAAATATGGGATGGAAGGACAGGTAATGAGCTTTTCAATATCCATCATTTAAACTTAAAAATTATAAAAGAACGCTGTATTTGCGGTTTGCAAAAAGAGAATAAACCACTATATCCCTCATCAGATATTATTCAAATAAAAACGTTTATTTTCTATCTATTAACTAATTCTCACCTTTAAAACTACATCTGTACATATTTCTGTTATTTCTTCAGTTATATCAAGATAATCATTTAACATTGGTGAAGCTTTAAAGATTTTAGCAAATCCACCGGTACCTATACATGATTTTATCTGATAGGTGTCCCCACCTGTTAAAATAAAAATTTTACTCTGAATAAATAAAAAATTTTAATTTATTAGTAATCTTCAATTATTTTCCATTTCAGTCAAAACAATTTGGATTTATGCATCACTGAAGATATGTTCCAAGTCCAATCTGGATAAACATGTCTACATATTGACAGAGAATAACATTTGAAAACAATCTGTTGGTTCCCCGATTGTTACCTTCACTTTTTGACGTCCAGACATCGGATGTCTAGACAACAACCTGTAGGTACAGCTGGTTGAGATAAATCAAGAAAGTACAAATGTACTGTGGTAGTGCCCACAATACTTGTTTATGTCCAGACATCAGACATAGTATTACAAAAATCTTTTCAAATATCTGTTCTTTCAACACAGTAATTAGATATAAATAAAGCAAAATAACGATAATTATTACCTAAATCAACAAAGTTATTGGCTCTCATATCCGGTACAGGTAAATAAGCACAATCTACATAGCATGGATCTTTCTTTAACGGAACTGATAATTTACTTAAAATATCCAAAATCGTCTCTTCATCAAAAGGATTGGTGGGATTTATAAGAACAGATGTCATTAATAAGGCTTCCGTTTTTTCATCTGGTTCTTGAGGAATGTAACAGGAAATATCTATCACATGCTGGTCAGTTGCTGGTGCCATTGTCGGAGGAGGTAATGGAAGACTATCTTCACCTTTCTGCAGACGCTGACTTGTGTTTTGTGTTTTACTACTGTCTAGATGGTTTTGATCACTGATGCTACTTTCACTTTCTAAATGTTTACTATCATTTATACCAGTAACCACATGACTGTCTTTAAATGCCTGAGTTAAGTTATTTATAGGTATTTGTTGGTTAGACTGAGCACTCTGTGCTGAGATATTATGTGGTTTCACAGAACTTTCAGAGAGGGAAAATTTGAGATTTCTGTTATGTGGTCCTTGGAATTCCTGTTGACTTTGATTAACATTAGGTAATCGTTGACTAGTATTTCTAGTATTCCGATGACTAGTACACAGACTATGACTCTCATCAACACTAGGTAAACGATGACTATAGTTCTTAGAAGCTAGACTACTAGCCTGTGATTTGGATTCATCACTACTACCACCTTCTGTACTTCCCTCCATTATAGGACTGAAATATAATAGAATACAAATACATAATAGTCAAAATGAAATGAAATTGGGTTTAACGCCCTCCTGTTCTGCACTGACTTGGCTAATGAAGACTGGGCTACAGCCTACTCTTATTTCAAATTCCAACTGTCAAAGGTTCTTTTATGTGCACGCCAATGTATACATGGAACCTCAGTTTTTTGTCCTATCAGAACAACGAGCCAATGTTGGAAAATTCTAGTAGGAACCACCCCGGCCAACACAGCAGCGAACCTGATACCTCCTGGTTTAATAAACCAGTGTTTCACTCACTGAGCCACCAGAGCATCTACCATGCTAATAACATAAGTCTGTTTTGTTTACATTAAACTCATGATGGTCATTTGTATTTTTCAGATAAGCTCTGTTTACAAGGCTTAAAGAGGCATTATGGGAGATTAGATATAGAGTTGACTGTTCTCGCTATAATAGTTAAAAAACAGAAAACGTAAATAGAATATGTTGAAAATTTCAGTCAAATTGCTCCACTCTGAACCGAGATATTAGATTTTGAATTTTTAACCTAGCCTCGATCATCATTACTAAAGTCTGTACAATAAAAAACATAGTGTTGATTATCCATTTTTTGATTTAATCATAAATGAGCGTTCAACAGCAGATCGGATTCAAATCTAGTGGAAATCTGATGCATAAGATGACATCGAGAGTTAATTAATGTCTAATTAATAGTTTATATAACATATAAAGAAAGGCCTGCAATAGACAGATTTAGCTCGTGCATAATGTATGTTTAATCCACTCTAAAAAGTACTCAAATTGATTATTGAAACAAACCTTAGTTTAAGTTTGTTAGGAGTATCCATATGAACATCAAATGTTTTTTCCTGTTGTGGCAAGTTTATTTTTTGACTATTATTACTAGGTTCTATAGGTTGACTCTGTTCCATGGTAATATTGGGTCTATCCGTACATTTAATAGTACTTAATGGTGGAGCAAACAATGAATTAACATTGGTTGATAAATTGTATGGTGTAGAGGCTAGTCGAGCTGTGGCACTGAAACCAGCAGTTGCCATAGTAAAATCCATTTCATGATCTTCCATCTTTTCTTCAAATGCAAAAACCTACAATAATTCATATTGATTAAAGGAATGAGGCTTAAAGTCTCGTCAACACAATACATATACTTCAGTCAATTTGAGACTAACATATGGTAAATGTTTAATGAGTCGGGAAAGTTTTTGTCCAGACAGCGCCGTTTACACCTACTCTTCTTTAATTTCATCTGACAATGTGTGCACGGACAGACTACATTTATCTGTAAAATCAGGCGAGACTCACCCATGAAAAGTGATAACTGGGCTTGAAAAATCTTGAAGGTTCTTCATAACCCACACCAGAATTCAAGACTTTTACATCGTTTTGAAACTAATACATAGTTATTTTATTTACTATGGTTATATATTCAGTTATGAATGGGGCACTTTTGTTGTGATGCCCATGCATTTGCCAACCCTATTTCTATTGTGAGTTTACTACGTCTACAAATAAATAACCTCGGTCTTCATACACATTCCCTTTGAGTTAAGAAAAAAGAGAGAGAGAGAAATGGGGTTTAACGCCCACTTGACACAAACTAGGTCATTTCGGGACTAACACATGGTTCAATTTTATTTCAGTAATTCGCTTGCACATAGGTGTCTTTACCAGTGGGAGGAAAATGAACGATACAGATAAAACCCATGGGGTTGGACAGGTGACCCTACTCCTTGTCACGTACAACCGATAATCAAAACCATGCCAGCTGACTCAATGCCATCCACCCCCCACACCCCAACGAAATGTTACATACAAATCTTTCAGATCTGAACATACAATGTTTACTGAAACTCTGATGACACAAGTTTGTATCAGTTTTATACATATACAGTTGAATATTTTGTCTGAACATAAATATCAAAAGTGGTCTGACTTACTGACTGACAGAGTTATATCCCTTGAAGCATAATTAAAGTACCAGTACTTGCATCAACCTGGCAAAATTTTGAATTAAATCTTTGCATATGTGTACTTACATTTTTATCAGAATTCTCAAACATGTGAGGTGTCGGTATTTCTTTTCTACTTTCAGTTGATTTTACTGGTTGATTTGTTTTACTGGATATTGACAGTCCTTTTTTCTTTAATTTTGTTTCTAATGGAACTCTATAAAATTAATAAATAATATGTTCTTACATTATGTTCTTACAGTAAATCAATAAATTTTGGGAGCCACAGTGGCTTGGCGAGTATAATCAGGAGATCCTGCCTGTGCATGATCCATACAAAATAGAGTAAGCTTCATAATAAATCTGAAATCATTTGTGAGAGAAGAATAAAAATAATAATATAATTCCAAAATCTAGAAAATTGGATAGTCAAAACATTTTTTTAATTTTTTTAGAAAATGATTTTGAAAGACATAAGATTTAATCAAAAGAAGTTGTTTTAGGGTTTTTTAGAATAAAAACAACCCAACAAAACTTCTTTATACAAGTACTTACTCATATTCTATATTTTCTTTATCAACAATAATAGGTTGAACATTAGTTGAAGGTGTATTATTTTCTGATGAACTCTCATCATATATTTGAAATGGAACTGAGGCAATTTGGGGGGCATTTTCATCAAATATTTGGAAAGATGCCACATTTGATTTCGCTGCCTTTTCATCATATATTTGGAATGGTGCACTGTCAGCTTTTGCCGCTTTTTCATCAAATACTTGAAATGGAGCTTCTGTTTTTGGTGCCTCTGTAACACATGAAGTAATACATTAACAGTACTAATAATAATAAATAAATTTAATATGGACTTTTTGTTTTCCCATTTCATTTATACCGGAAAAATTTATTTTTTTAGCGATGCTTACATTTTCAGCATTATCTGTGTTTGTCATATGATGAATGGTCCAAAACTACTAACAAATTATGGGATATTATCAGATATTACAGAGGGCTTTAACAAAATAATGTATCCCTACACACAAGGGTAAGTACTGGGAAAAACTTTATAATTAAAATTCAGTAACGATACACAACATCAACTATCAAATTTGAATAAAATACCTTCAATTCCTTCCATTTGTTCTGTTGGTTCTGACCAACCAAACTGTTCCTCACTTTGTAATGTACAGTTAAACATCCCAATTACAACTTGAAACGCTTCTTTAGTATGAACAGTTGGTGAGGGAGCTGTAAGCTGAAAAATCAATTTAAAAAAATACATCACACATACTTTGTGCTATTTTCAGGGCATTTTGGAAGGTCGGCCTGAAATTCTTCTAATTCCAACTGAAAAGGGTTTTTTACACATACCAATGTGTACACATGTGAACATCAGGACTTTGTCCCATTGGAAGGACTGGGCTCAATTTCCCGGTCAGTCATCACAAAAAAGATAAAGTTCTTCTCATCCAGTGACAGGTTTCAAGAAACATTCGAGACATTTTAGATGAGAGGGCAGTTTCTGGAATACTGGAATTATAACAGAGATGACATTTTCTTTCTTTACAGAATCTTGATCGAAGCAGACATGGTAGAAAGAATAAGGACCCCGTGTTTACAAAACTCTTATCTGCGGATGGTATTATAAACCCAAATACTTACACCCTGTTTTTTGTAAAAACTTCCTTCACTATCTGGAGTTGGAACACCTGATCTCTGTCTAGAACCAGCTGAATGTGTGGTTGTTGAATTTAATGATAAATTAGGCGTCTGCTGACTGCTATTATGGCTCATATTTAAATTAGGTTTAATTGCCCGAATATCAGGCTGATATCTCTGTTGTAAACTCTGGGCAATGTTCTCTGTCAGTCCAGTTGTCATTTCATCAAAGTTTAGTTGTTTTGTTACTGGCTGTTCCCTAGAAAATAAGAAAACGGCTTACTGTTAGTTTTATTAATGATGTATTTCCAATTAAAAACACTTATGGAAGATCTATCAAAAATTGAAAATGATAAAACAATTATGGTTTATCAGACTCCCACTTCTTTGCAAAACAAAACAACTACAATATTAATTGTGAATATGATGAATTGAAAATATTGTAACATTCGACATTTAAACAAGACATTGCCACCCATAAAAGCTGTGTAAAATCTTTTGTTTGATGGGTCTCTTTTTTTTATATTGAAATTGAATCCAAGCCAAGCCAGGAGATTATCTATCGGTAATATTTCCGTTTGTTATTTTTATTAATAATCAAATAATCCATCTGAAGACATTTTAGCCTAGATTATGCCATAAAAAATTAGATATTATCTGAAAGAGGCATGGTAGGGATCGACAGCTTTAATCTAAGGCATGATCGGGATTGACAGTTTTAATCTGAGGAATGACCGGCCTTGACAACTTTAATTGGAGGCATGATCAAGATCAACAGCTTTAATCTGAGGCATGATCAGCATCGACAACTTTAATCGGAGGCATGATTTGAATTGACAACTTTAATCTGATCATTTCAAATAATTAATTATCTCACCTTGTATTTTCGGAGCTTCCAGGTGTAGTAATTACACGACTATCATTTGATGACAGTTTAGGTTTTGGAACACACCTATAAAAATTACAAGTATTGGTTTAAGTTTAATTTAACTATCTTATAATATTCACAAATGTTGCATTATTGAAAAATTAAATAAATAAAAATGTTTATTTTGCTTAGAGGAAATCATTCATTTTCAACAAAGAAAATAAACCATTCTTTATTGTGAATTTAATGGAGCTAATTATAATAGTAATCTTAAAAGTCTTGTAAAAATGAAGACTGGGGATTGGCAACACTTCCTTGAAAGAGTCAAACAGGTTGGACAGACAAATTTCATTTTTTTTATTATATTATAATTTATATATAAGTATTACTCACTTGGGTGCTGGTGGAGGTTGTGATATACTATCTGTATTATTGATTTGTTGGGATGGGTGATTAACAGATTGATTGACAGATTGATTGACACTTTCATTGATATTAACAGTCTGTAACTTAGACTGGACATCACGAATCAACAATGCTCTTTCTTGCTGCAATTCTTCTCTAATTGCTAAATGATACTGTCCTAATTCTTCTCTCATCTTAGCTAATTGCTTTTTCTCAGCTGAAATTATATTAAAAACAGGTGGCTTATAGTCAGTAATTTTCGGGCCATGACTAATTTTTCAGATAGCTTTAAACTAGATATGTACTTTTGATTAAAATAGTTAATTAAGTAAACAAAACCAAAATATTAATTATAGATAAACTCCAGTCATGGATTCAATCATATTCATCATCATGTGTTTATAAATACTGAACAAAAATGAAAATGTTTTGGACAGATATTCCTTTTTGAGTATCAACTTCCATAATATTGTAGGTTCCCAAATCTCTAAATTGCGATCAGATATTTGAATACCTTCTATTCTTTGTTTTTCTTCTTCTATTTTCAGTTTCTCTTTTTTTTCTTTCATATATTTAGCAGCTCTTAGTTCTTCAAAAGAAAACTCCTCCATTCCTGTATAAATCATTGATTTCATATAAGCTGGTACTTGATCTACACCACTTTCACTATTATTATTACGCATAGCAGCCAGAGGATCAGCCTGCTTGGGTTTTCTAGCACTTAAAATACAGAAAACAAAATTTAATAAACAATTTTCAATAACAGATGTAGGTACTGCAGAGAGAGAGAGAGAGAGTGAGACAGAGAGAGAGTATAACATCCACTCAATGTGAATTTGGGATAACATATAATTCGCTTGTGGTAGAAATGAAATGGTGTCTTTAGCAGTGGGAGGAACCCAGAGAAAACTCACAAGATTGGACATGCAACCCTATTCCTTGTCGAGTACAGACTTGGGAGCTGACTTATATCTTAAGCACGAGCATTACACCACTCGACCAGCCAACCCTCCATAAAGACTACAGACATGATATATATTTATGACAATCCCAATGGCATTTACTTTTTTCTTTGAAATAAATAAACACATTTGAGCAGCAATGGCTTTTTACAGTCAAGATCTGGTCGAATTGATTTGTATGATTAACAGTAGGCCAGCCCATGGTATTAATTGCAAGTGGTTGCATAGGGAAATATACAGGTATTGTCTTTTCACAGTAGGCAATGTCATTAAAATGTCCTGGGTGGAGCTTCACATAATTATAGAAAGCTAAGACCCAGATTAGAATTCTACTGCTCAAATCCAGCCTAAAAAAAAAAAAAATTGACAAAAACTAACATTTATTAGTCTAGTATCTGAGATGCATTACATTATTTATTTCATAGTCTTTTAGTCCAAATATTAAGTAATCTTACCTTAAGACATGCCCGTCAACAACAGTTTTACGTGGAGTCCTGAAACATTCAAATTTAACATATAAATCATATTAACAGTTTCAATGTAAACGTATCATGTACCTTAATATATTACAACAAAGTCAGTGTTTTGGTCATATGTAACTTTGCCTGTCAATTCAAATATACAACAACTGTTAAATAGGCAGTGCCAGTTTTCACAAGACATCATATATAAAAGCAGGTATACCTATGTAACCAAATGCCAAAATGTGGCAATTTAGCTTGTTTAATATGTCTGAAAAGTTAAAATCAAAACATTGAACTGTTCGGCAATGATAGCCGATTTGCTTAATGAGGTTAAATAACTTAAACAAGAAATTGTTTGACTGACTTCGACTTGATCGCATACCACTAAATATCAGACAGCATGGAATTTGGGGACTGTTTTGAATAAAGGTTCGCAAGAGCATTTCACCTCAAATCAATCCGTTAAGCTCAATAAGATATAGACATGTGAGTTCACATGTAAAGAAATTAATGTAGACAGTGTACACCACCGTGTAGAGAGTAACACAAAAAGGTTAAGTGTGGAAAGAACAGGCAGTAAATTTATATATGTTCTGCCAGTTTGCATAATTAAGACAAGTAACTTACACCAGTGCATTATCATCTTCAACATGAATTTTAAAATCGGGCTCCCCAAATGCTCCAGAAAACCCTGGTCGTTGAGGTAACTGTAAAAATAGAAGTCAGATTTACATTAGAAAAAGATATGTTGAACAGTGTTCTAACCAGCAATTAACTTATGTGACAAATTTTATCACCTGGACATCCCTGGCGAAGTTTACTGCTAATGTGGGGGGATGGTGACATTTGGAATCAGATAATTAATGTCTGCCTAGAATGAGAGAACTGAACCTGTTTTATTCTTTTCTTTAACTAGAGAGAGAACACTACAAATTTGTTTAACAGGATCATACATGTAAATCCTACCTTAGATTTATTCCATGGACCTGGTTGAAGTTCATTCTCTATATTTGATTGTTTACGTGATGGTAGATTTTTCCACTCTCCTGTTTGCTGTGGAACAAGTGACGGTTGAACATTTTCTTCATTTAAAACTTCAGGTCTTTTATTTTGTGTCTTTAGGGGCATAGATCGCAAACCTAATCCTCCTTTTGATGCTATAAATATAATTCATAAGATACATGTATTATTTTAAATTACCTTTTGTTTTATTTAACATACATGTCCTAATATCAAATACCTTTTATTTCAGAAAAAAAGATAGGCTTATGAACAATGATACCACCAAAATTGGTGATTTTCAACCCATCCACTTGTGACAGTGCAATATTAATACTACTTCTACTATATGAGAATACAGTGGTGATCGACAACACTCCCTTGAAAGAGCCCAACAGTTTGGACGCCACTCGACACAAATTCAGTAATTTCGGAAATAACATATGGTTCAATTTTATTTCAACAATTCGCTTCCGCGAGGGGTCTTTAACCAGCATTTAGAGAATATGAATAATTGGCCAGCAGAGAGAGAGAAAACCTGATAATGAAATTTTACATGCTTTAAATTAATTACCTTGTTTACTTGAACCAGTTCTTTTGGTTCCAACTTGATGTTTTTTCCCAGTTGGTCGTAAATCTCCTAAAACTGATCGCTCTTCTCCTTCCTCCATTGCCTCATCTTGTTGACTTGTATTACCTCTTGCGGCTCTTACTTGAAATTCTCTAAAAAAAAAAATGGGAAATTAATTTAAGTTTGCGAAACAGTTGTTGAAAAGATACAATTACGCATTGCCTAACAATAATCCATGAATTGGCATAGAATGAGTTTTTATCGTCTGATCATCACAATACTTGACCACTTCAAAACTTAAATATTTATGGCCATGTGTCCAAAGAAAGAGGCAGACTTTGACCCGGAAAGTGGTATTTCCAACTACTTATCTTTGGCCTTCATTTTTCGTCCCATAGTTACTTTGATTAGTTTTACTACCCTAAAAAGTATTGTGATAAGTATTGCGATATTTCCTCAAATATCATCACAACCTATATTTGCCCATTATATAACTTACTGGTATTTTACTAGAAGTCTATCAGGAGGTTCACAAATTCTCTTGTAACCCTCTTGAAATATGGCATCAGCTTTCTTAAAGTTTCCAACTTGTTCCAAACAATATGTCCACGCTTCATAGAAACATGACAGCTCTACTCCTAATCCCTTATCAAACATGAAGTTAAAAATTTCCAGTGGTTGATCGCATAGATTGGCCTGAAAAAGTTAAAAGTTTATCATTAATTAAGAACAATTATATGTACAGAGTTAAATATTTGCATCACTCAAAGACGAGTTTGTTCTCAATTCTGTTCTTCATTAATGAAATCTGATAATGTGCCTCAAAAATCTTTGGTAAATCTACAATGACTTTTCTTGACATGTGCTTTTATGATAAAAAAAAAATAAATTTAACAATTTACATCATGGAAGGGCATAAATATTATCCATAATAAAGGTAGAGTAGGTACTAGTATCAATTTGGTTACTAAACTGACATATTTACAATGGTCAGTCATATCAGAGATTTGCATTTCCATTCAAATTTTGGCAACAAAGAAATTTACCAATGCATTGATGGATAAAATTATATTTGACATCAGCACTTTAGTAAACTGTGTTGTTTGCCAAAATTCTGTATTACATAATCATAAAAATGTGGAAAAGAATCATTAATCATGTTGCCAAGTCGAGCTGCGTGGGTTTTATTTGTAGAAATGTCAACTTACGAATTTGATCCACCAAATGATAAATCTGTGATCATTTGTGTATCTTTTATCATCATTAAATTGTTGCAAACATCTTTGAACAATGGTAGCAAAATTTCCACCTACTCCACGTGATGGAAAAGTCTTTTCGATCCATCTTATATACCTGTTAACATAGAAGATATTCAATTTACATGTAATCTTTTTTATGATTTGAAAAGCAATCAATAAGCTTTATCTTCAGGAGTTCACCCAAGATTTAACAATATATAAAATACAATCCAACAAATTGTGGACAACAAATACATTACTGGATTTGATTTTACAGACTTGTCTTGAGGTTGTACAGTAATTACGGTCCATAAAATGAACATTAGGACTAAAGAACTGACCTATCCCAGACATCAAGAGGATCATCACCAGTATAAGTTCTTAGCTCTAATTCAAAATCACTGAAATTAAAAGAAAGACATCATTGTTCAACAATAAATAAGAAGTAGAGATGTTTGGGATGCATTGTTTTTATTTTGTTGTTGGAAAAAGGTTTAAATAATTCAATTTCAGGTTGGTTAGACATTTTAATTTGTCTTGAGATTTGATTTATTAAATATAAAATTCAGACAAGAATGCTCATTAAACTAGATAATAAACATCACCTCCTGACCCTGCGTGTCTCAAGATAAGAGATACATGTAGTACTAAGACTAGTTCTTTCTAGCAGGTGTAAATGTGATTCACATAGCACTTCAATGAGCAAAACTGTCAATTTTTTCTTCAAAACTACGATATATTATTGTTACTATTTATTACATCTCTGGCACATACAACTACAATTAAGCATGTAATCCTACCTGACCTGACATGGGTACAAATCATCTCTTTTAAATCGAACGAAGCGTTAAATTAAATAGGGACTTGCATCCCCGAACCTAGGTCGCAGACAGGCAGCGGGCCCTAAGGCCAAGCTGCTGATGTGATAGTCAAACTTAAATTTACCTACATGTACCTTACCGGTACCTAAGGCTAATTTTGTAGCATTTATGGCAAAGCGTGCCTGTTTGTGCACGATCGCAATTCTTTCATTACGAGCATCTCCTTTGGATTAAGTCCACGGCTTGGGCACTTTCCTGCAGTGCACAGACATTGTTGTGTCTTACCCCAAAAAAGCTGGATCAAGCCTATTTTGTGGCTTCCTCAGGCAAGTTTCTTAGGAAACACTTGTCTACCATATCACATTTGGTGGAAGTGGACTAAAACTCCAGGGCAGAAAAGAACGAACTAGATAAGAATATTATATAATATTAATATGGCGTCACTGTTGTTAGTTTGAATTGATTGACGTGACTTGTGGAATATGTCAGATAGCCTCGTTCTTCAAGTTCCTTGTTACAAAATGGCACTGAAACGTATTATCGTACATGACTCATGTAGCAATGGTAGAATGTTTATTTTGTCTTAAATATTGGATATCACCAGAATTAAAATTCAGTAAGCCCATGCATGAATGATGATCATCATGATCTAGGCTAGGCCCTCTCTAGCCTACATTCACATTGACAATGTTGATTTTTAAATTGACAAATAATTTGTGTTTTCAATGTCGAGGAGTTTGGATGATATTGAGTTAGAGACTAAGCCAATAATAAAAAAAAAAATATACAAAATAAAGACACAAACTGACAAACTCACTGTTTTTCTGCTTTTAGTTTACTTTGTTGATCTGGGTTGTGTGGTTGAAGCACAGCATTCAGAGTTGAACAATCCCTCCCACTTTTTAATGGAAGAACATTTTCTTTGCTTAGTTCCCATTCAAATCCTTCATTGTGTCCGCTCATCGTTGTAATTCAGAAATTGTTATTTTCTTGAAGTTATAAACATTTAAATGCGATAAATTAATGTTACTTTACAAAGCTTATCTTTATTTTGAATTTGAAATTAGCGCTCTGCTCATGCGCCGGGTGGGTTTATCAAATACGTTACAGGAGTTATAACTGAAACGAAATACCAATTATTATACTTATTATAGCGTCTTTCGGTTTACTATCTGGATTAAAAAATCGTTTACAGCTCAGCAAACAAATCAACACAGACTACGGCCTACTCTTATATATCGAATTCCAAGTGTCAAGTGTTCTTTTACGAGACCTAGGTTTTCCATGGACCGTGTATATATACATATTATACGGTCCATGGTTTTTCTCCCAACCGAATGACTTGGCAGCTCACTCTGTCAAGCACCCCATCCTGCACCACTGAAAAAGTGGTGCTTGCAACGGGTGGTTGTCTTTTTAAGAGAGAATTGATATATCATGTTTCATCCTGTGTGGGCTTTGTATTCGTTGTCTACGACGAAACAGTCTGCAATCGGTTATATATAAATTTTTAATTTGGTATTGTTTATTCATTTACAAAATTTTCTTATAAGCATGGACGTCACACATGGGGGGTGCCCTAAATCCTATTTATTTACAACAATTATTAGGATTAGTTAAGATTCTATCTGTATAAAACAATGTACAAATTAAAACATAAATACCTATGTTTACTTTTTGAAATCCATTTATAATACACAAAATGTACAAAATACTTTAAATATCTATACAACTTTTCTGTAAATGTCAATGTGTATAATATGTATATAGTATTGTAGTTAACAAGGTGATTGTCAAATATGCATCCTCATAAACTAAAGTTATGTGATCAAGTTTTGTTTCATTTGGATCCTCCTCATAAAAATACCCCTACTATAAACTCTCTTTGTCGTGTTGTTCATAACTCAAGCGTAACATTCAATATGTAAAAGTCATGAAAAAATATGAATACGGCACCCCCTGATTTAAACATGATAAACATTGTATTGGTGTGATGTTTTAGTTTAACCCCGTAAAATATGTCAAAACAGTGTTTACAGATAACTGAAACATTAAAAAAAATTTATGCCCCCCCCCCCCAGTGGAAGGGTAACCCTCCCACACTCTCCCTATAGCTCTACATCGGCTGTCAACATTTTATATAATTTCATATGCCCCCCCCCCCCACCCAATATATATTTCACGGCTACGCCTCTGCTTATAAGGACGACTTATATTGTATTGTCTGGCTGATATTTTACTTGCCAAACCGCCCCAACACCGGTTAGTTAGTTCGAACACGTTCTAAATTTCGAAATTGGGTGAAAAAAATGAAAAACTATTGAAATATTTGAATAGCTTTCACGCTTCTTACAATTATTCAGAATGCGCACAACGAAAATCGAAAGCGTTGTGGATTTCCAACGTCAAAGGGAAATCCAAAGAATCTTGTATTATACACTGTATCGCGTAATGATAAATTGACTCTCTCGAACAAACCATATGGAGAGTTGAACACGCAAGTCTTTTATTAAAATAGACTTTACTACTATAATATAACAATACAGAATCACTGTTCAATCGTATAATAATAAAATGGATTAATAATAAAAAGTAACTTAGCAAAGATAGAATGAAGTACTACTATAGAATTTCTATAACAATGATGAATACGAAGGGACCATTATCAAATAAGACTTGATTAATAGGCAATATATTGCAATAATGTTTACTATGGTCAAATATAGAGGTGGTTTACCAGTCAAATACGGGACAACACACAAGTATTCATAGACTCTAAGCACAAATAAAAAATATTTTTGTCTTTGTTATATTTTTCACTGTTGAGATCAAATCTCAAATTACATTGCATGATAATGTGAATTACTATCTATAATCTTTGTGATCGATTATATATTGATCCTTTTATTAGTTGCGACCAGAAACTTCAAGCAGTTTTGAGTTGTATTCGATTCCACACAAATGGCAAAAGCGGTTCTACCGGTCTTAGAGAAAGCCATTTTTACTGCATTTTTCAACGCGGCCGATAAGAATAAAGATGGATACCTGTCAATAACCGAATTAGACAGTGTTGTTGCTCAACTTGGACTTAATTTATCAATGGCGGAGATACAGGTGGGTTAATTACTTTATGTTTTGTTGCACAGTTTTCCTGTATTTTCTACTATCGTTAGACACACAAGTGCACAATATTTCTTACTGGCTATGGGAATTTAATAAAAAAATTAACACACAACTGAATTCGACTTATAATCTTTATGTTTCAGTAATATGGCCTTCGACCATATTATGGTTCATAATTTTGTCTCCCGACTTTGTGTTTTCTAGCTTACTTCACACGACGTTACCACACATTCTAAAGTCCATTGAGACTTTGCGGGTCAATTCAATTCCAGTGTTTAGGTTGGGTTATGTTGGTGTAATATTAAAAACATCGGTGTTACACAAGATTTCCACACGGAACGGTCTCAATAGTTTTTTTAATAGTTAAGATACATTATGTTAGATTAGATAAAGAGCTGATAGTTCTCGATATAATAGTTAAACACTAGATAATGTAAAGGGAATTTGCTGAAAATTTCAGTCAAATTGATCCACTTTGAACCGAGATTTTAACGATTGAATTTTCGGCCTAGCCACGGTCGTCATTACTAAAGTCGGTACGATAAAAAACATAGTCTCGATTATCCATTTCATGATTTAATCATGAATGGAAGTCCAACAGCAAATCGGAACCTAATCCAATAAACACCGCAGGCTAGCGATGCCATCAAGAGTTGATTATGGCCTGGATAAGTTAATTAATGTCTAATGAATAATTTAGATAACATTTCAGGCCTAAAGAAAGACCTTCAATAGACAGATTTAGCTCTTACATAAATAAAGGTTGAAATATTTCAAAATAACATTTAAAATACATATTGTGCTCGGCCCCTGTAGGTCATTTTTGCACACAATATGATTCTTTCCGCCCTTAAAGATACATTATGGGAGATTCGATAACGAGTTGTCTGTTCTCACTATAATAATTAAAAACTAGATAACGTAAAGGCAATTTGCTGAAAATTTCATTCAAATTGATCCACTATGAACCGAGAACTAAGCGAATGAAATTTCTGCCTAGCCTCGGTCATCATTACTAAAGTCAGTACGTTAAACAGCATAGTCTGAATTATCCATTTAATCGTTTAATCGAGAAGGAAAGTTATGCAGTAAATCGGATCACAATCCACTTAAGATCGCAGGCTAGCGATGCCATCTAGAGTTGATTATGGTCTGGATAAGTTAATTAATGTCTAATTAATAATTTAGATAACATTTCAGGCCTAAATGTATGTTTAACTAATTAATTAATTTTCCTTTCTATGGATATAGAATACGAATCTAAGCATTCATGCCAGCTGGATTAAAACCAAACTTCATTAATGAACCTTTTTTTTATAACCCTCAATGGCTACTGTCAGAGTTATTGTTTTTGAAAACCTCTTATGTTATATAACTCAAAATATTTCGGCACCATTCCACGGGAATAATGTACATATACATACAGGTCAGAGTATGTTAATATATTTTTCTATAACTTGTTTGGGATGTGCATACGAAAGCTGCAGCATGTTTTATCCTAATTGTCAGTGGTGCAGGGTGGGGAGCCAGACAAGGAAGAGCGTGGGACGAAAAGTCAAGGTCCATCGTGCACGACACGCTGTCGCTTTTCAAAATTTTGGTATCGCGTTTTGATGGGTTATCTTTCCGTCGATATTTTGGCTGTTACAGCTTTGGGTCAGTTCTAAAGAAATATCAGCGTAAACAATCTTTTGGGAATATACCTTTATTGGCGTGTAAATTTTTTTTTTTTTTTAAATTTTATAGACTACTTTTACTGATATGGACACCAATAAGGACTGGAAGATTAGTTTGGAAGAATTTCTGAACGGAATGCAATATCTAGACCCAAACAAACGCAAGTATGTGGTTGATAACTATTTTTTCGCAATAGATGGTGCCAGTTTAAAAAAGAATAAAATCAGTTACAAGATCTCAAGCAGATAGTAGGGGTCAAATTTAATTTTGCCGGTATTCAATTCAGTGTCTGTGGTATAATTATTGATTGGTTTCTTGGTCGTTTTCTACCATTCCAGCGGATGGGACGAAAATCGAATGTCCATTCGTGCTCTCGTTTGTGTGTAATTAAAAGAACCCTTGACAGTTACAATTTGAAAACTCCATTGGAAAATCGGGTAAAAAGATAAACAAACATAATGTAAAATTTCTCGCCAGGAACATTAGCGAATTACTAAAATTGTTGTAAATTAAAATTTTAAAAGCGCAACAGTACACCAAAATATCTTCGATATTGCTGTGAGACATGGAGAGTTGTGTTAGTTTTACAACATATTATAAATATAATCGTTATTTTTATTTCAGAGCCGCCATGGACGTTGCTACAAAATGATAGACAATATACTCTTAATATTTCTTCAGCTGTTTTCCAACATTTTTAAATATATACATTATTTTCGTTGTTGTACCCGCCAATTTATGGTTTCAATAATAATAATTTTTAAAAAATCAGTGTAATAAAAATACGCCTAAGAAGTGTTTGTATTTGTATCAGATTAGTGTTATATTATTAACATAACAGTACATGGACCAAGCTGTGGTTTTGGTTTATATGTCTATACCTTTGGCAGAAAAATAAATCTAGGAACCGTGGAAGAATTGGTCACAGTAAGTTTCAGATTAGGACACAATGTTCGAAACCATATTGTGTTGTTGGTATATGTTTTAGACGATGCTTCTTGTAACATCAAGTATTATTGTATCTGAGACCATCCGGTAGTTTATAAATATATTTTAATGGGATGATGCCCACTACGAAAATAAGTTTTTGTATTAATCGCCGCATATAATTCACGAATAGGGCATCCTGTTAAATATTCATCTTGTCGGTAATTGTAAAGCAATTTAATTTTAATAAATGTTCATCGAAATGTTCGTTTGTTAATAATTGTATAGGAGAAAGTTCCGAATCTCAAACACAGTAATGTATGCAGCTGACGTTGGATCATTAAAACACAGGTGACATTTTCTTTAAAAATACAATTCACTCAAAACAGTGGAAGTTTGTTTAGTCTGACAAGAATAGAAATGAAATGGGGATTAAGGTCCTACTCATCTTCAATAGAAGGCTTGATCTCGCCTTAACTACGTACATCTTATCATGTTGTAAAACTCGCGGTCGTTGCTTCAGGAACATGGGTCCTACTAGGCTAATGAAGGCGGGCTTACGCCCTACAATGTGCTATCCAAGGGGGGGGGGGGGGAGATTTGCACTGACAACGGTGCTACGGCATACTCTTAATTCGTATTCCAACTGTCAAGAGTCAAAGGTTCTTTTATGTGCACGCCAATGTTTAGAACCTCAGTTTTTCGTCCCATCTAAATGACTAGACACTGTCTTTGCTAAGCCCTATGTCCTGCTCCACTGACAATCGGGAACCGCTCCAGAAAATCCTGAGGAACTTTCTCGGCCAATTAAGACTGGGAGTGAACATGAGACCTCCTGGTTACTGAGCCAGAATCTTATTAACTCAGCTGCTAGAGTAAGATAGTATTAGTGTTGCTAATGCTAGCATCTAGGTATGGTAGGAATGGAAAATAACAGGATCTTGTGAAATCCCAAAATTTCCCCTACTACTGCCTTTGAGGATGGATGTGGGAATACTGAACAAAAATAAGCTATGTCCAAAGACAGTTGAAAGTGACAAAGTGTTTGTTGAATGAACAAGTAAATGAAATAACTTTGTATATTTGATCAAATAATGGCCATTTCTAATTTTTGTTATAAATCTGGTTGTCAGGTGGGTGGGGTGGGGATATGTTTTAAAGGATAGATAAAAACATTTAATTCAAGGATTAAAATTTTATTCAATCATAACAAAGGCTATCAACTCACAAACCCAAGTATATAAGTTGAAATGGTATATAGAAGTTATTCGTAGATTAAAACTTTTCATAAGTACATTAAAATATTTAAATAGATCACATAGCATCACTGGAGACCAATTTTATTAGTTTTGATTACATGTATGTGTTTCCTTATAATACATACACACATAGTAATATATATAACTTGTGGAATTATTACACCTAACCCTCTCACCGGCATCTCAGATGGGGCATAGATGTATAATGTGGTCTCTTAAATTTCATAATCAGTGTTTGGCTAGCCTGGTGACCCCTTGATAATATTCGTGGAAGATTATGACAAAAATTTATAATGAATAACAGAAAGATAGCAACTGCAGATATTACTTGATCAAGTTGGTTCAATGTATGTATTATTTGTCCTTAATTTAATAAGAGAACGTTTTGTTGTTGTTCAAACAATACAGCAGAAAGAAATCCTATCAAGTGTTCCGTTCAAATGTTTCATAGCTGAAGTCCCACATCCATTTTGACAATGTCTGCTACCTCAATGTAAAACTGATCTCATAATTTTTGGCTCCCCCAATTATCAATCATGTATTTCTTATGGATTGGATATTTAACACATACAAATATTTTTTGATACTTGATGTCAGTGAGTTCTTATGCTGAATGAATAGGTACGAATTGGGTTTTATCTTGTCATTTTTACATGCTACAAGCAAAACAAAATCAAACCTCATATTTAAAGAAACATTATATAAAATTCAGACAAAGAGCTAGCAATTCTTGCTATAACAGATCAAAAACAGATAATGAAAAATGAATATATTGAAAATTTCATTCAAATTGTTTATTCTGAGCGAATATATTAGCCTTTGAATGTTTGACAAGATGTGTGAATTGATTGTAACCAACGTACCGGTTTTTGAAGCTTTGACTTGCTTCTCCATTTTTAAATTAAATGGCCGAATCGTTAAAATCTTCTTTATATCGGAAAAATCAGATGGCATCGAGATTTGATTATGGTCTTGTCATGTTAATAAATGTCTAATTAATACTTTATGTAACATTTAAGACCTAAAGAAAGACCTGCAATAGGCAGATTTAGCTCTTGCATAATGCATGCTTAAACTATATTATATACATGGGTGTTAATCTGTAATTAAAGATACATTAGCTAAGAGCTAAATCTGCCTATTGTAAGTCTTTCTTTAGGCTTCAGATGTTATAGAAATCATTAATTAGGCCTTTATTTACATGACAAGCTCAAAATCAACTCTGTAGACCCTTGGATGGCTTGGATACCGCTTAGATTTAAACAGTTGTTCATTTAACAATTAAATCAATAAATGGCTGACCAAGTGAACGTTTACCGTTATCACCGACGTCACTACCGACGAAAGGCCTGCTAATCGAGGGTACCATAGCCATTGAGAATGTTACTTGATAATTGAGAATATGTGGGTGGAGTTATCGTCTGCCAATCAAATGATCAGCAATTCTCAGTTTATGCCTATTTCTAGTCCAAACTTCTAACAGTGACGACTTTGTTCAGAATAAAGTAATTTGACTGAAATCTTCAATATTTTCTTTTTTTATCATCTATTTTTGAATTATTATAGTAAGAATGGCCAACTATTTATTAAACTCTTAACTAATGTATCTTTTAAAAAAAAAAGGAAAAAAAAAAAACAAACCCCAAAGGGTATAACAATTCATGTACAAAAATAAACTTATTTGCATCGATAATATACAAAGATTTTTTTATAGAGATACAATATACATGTGTATTCTACAGTAAATCATTAATGTAACATAGCAGCGAATCCACGAACATTAGAGTGTTACAGTACTCAGAAATATTAGATCAGTTTTTTAAATTAGGGTTTTTGAATTTAATAGTAGTTAGCAATGCAATACATTTCAGCTATTAACCTAGGTTTTTAATATTCTCTAATATCTCAAACCCAGGCAAATATTTGGACAGTTAAGTTTAAATACTTTCCAAGGATTTTGTAAGCATGCAAATTGTATCTACAGACCAAGTATTGGATCCGTTCCCCTACCATTTATCAAATGTCAAATGCCCTAATTCAATCAAATACTGATTGAATTAATAGTATTTTTCTCATATTAAAATTATGCGATCTCAATCCCTCATCTATCAGTTTCATGTCTCAAATCTTTTACATTAAACTTATTCAATAACACAATTATGCTGATCATAACTATCATAATATGACAGTCCTTTACATAGTTTGTAGTTTGACATTATTATAATTTAATTCACACACACACACACACACAAACACAGTATGATCATAACAGGGCTCTCGTTTCAATCATATTTGACAGTCATCACTAACTGGCAGTGAAATTGACCAGCCATAAATTTAATTAGAATTTCATAGAGCCAAACTACTTTAATCCAGTTAAATTTATAGCTATTATGTGTAAAAAAAAAAAAACTTTTTAAAACTTATATATAAAAAAAATGAGTAATTATTAAAAATATCTTGCTTATCTGAGGTAAACAAAATACCAGTTGGCAAATTTTAAAGTGAAAGCCCTGGATCGCATCGAACACTCCATTTTCAAATACAGTATAACACTTTTCTATGTCAAGCATAATATGATGTGGTTTAATATTTTTTTTTATAGATGTACTGTAAATTAATATTTTCCATTTCTATAATTATATTAAAATATATTAACAATTTAACAATAGTTTGAGCTATAGTATTTAATTTACATATGTCTATAAATATAAATAATTGTTAATATATTCTTCCTGTTTCTTATGCTTTAAGTAGAAGTCTATACTCGGCTGTTTAACTCTGTATTTGGTATTCTATAATGTTTTAATTGTAGACATCTCATCTAAACTGATATATTGGAATACTTCTGTCAGGACAGTGGTGTAATTTTAAAGATTGAAACCTGTAAGAAAGATATAATATAAATTACCATTATTGAAAGATCCAGCTGATTCATATATTACAGACGGCAGAAGAGTAAAATCAACTAGGACATGTCAATTGAGACTGACTTTCTCCTGGGATTCCCAATCCATAGAGAAATGATTTATATTAAGGTTGTGCACCGGCTGGCAGTAGGGCGTCAAGGAAGGCCCTAGCTTCATAACATGCAGGTCTTTTCTCTAACCAGTAAGAATTGCACATTTACAATCATGTGATGTACTTCGTCCAGCAGGAGCAGATGACAATGATACAACATGTTTCAGTGAATCCCATTTTGGAAATCACATTATTGAGTGCAAATTCCATCTTGAATTTTTAGGATTTTTGAAAACCCTAATGCCAATTTGATTTTAGGGTCTTGATAAATAGCCTCCAATAAATTTTTCTTTTTATCTAAGAAATAGGAAACAATAGTTAAGGTGTTCCAAATGGACTCAAATTCAATTTGGTGTGGCCTCTGGGGTCAGGGAATATTTTGAGAATAAGAAATGAAATGAGGTTTAACACCATACTGTGTGCTATGAGGGAAATTCCGCACTGGCAGCGGCACTATCCTACTCTTATATCGAATTTCAACTGCCAAGGGATCTTTTACGTGCATGACAATGTATACTCTGGAACTTGGTTTTTCGTCTCATCCAAATGACTAGACAGCTGACAAGGGGAAACCACGTCGGAAATTCCCAATGAAATTTCTCAGCCAATGCAGGGATCGAATACCCGACCTCCAGGCTAGCAAGCCAGTTCCCATTTTGAGGATAATTTTTTATACATGTATATATTGGATGCTAGAATACAGAACATAAGTAACAGCACTTTCTGACAGCACAGAAAGTCATAATAATACTTCACTAGCCGTTACAAGACAAAGATAAAATTACAAAAAAAAAACAACATTTGTATACAATTCAAAAACTAAAATTTGTCAAAATACTAAGTGTCATTAACACAGCTCTAGTTCAAAACTTCTGATGTCTCATAGAAGAACCCAAAAGCCTTTAACCCCCCCACCCCACTAGAATTATAATTATTTCTCCCAGTATGCAATCTCTTCCTTAATGTAACTATATACAATGTATCAGGAAAACTTGAGAAAGAATAAAGCCTACCATTCTGAACTTCTGTGATAATAAAATCCTTCTATGGTAGCAGTAGATTTGGTAAAACATATATAATAAAACCCAGCAAATGAAGCACCTGTAATATCTTTTATTGTGTGATCTGGCACCAAAAAATGTTCCTGTAAATACAGAATTATACACTAGAAATTAATTCCTGAAGGATATAAAAATTAGAAAAGTTGGGAACAAGAAATATTGCCAATGGCACTAAATTTGAATGGCTTAGGAGGATATTTGTACTTTGCATTTAATGGGTTCCAGTTCATTTAAGGTGCATTTGAAGAAACAAAATGGTCATTCTTCACCAAAATTTTAAATTATTATAATTGTTGGGTTGTTTCCTGACTATCCTCTATTTACAATAAAACAGATTCTGTGAAATAACAATTTAACACATTTATATATCCTTACCTTCCACCTCATAAAAACAAAATCTTTTTTCTTTAGTTCTTCATAATCAAAACTGTCTGAATTAAAATTCTTGGCAAACTCGAAAAATGTTAAAAACTTTCCCTGGGAAGAAACCACAGTAATAAATATGTAAATGAGGAATAATAATTTAATATACACTGTTCAAATTTCAATTAAAACAATGTCTTCCCAGATATACATTAAAGATGCATTATGTAAGAGCTCAATATGCCTAGTGCAAGTCTTTTTTCTGGCTTCAAATGTAATAATGAATTATTATTTAAACATTTATCAGCATGACAAGCCAATAAATCAATTCTATGGACCATAGGATGGCTCAGATTTTTATGTAGATTAGAACACTGCAGCTATTTAAGAGTTTAACAATAAAATAGATAATCGAGACTTAGTCTATGCTATAAATTGTGTCAAAACTTCAAACACTCATAACTTTGCAAAGAATAAAGTGAGAGAGAGAGAAATGGGGTTTAACTAGGTCATTTCGGAACTAACACCAGGTTCAATTTTATTTCAATAATTCGCTTGCGCGTAAGGGTCCTTAGCAGTGGGAGGAAACCGGAGGTACCCACGAGGTTGGACAGGCGACCTTACTCCTTGTCACGTACAACTGGGGAATCGAAACCACGCCAGTTGACTAAATGACACGTGCTAACCATTAGGCCATCCAACCCCCCAAAGAATAAAGTAACTTGACTGAAATGTTCAATATATTCATATTTTATTATCTATTTTTGAATTATATCTATTATACCAAGAACGGACAGCTTTTTATCTTATTCTTACATTATGCATTTTTAATAATTTAAAGAAGCAAAATGAGTGTACTGTACAAGATCTAGGACAACAGTGTATGGCCTTGACTTACTATCCAGGTAGCCCCTGATTTTATCCCAGTGTTGGCCAAGAAATTTCTTCAGGTTTGTCTAGGCTGGTTTCCTCCTTGTCAGTTGTGCAGGTTGGAGGGACTGGCAAGGAAAAGTATCAGTTGTTTGGATTGTACCTGTGTATATCATTGACAGCACATTAAAGATCCTGGCGTTGTCAGGGCAAATTTTCCCTCATAGCACGATGAATGGCATAGGCATATCTTCATTCGCCCAGTTAGTGCAGAAAGGCAAGGGGCTAAATCCCATTTGATTTCAAATGTAATATTTCCTTTTACTCTGTTACATGTAGCTACAAAAGCATCCTTGGGAAAAATAAAGGTATAATTGCCATATTGAGATCATAGAAAATATCAGTATTTGATTGACACACTGGTATTTAATTGTTAGTGTCAATCATCTTTTATAGCCCCATTCTGACAAAGAATGGTGAACACATGAGTGGACTGATGGGAGATCCAACACTGATCAAATATCATTGGAAATTTTAAAAAAATAATCCAACTTTTATGTGAAATTACAATATAATTTGTTTTGTTTGTAATTGAGAATAAAAGACATGTAAACTAGACCGTACCCAATGTTTTCTGTCAACATCTTCATCTGCATCCCATTTTCTTGTTAAGAAAGGATGTTTAGCACTGATTATCTCTCCGTCAAAAAAGGTTGTTAGTGTAGGAAATTCCTCTGTTAAACCTTTGATTTTTAGGTAGCCACATAAATAAGCCTTTTCCATATCACAGTACTGAAGTTGAAGTAAATAATTAATTCTAAAGACTGAATAATAATTACAAAAGCATAACAAACATGAACAAACGTACATTAAAATTAATGCCACGGATTGTAATTTAATTTTTTGGGACAATAGACCTATCTGTGGTGAAACGACTCTAATGGCTTGGGATCGTAACCACGACACGTGACTAAATGACAGTCCTTATGAACCATAATCTAAAGCGCTCAAGTTAGACCATTCAACATTCCCCCCACTTCCTCCGGTATGAGTACAGAACCACCAACTTCTATGTGACTGGGAGCACTTTGAGTTAGTTCCCCACAACTAGGGGCATAAGATAAGATAAGATTTTTATTGATACATCATAAACAGATAAAAACAACATCAATATGCATTGCAGGTATATAAACTTAACATTTAAAGGGACAATAACACTCTTGCTGGCTTGAAAGCTCCAGAAAATAAATAATATCTCTATCTAAGTACTAGATGTTTAAGTGTCCTACCTGTTGTGTAAATTAACCATTACATCCTATTTTACTTGTCCAGAGGGTTCGAAAATATTTTTAAATCGAAGTTTCATTTGAAAAGGTTTACGTTAGACGTTTCAACCCATTATGTTGAATTTTTCAAAATTTCTAAATAAGGTGTGTTAAGATGAAATTTGTATCATCAATTAGATCTAATTGAAATATTGTAAAATAGTACAATTTGTTGACCAGAATAAAGATTGGGACATATTATTCAGTTACAACAAGAATGGTATTGAGGCTTTAATAATTAAATAGTCTCATCTGTACTACAGTGCTTTAAGTTGAGGTCTTCATTTAACCCTGTGGCCTAAGATTAACAACTTAATCTGTTTGTGTCACCCTACCAACATTTTTAAATGACATAAAAGTTTTGGAACACAAGCTTACCTGAAGTACAACCTCAACATCATATGAATTTCCTTTGCTTTTTTGTTGGCCTTGGAATCTTGAGCCATTGTAAAGTAAAGTTGTTGTCACACCAGGCTGGATGGAATCAGCTGGGGGAGGTGGGTCAAGTTTGACTGGAACTGGCATGTCTGTTGTTGCTCTGCCAACGATGCCAATCAAGGGGTCAAATTCATTTGCCTAAAAGTTATGTTAAAACTATTTTGATTGGCTAGAAAGACGTCAGATGAAAGCAACAGCCAATCATGAACAATATACGTAATATTTATAAAATGGCCGCGCCCATGTTTTTCATGGTACGATCAGTTTTGACAGTTTCTTTACGATATATTAAACAAAGTAAACTTTGTGGATATCAGTATAATCAGAAAAAATGCATGTCGTCATATCGAGGTAATTTTCGATCTATATATTGTTATTACAATGAATTATATTCGGTAAATATACGAAATACGGTAAGTAAGCAGGCGGGTTCGTAGGTTAAAGGGGGGTAACTCTAAATAAAAGCACTTAAAAAAATCAAAGCAATTTTGTTATAAAATGAAATGGGCTTTAATGTCCTACTCCGACTGGAAATGAAATGAAATGGGGTTAAACGTCCTACTGTTCTGCTCCTATACTGGGCTAATGAAGACGGGCATACACCATACAGTGTGCTATGAGGGAAATTTTGCCCGGGCAGCGGCACTATCGCCTACTCTTATATCGAATTCCAACTGCCAGGGGATCTTTTACGTGCATTCCAATATATACACGGGACCTCAGTTTTTCGTCTCATCAGAAGGACTAGACAACTGTCCTTGTCAGGCCCTCCGTTCTGCACCACTGACAAGGGGAAACCACGTCGGAAAATCTGGATGAACTTTCTCGGCCAATGCAGGGCTAATGAAGACGGGTATACGCCATACAGAGTGTTATGAGGGATATTTTGCCCGACAGTGGCACAAAGGCCTACTCTTAGTCTTATATTGAATAACAACTACATGGGTCCTCGGTTTTTCTTCCCATCCAAATGACTAGACAGCTGTCCTTGTCAGGTCCTCCGCCCTGCACCACTGAAATCACTTCGGAAAATCCCAATGAATTTTTCGGCCAAGGCAATACCGGGAGCGAACCCGCGACATCCAGACTAGCCAGCGAGTGTCTTACCCACTTAGCCACCAAGACTCCCAAATCATCATAATTTAAGTAAACTTTTTGAATGCCGTAAAGAGGTATGGTTTATTTATATTTATATAGTCTTTCACCCATCATTTTTTATCTGCATACATGAATATGGTAACATGATTACTTTTTTGTTTTCAGAGCTGAAGAAATTCTACAAAAATGCATCCATAGTTACAACTGAAGGTAAACTACACAAGAACAATGACCTTTATTATGAATGCTTATTTATTATTATTAAAGAAAAAGGAATGGATGGAGAATGTAGCCTACATGTGAACTATTCTAATAAGCTTAGGCCTACATATTTTTTTATTATTAAAAAACTTTACATCAAAACACCCTTGTATTTTAATTCTCTAATGAGTTGGGGGATTGGATGGCCGAATGGTTTGCACATTGCATCATAAGGTCTGTCATTGAGTCATCAGGCATGGTTTCGATTCCCCAGTTGTAAGTGACAAGGAGTAGAGTCGTCTGTCTAACCTTGTGGTTTTTCTCCAGGTGCCCCGGTTTCCTCCCACTGCTAAAGACCCCTATTTTATTGAAATAAAATTAAACTATATGTTTATGAGTTAACTCATAAAAAATTATTATCTCTATTGTGGCATTTAATTGCAGCGCCCTTTTTCTTCAAACAGATTTTTAATCAGTCACAGCATGATATTGAGTCGGTTGCACCATGTATACTGAATGAACATAAAATTATAAACAAGACAAAGGACTACCAACCATGTCATCCACATATCTTCACCTATCCCATGCCAAATTGATTTCATGACAGTTTTTTTTCTACAACTACCACATGCAGTTATATTTTCTTAATATTACTTTCGTTTTCCATTTATAGGATGGTATGAAATAAATTTAGATAAAAGAAAGCTTCGTACCCCAGGAGGAAATTTATTTCGTGTACCCAATGAAGCACTTGCTTTAGCTGTAGCAACAGAATGGAATTCACAAGACAAAGTCATTAAAAGACATAATATGCATTTAGTAAATAGAATTCTACTTAGTTTTTATTGTTATTTATTGCAGATATAAATTTGTGTAATAGTAAGTGCAGGAGGATTACACTACACACAATTATTAACTAGAAATCTGTAGGATAATATAAGATGATGAGGTTGCCTACTAATGTACTGATCAATATGATTAGGAACATTTAGTAACTTGCATTTTGTTCTAATTATTGGTATATTCTGAATAAACTGGTTTATTTGTAAAAGTAACTAGAATGAAATAATTAATCGAAGATGTGTCTTTTGTTTGTTCTTTTAGACATCCTTATGTAATACAGCATTAGACAACCCATTTCATAAAACAAGAGATGTTTTGACTGATAGTATAATTCATTTTCTAGAAACAGATACAATGTGGTGAGACTTTCACTAAATTTCATTAGTGATATTAAAGTGTAATTATTTCTGGGCCTGGTGTATTGTTTTATACATGCATAATGACCCAATTTTCTGGCATGTGAATATAAAGGGCATAGGTGCCACAGTGCCTCGGTGCGTATGATGCTGGCTCCCTGGATATAAGGCACCTGTGGTATAGGGATGGACAATCTGATTAAAATACAGATCTATATTTCGTTTCATTTTTTTATACTTTCGATGGCCTACACTACATAAAGATCAGACAAAGTTATAGTGGGGGTTCACGTCAGGGGTCAAACGAGCGGCTTTTGACCCTATGACGTCAGACATTGATTAATCAATCGGTGTTGACGTTTCTAGTGGTTTACCCACAGTTCTGTGCATAAAAAGGCCAAGAACTCGCTGTAACAGACCGTTTCATTGGCTTATTCCTAACATCAATTAGAACGCCTGTTACACAACTCTTCCAGATCCTAGTGTAGTAAAGACCAGTAAAACGAAATTTGAACTATAAAACGAAACGAAATAGGATCTGTGTTTTAATCAGATTGAGGGATGGAGGGCCTGAAAAGGAAAAGGCATCTAGTCCTTTCAACAAAGCACCATGGTAATGGACAATTTTTTAAGGAAACAAAAATATCAAATGGCGTTAAATGATTTTACCAACCACTTAGAAGTGCTTGCTTGTTTATATCATCTGCAGTGGATGCTGAATGTTGGGGGATTTTTAATTCATGTCTTTGTAAATACTGAATGGAATTAACCATTTTTGGACTGATATTCCACTATTTAGAGTAGAGATTCAGTATTGTTAGGGATGTAAAATCTGTGAAGCAATAATAAGCGGATTAATCATTACTAGATACTCATAGGAATATGATATATAGACTCATCCCAAACTTGGGCTGTCTGTCTACAGCTAGCTTCGAGAGAGAGAGAGAAATGGGTTTTAACTCAACTTGACACAAACAAACTAGGTCATTTTGGGACTAACATATGGATTAATTTTATTTCAATAATTCGCTTGTGCGTAGGGGTCTTTAGCAGTGGGAGGAAACCGGAGGACCTGGAGAAAACCTACGAGGTTGGACAGGCGACTCTACTCTTTGTCACGTACAACCGGGGATTCGAAACCACGCCAGTTGACTCACTGACAGGCTTTATGATACAGCGCGCATGTGCTAACCATTCGGCCATCCAACCCCCCAGCTAGCTTCGAAGTATGACGTAGATGGATCGCTGCGTGCAGTATGATATAGACTAGCATGTGTTAATACCATCATGTTTTTGCTAATGTTTGTTTTCATATATTCAGTTACAGATTGACGGAACCTGAAGATCTAGTTCGATTTCAATCACAAAACTGGGATCCAGTTATAAACTGGGCAAAAGATAGGTTGGTTAAAACATGGTATTTGTTGATATATTGCATGGAGATTGGTTTGAAATATTTAGCCTACACAAGGATTTGATTTGTCTCCTCTAAGTTTGTTTTATCTATTCAAGAAGCCATTAGAATAGGTATAATGAAGTACCTATGACCACTATCTGGTAGCTGTTTATAAACATGTTACTTGTCTCTAGTAGAAGATGCCAAAGATATTCTGAAATTGTAAAATGTTGAAAAAACAAACTACATTTTACTGTATGTTGAAAAAACAAACTACATTTTACTGTATTGCTTATGCTTATATAATGAGAAGACCAACATAGGGTCAGTGGTTTGATTAAACTTTTATAGTCGGATTGATTAATTATTGACAGATATTAACGACACTACACTTTATGTGGAAAAGCGAAGTGCTCGCAGTAAAAAACACATACCTGGACCCGTATATTATTTACATATTAAAAGTGTTCGTCCAATAAGTTCCATATTGTAAAAAATTAATTAAGAGTTCAAGACTTCAAAGTTTGAAAGTTGTAGGCACTCTAAATTGGATCTTAAATTAAAATGAATTACAAAACAAATTATTCCGTAGTCAATTGTTTTATTTAATTAGGGGGATTAAGGAATCCTTTAGGCAGTAAAGAATACACACGCCGGCTGTATATAGGTAATTAAGGAATAAACATTCCGAATATGCATTCGGTCACTGTGACGTCACTGGCGTCTGAGGGGATTAAGAGTGTTTTCGATAATTGGCAAAGTCGTTTTTACGGAAGGTCTATTTTTACGACTTTGAGTGAAGATAACTGAATTAATTTCAACCAGATTGGCATGAACTTGCCGTAAAGTGGATATAGTAACCATTGGCTACACGTATCTCAAAGTTTCCGGGCCCGTCTTATGTGCACTTTAATATAAATTTATACACAGTATTTAACTATACATTCCCGCATACAAACTTTGTGATTTGATGATATATTTGGACTAAAAACATATTTAAAGTAACCAATCTATCAAAAATTTGCTTCAATTCCCTCTCAAAACTTTGTATTTGCCGGGGATACCTATAGCTATAAGTAAGCTGTTGTTAGACGCAATGTCTTCAGAATGTATTTATCATTACTTACTGTCCATTTACCATACATATTGAGGCCTAAGTAAATTCTTAATTATTTCTGTCAACTTCTTTTTCCGACGTTTATTTGCAGTCTTTTGTACGTTGACACCCCTCAATGTTCCCAAAACCGCCTAACCATTTGATCAAGAAATAACAACCGCTCCCTCACTTAAGCTCGCACACAATAAGCTGTTAGATAACAGTCAGGTTGCCAGTTAGTGAGACCCTGACAATTTTGCCTAGTGCCTGCTCCATGGGCAATTTTCGGGTGATCCAGTATTTTTCTAGCAAGATTGAGTGTCTATATTTTCCTATATACCAAATCTGACATATTTTTATTGGAAAGAACCACCCGATAAATACTATTCTGGGAAAGTATCTTTAAGGTCATGAGACAAAATATTGTTGTAAATGTTTTATTACTGACAAACGAAAAATATGCGACAACCCTTGTTGACTGCCTGGACGACTTAGCTGCTGTGGGCACATGTTTCATTGCCTGGCAACCTATCCTTATTATCCGGGTCATCATGTACTAGATATGTCTGATCACCTCAAACCACAGGTCTGTATACCTATTCATAATGTGGGTCCCAGTCACTGGATCACCACACACTGGTCATAGGGTACACTACAACACTGTATCTCTTTTTATTATGTAGGTCCTGGCCATCTGGTATTCACACACTATAGCACTGTATGTAGAATAAGTTTCTCAATGATCTTTAGAAGGATATTATTATGGTTATTTGTTTATATTTCAGATATAAAATAGATATAACACCTACATATACTATAGCACCACCTGATGTTCCTCAACATACAAAAGACACAATCAAACGACATCTTTTATCTTACAGTGATTGGGCTTTATTTGGTTAGTATAGATATGTCTATCCTTTCCCTTTAAGAAATGGAACATGGTTTTATGCCCTATTTTTCTATGCCAACCATGCTAACGAAGATGGGGATTTGATATGCAGTGTTCTATGAGGGAAAGTTTGCTCTGGTAGTGGTGCTACAATTTAATTTATTTTGATTCCCAAACTGTCAGGGAATCTTTAATTTACTGTTAATGGCATACATCTGTGAACTTGGTTTTTTGGATCCTCCAATCGACTAGGTGCCATTTCTGGCCAGGAACTTTCTCTGCCAATACTGGTAACGAACCTGGTATCTCCTTGTTAGTGGGGCAGCGCCGTACTCATTGAGCTACGTGGCTCCACAAGACTAAGATATATGCTGTCAACTGTTTTATTGGTTAACAGTTTAAATTGATTAGAATATTTTGTAAATAAAAGATTGAATCATTATCTCAAGATATAAATTAACTTGGCACTTCTAAAATGGGATAAAATCTTTGTGTTTGAGTTATGTGAACATCTGAAATAGCTTTTTCCCATTAGTTTATTCATCTGTTTAATTTCTGTGTTTGAATGTTTTTACAGGTTACCAGTTTGCAGTAGATTCAGTGAAATCATTGTTAATTATAATGGCTTTAGTAGATAAGTTTATAAGTGTTGATACAGCAGTTCATTTATCTCGATTAGAACAAGAATACCAGGTAATATAGACATGATGGCTAGATCTTTTCATTGGAGGCATTTTGAATCCCATCCCTTTAACCATGGCTATAAATTAATACTAGTTAATGATGATTGAAGAGTTGATGATTAGTTTAAATCTATTCCCATCGTTAAATAAGGATTGAATGTGTCGAATAGTTTAACCCATTCCTATCCTTAAATAATGATTGAAGTGTTGACAAATTAAGGATATTTCCTATGTAGTTCTAGCTATTATCATCTATTTAAGAATTTCACACTGTATTACCAATATTATCTTAACTTTATAGGTGAAGAAATGGGGAAGTGTGGAATGGTATCATGATATTGATGAATACGAATTAAAGACACGACTTGCTTCGGCTACATTATTTATTCACTGGTCAAGTGAAAACGTATCCGTCAAACAGAAAGCTTCTTTAGGCATACAGAATATCTGTTGACATTAAATTAAGGACAGATCAATTTTTACCAGAAATCAGAGTAATATGCAGATATGATTTGCGAAAATATTTTCTATATTACGATGATACCAAAAATAATGGATATAGTGGTGAAGTAGCTATCTTGTTGGAATGTATATTTTACTTTTCAATTAGATGACTAGGAGAACAGTCAGAGGATTTAGCACTTCTCCCATATCAGTATTTATAGACCTAGTTTTTTGACCTTGTGTTACTATGAATCTTCGTGTTGGAATTTATAGTGGTCACCTTTAATGCTGATTTTACTATTCAAATATTATTTGAATATAGATCTGAAATTATCGATTATGGACTGCTTCTGATGTATTATTAGATTCCTAGATAGTATAAATCTTTCAAAACAATAAAATTGCCTTTCTCTGTTTGTTAGTTAATTTCAATGAATTTATAGAAGAAAATATATCATTGGGGAAAAAAACCCGAGATCAAATTCCATCAGTTTCGAATAATAATAAAACATCAGTTTGAATATTTAAACATTTGTTTGAGCACTGCCAATTAAATTATGATTAAAAAATGTACCGAAGTTAGACAAATCTATAGATTTGATTTGAATAAAAATAATTTCAATTGAAACTAAAATATATCCTGAATTATATTTTTGGATGTATTAATCCATTGCAAAGATTCATAGAACATTGTAATGACATTAGATAATATTTATTTCAATAATGTGTTTAATATCACATGGACATACATATAATAAATACGTTTTATCAACCTTATATGTACAATATTTACACTTTCTTTTTAACATCACTAAAAAAATTAAACGATATTACACAACATAACAATGGAGTGAAAGAAACTAAAATCACAAGATAGGTAAAACCTTAAAAAAGGGTTGTGAATTTACAATTTACTTACATATCACATATTTTAAAAGTTTTTATCCCAATTCAACAAGAAAAACAATTTCTTTAAATAGATCTAAATGTACAATAATACTCATAACTTCGCTCCAAATAAAACTGAAATTTTCCATATATTCATGTTTCGTGATCTATTTTGAACTATTATTGCAAGAACAGCCAACTCTCTCTAAATCGTACATAATGCATCTTTAACATCACTCTTTGTGTTTCCTTGGATGAATTTTTACGATAACGTTTAAGGTCCTTGTAAGAAATCTAAGTTATCAATCTCTTCTTTAAAATGATCAATTTGATGATTTATTTCTACAACACGAACCCGATTTCGTTTAATTTCTTCCTCGTTTCGGATTTTCTCCATCATTGCACTCAACCAGTTTTTAATACGTGTCTCAATGTCATCTTCTTTATTGTCTATTTTGAGTAAATGAAGGTCGTGTGATGAAGAAACAGCACCAATGATTGTATCTTTGTCAACAAACAACTGTAAAGCAATTGAACATTTGTGTAATACTTAAAACATTAATGAAGATAGGGAGTGTATATATTTACTGTGAAATTCCAAAATTATCTCAGGAGTAGTATCTGCATAGAAAATAAAGAGATCTAATATCTCACTTTTCTGCATCAACTGGACTAAGGAAGACAGACATATGCTGTGCGGGCAAGTTTACCCTGATAGCAATGCTATGTCCAATTATTCATTTCGATTTGTAGCTGTCATGGGAACTTCAACATGCTGCCAATGGAATATAAGAAACCCTGGTTTTCGTCCTGTTCGAACGACTAGATGCATTGCGAGGGCCTCCCTCCTGTACCACAATTTAAGGGAAACCAGACTGATAAATCCCGACTAACCAAACTGCTGTGGCTTCCTATCTGTATAGGGAGTGAAAAAGCACTGCTTACAAAGTGCCATAAGAATTTACAGCAGAGTAGGTCTACATAAGCCTTGTTTAAAGTCCTCTACTTTTTTTGTAACTGGTACAATTTGACAACGTTGGGTGTTTCAGGAAACATATCTAAACACGCTAAAGTCACTAAATGTCCTAGTAAAAAATCAACAGCATTTGACCCTCATGTCATTAAAAATGAAAATATTTTATACCATTCTCAATTCTTCTGTTATTTCGTCATCTAATTCATTCTTGATCACTTTCTCTAATGTAACAATAGATATCTCCATCATTCTCTCATGATGCATATTTTCTAGGTCTCTACATTGTGTTAGGTGACCTTTAACATTCTCCAAAAACGTAGACACCATTTCCTGCATGTTTCTTTCAAAATCCTTGATAACATCCTATAAAATCAAATAGATAAATTAACTAAACTTGTGTAACATAAATCAGCCTGTAATTAAATAGCAAAAAAATAGTGTGTTTAGGAAATGAAATGAAATGGGGTTTAATGTCCTACTGTTCTGCTCCGAACGGACTAATGAAGACAGGCATACGCCATATACAGTGTGCTATGAGGGAAATTTTGCCCGACAGCGGCACTAAGACGTACTCTTATATCGAATTCCAACTGCCAAGGGATCTTTGATGTGCACCCCAATGTGTACAAAGGACCTTGGTTTTTCGTACCATCCAAACAACTAGACAGCTGTCCATCATGCACCACTGACAAGTGGAAACCACACCGGAACTTTCTCAGCCAATAACCGGGAGTGAACCCTGTGTTTATGTAAAGCCGCTGATTGTCATGTGAGAGATTTTGGATCCAATATTGATAAGGTGAATATCAGGTAAAAAAAAAAAAAAAAATGGTCCAATTCCATTGTAAATTTAAAATGATGTGAAGAACTGAAAATGTCCAAACATTCTGAATGCATTCAGATGCTATAAATAAGCTCCTGCTTCATCGGCTTTTCCAGTGGATATTTTAATTCGATATAACTTTCTGAGTAAAAATCCTATAAAAACTGTTATTTGTATTCCCTTGTGGAAGATCAAGTTACCTATCTGATTCTGAAACACCTGTATTTGCAATGACTGGTGATCTGAAACCAACAACAGAACATGGATACTCCTAAAATTCATAAATAGATCTGTAATGATTAATTAAGAATAAAGGAATATTTACATACCTCAAGTTGATCAACTAATTGTAATTCCAGACTCATTAATTTATCCCATAATTCATTGATCTGAGACTGATATGCCTCTATTTTATCATCTATAACTTGGTTATCGGTGATAGTACCTAACTCTGCTAATACCTGTAAAACAGTAGATAACAATGCTAAATTGTGACAGTTATTGGCAATTTGAATTAATTTCAATCTAACCTATGTTTCATACAATTTCCACGACGTAGACCTATATGCCAGAATTTCCAGTTGAAAAATTCATGCTACTCTTTTGGTTGACAATTAAAAAGTGTGTAAGTTAAAGAGAGAGAGAGAAATGGGGTCTAACGTCCACTCGACACAAACTGGGTCATTTCGGGACTAACATATGGTTTAATTTTATTTCAATAATTCGCTTCCACGTAGGGGTCTTTAGCAGTGGGAGGAAACCGGAGGACCCGGAGAAAACCCACGAGGTTGGACAGGCGACCCTACTCCTTGTCACGTACAACCGGGGATTCGAAACCATGCCAGTTGACTCAATGACAGGCTTTTTGATACAGCACGCACGTGCTAACCATTCGGCCACCCAATCCCCCATGTGTAAGTTAAACCTCGGACTGGATTTTAATGGTTTCGAGATGAAAACATTAGTAGGTGTTTCTTATTCATAAAGATGGGCGCACATTGCTTCAAAATAAAAAAACCCAGAAAACAGATTTCTGTATTACCCCAAAATTAGAAACAGAAACCGCACACCGTCAAACAAGAACTTTCCAAAAGCAACCATATAATACCACAACCAGGATGTAATAAAATTTGAGAAAAACAAACAATTTCTGAATGGTGTACAGTGGTTGTACCAGTCTTATTGCAGTTTGAATAACAATTTATATAACCTCAATTAAAACCATCAAAAAATGAAAGTTTAAGTATGGTGATACAACCATTCATAAATATAATATGAAAAAAAAAATCTGTTTACCCTTTTCCTCTCTTCAAAAAATGCTCCAATAATTTTCATGCCAGCTTCTTTATTTTCAGTTTTGGCCTCTTCTACACATTCCCAGAATTGATTGACTTCTGCTTGTCTTTTTTCATTCTCTGATAAACCATATTCAAAAATCTTTTGACAAACCCCAAGAAACTTCTCTTTAAATGTGATGAGAGTCAAGGAAAAATAACACAATTTTACAATCACATTTTACTACAGAATATTGTTGAATGTCTCATTGAAATTCTGTTATTTGGTGGTGGGTGGAAGATGAACACCTAACAGATGGGTTATCTCCCCTTTAATCTTCAGAATTTTTTTTTTTCAGGAGTAGCACCTCACCTCAAATTCTTTGAAAAATCTACAATAATCACATTACAACTACCCAATAAATTATGGTGTAGCCAAGAGTGTTTCTAAGTTAAATACTAGGGTACCATTACATTCCTACACCTGGTTACAATGAATGTAATCATGAATGCAATTCTGTTTTTTTTTGCCTTTCTTTCCCTTTTCCCACTGTGTGTAGAATCAAAGAAAATGGTTTGAATGCATATTTTGTGCAAGGTTTTGGTGAATATTCATGATTTTGAGGCAGAAGGATAACAGAGTTAAGAGATTGGTTATATGTTGAAATGTAGGGTGGACAGTTGCATGTTTACTAATATGCTACTTCCAGTTTGCATATCTAAAGATTTCTATGGGGAACCTCATATATGCTTTTGAGCCAGCGGTTGCCACTTGTTTCATTTGTGGTAGAAAGTATTTTGGAAATTTTGGGAAAAAGACGAGTATTGTATTAAGAAATTAATGGTGTACTGTGGCAATTCAGTAGTGTTATCTACTCTTTCATCTCCAATTAAATTTTGTAGACTTGGATCTTGCTTTAGAAAATTATTTTGGTTTGGATCAACCTACTCAATGTATCTCACAAACAAAGGTTATTGCCTCTTTAGACTTCATGATATATACAATTTTGTAATTAGCTTTCTTTTTGGTTTTTTTTCAATGATTTGATCCTGACTTCATTATTAAAGCCAATGCCACATTATACCAAATTTTTTTAAAAGTCAAAAAGGATATCCTGCAAGTAATTCATCCACGCCCGGCATTTCATTTAATCTCTGGCCATCTGAATCTTCAGCATACATACTATCAAACAGACTGCTACCATCCAAATATTCCACATACGCTTTCTATAAAATATTAACAGATTTTTATAATGAGTATTCCTATCTTAATGAGCACTTCAGAATCAATGGCAGGTATAACACTAGATTGGACCTAATTCATTGTAGCTCTGTATTAAACAAGTTTTCAAATAAAATGAAGATAAGCGTACTCCATGCGGCGTCCTATGAGGGAAATTTAGCATGAATAGTGGCATTTCTGCCTATTCTTCCTCGAATTCCAACTGCCATGAGTTCTTTTACATGCATGCCAAAGTATACACAAGGGATCTCAGTTTTTCGTACTGTCTGAACGACTAGATACTTTTCCTTATAAGGTAAGCCATAAAAAAATATACTAAAATTTAAAATCAATAGGTGAAAGCAAAAAAAAAAAAAGTTATTGAATTCAAACTGAACGTCCAAATGCTGACACCCCTTTTGAACGGTTCATAAGTTCATCAATTTTAATTGTACACATACTGTATGAATTTGAAGTTCCTTTTGTTTAATTTCATTTTCTTGTTGTTTTCTTTCTTCAGCTTCTTCATTATGAATAATTTCATCTATAGGCATTGCATATTTTTCTTTTGCTGCCACTTTCTATAGAAAAAAAAAAGTGCCAGACATTCATGTTATAACAGTTCAAAATAATAAAGATACTGAAAAATGAATATATTGAAAATTTCAGTCAAATTACCTTATCATGAGCAAAGTTATGAGTGTTTGAAGTTTTGACAAGATAGTCTCAAATGTCTAGCACCATTGCTAGGATAAGACAAAGTAGTGATATCCATTTTAACATTAAATTATCAAATGGTGTGTGTGTGTGTTCTTATCCATTCAATATCCTTGCTATCCAGTATTCTAGATTATAGGCTTGTCATCTGAATAAACAACTAAATAATAATTTATTAAAAAAGACCTGTAAATACTTTAATAGACAGATTTTCCTCTTTAAATAAACAATATGTTGGTATTTGTTTGATGTTCTGTGACATATGTGCAGGAAACTTTGCTAGATGAACATGAAATTATTTTTAAAACTATTTGTGTTTGCATGTAAACTTTACATACAGGCAGAGCAGCATCCCCGATGTAAAGCATAAAAGAACATATATTGTAACACTTACAGACTGTTCATCTATTAATCTGTAGTCTAAAAACTCTAGATGTGATAAATATGCAACTACATATTGTTTGTATGTCTCCACATTTTCGCAAAATGGATTTCCAGTAGCATTTAGTGTCTTCAGTTTCTTGAATTTTCTGAGATAGACCAACTGTAAATTTATAATAAAAGAGTTTCAATAAATATCTCCAATTTGATTACCTCCACTTCAAATAGACCTGACCAGTTTGCGAGCATGTCACAGGTCACATAAGTGAACTTTGAATGATGTAACTATATTTAACTTTTATTTTGTTCTTAATGGTTGCTTTTATTTTCATAAAGTCAGTATCATCATCATCACTACAATTTGATGTATAGGTTGGTATGTCATTACATATGGGTTCCTACATGTATTTATCAACAGGAATGTTTTACAAATAACTTTATCAACTTACATTTTCCAATTCTGTGAGTTGATTATTGCCTATAGAGAGAACTTGTAAATCTTTTAAATTATCCATATTTTCAATACGGGATATACGATTATTATAAACAGTTAGATCTTGCAGTTTTGTTAGAGTTCCCAATCCTTCAATAACTTCAATGTTGTTAAATGACAGATCTGAAATAAATATGGGCAACATATTTTATAATTACTATAAGGGTAATTCATGTAATTCTAGATCAAGAATTTGGTCAACAGATAAAAAAAAGAACAATTTATTATATAGAAAACAATGATTGTTGTCGTCCATATAATTTGTGTCGTGTTTTTATTATGCTCAATTACTAAATGCCACTCAAGGATTTATTAACAAACAATCACATCTAGTCATGTGATCAATGAGGATTCCCACTACCTTTTATGCCAATGGTCAAAATATTTTATTTTTCTCTACCTATGAAAAAATTAAATGTATTTGATTGGAATTCAAACGAACTGAAATGTACTATGAACAAAATACATGTTTTAGTTTTAGTTATTTTTAGAATAATATATATACCATACCATAGAATATACAGGTGAAAATTTACTTCTGAATAACACATTCGTTCAAAAATAGTCTTGTATCTCCAAACAGATGTAGATGTTTCAACTTAATCTGGTGGGAGTAGGGACAATGTTTTGCTTGTTATTGCCGAACCCAAAAAACAGACCATTGAAACATTTCTTGTAATATTTCTAACATACAAATCAAACCGATATTTTTTCAAAAGTAATCCTTTATGGCCAAGCAGATGCAGTTGTTTCCACTTACTATAATCTTGCCGGTGGGGAGGGGGATTTTTCACCAATTATTGGCAAACTAAACTGTTGACTTTGGAAAACATTCTCCGATATTCAAATCAAACCAATGTTTTTTTCATTTTTTGAAAGAAGATTTTTTCATTTTAATTAAAACTAGTTAAAAAGAAACAAATATCTTCATACCTAACCACACTAAATTGACCAATAGTTCCATTCCTTCTATTCTCTCTATAATATTGTTATCTAATTGTAGTTTTACCAGATTAGTAAATTCCCACAGATTATCTATCTTCAAAATATCTGTAACATAGACAAGAACAAAATATCAGTGTTTATAGTATTACTAGAGGTAGGCCTATAAAAATCATATTATATTGAGTAAGCGTGTACCAAGAAAAAGAGAAGGGTGCACTATAAAGGTTACTATAGACTAAGAGCTTTGTACACTGCACCCCTTTATGGATCTGCTCAAAAAGTCTGTTTGCTAATAGCAGGCTTGATTAAAATAATTTAGCAATCAACTGCATAGCATCTCATCCAAGATATAAAAAATACATTTGACCTAACATTAGCATCAGCTGTTATTAGTCCACATCAGATACAATTTAATTTTTTTCAAAAATAAAAAATAATGTTTGCATTTTATTGCACATCACACACTTTTGAAGTCCAGCCTCAAGTTTGTTACATCATTGAAGTCAATGCCTTCAGCTTTAGCCAGCTTTCCAGCCTCTTCTTTAGGACCCTGTTCCTCAACAGCTCTTTGTAACATATCCTCATCTATAACAGACGGCTCCACAGTGTCATACAGACGACTCATTTTTGCTGCAACAGAAATTAAATAAAAAGCTACTGAAGCAATTGTTTTACTGCCCGAATGATCTGTTTATAAAATAGAATTAGCAGTTATTCGCAATCCTCAAAATAGCTGTTTACAAAAAAGTTAAAATTATGCAAATTGTTAATTGTAATACTAAAAGATCTAGATCAACTCAAAATAAATTTTTGACAACAAATTAAAATCTTTTATCCTGTCTACGTTATAAATCCAATAATATTTTAAATTTATGCTAATTTCGGATGATCAAAATTATCCAGTCATTGTCATTTTGCTCTTAGACTTGAGAAAATGGCAGGGAATATATTATTATTATTATTATTATGTAAACTGTAAAAGAATAGGTATGGCAATGCCTTAAAAATGGTACGTCTCAGCGGACTGACGCCGACGGTGACATTGGGTGGGGGGTAGTCATTGAAATCCACCTATCTCAGCAGAAGTTTTGTAACATTTCATACAGGTTGACTTTCAGTGGCCGACCAAAGCCACCCGGTAGTCTTATGATAATAGATTCTGAAATTGGGTAATCATCAGCACTGACTGTCAATCATGTGGATGTGCAGTGAAACTCAATTTTTCACCTTTTTGCAAACGATTCTTCGTCTAAATAATCATTAGAGATTTCTACCTTTTAAAAGTTTGAAATGCTATAATTATAAACTACAATTGTGTTACCTTTGATAAATAATTGCTCTTAAAAAAAAACTAAAATATTTCTTCTGTAATAAATACCAAATTTCTTCAAATTACCAGCAAAGATGAAAGAGATGGCATCACGTCGCTATGGATAAGTAAACTTCCGGTCGGACAGCAGAAAATGCTTACGACAATGTTTTTTGTTTTATTTTCATAACAATAATTTAGATGATAAAATAACTAGAAATTGGAAAAGAAATCTTACAAAAGTAAAAAATAATCTTGTCGACACATTTTAAAAAATATTTCTAGAAAGAACGGACCGAACCGGAAGTGGAAAATCCCGAGAAAAATAATCAACTTTTGTCAAGATGGCGGCTCTCTTTGGTCATGGAAATCCGTTTGCCACCCAAGTTGGACAAATGATTGGTGTGTTATTACGTTAATGACATTATGTTTACTCTTAATTAGCCTATACTTTTAAATATATGTAAACATTTGAAATGAAATGGACTGAATGAATAACAGTAGTAGCCTACTGTTAACACTGACTCAACTTTTGCCTGGGTCAAAATTTATGTTGACAACAAAAAATGATATAATAATAGTAATAGGCTTGTTTATTTATAGGTCTTATCTAATTGACACACTTTTTTACTTTTATTTTTCGGTCTCTTGATTGAATATATTCAGAATATTGTTGAAATTTTAACTATGTTGGGGTTGGATTATGCTGTTGACTACTGTCTGTTGAGTCCATATTTATTGCTGAACAGCAAAAGCGTTAAATGGCTCAGTGACAGTCTAAGTCTAAGACATTGAATGTCACATTGTCATTAATAATATGTTATTATGTAACAGGCATTGCCTGAGTAGAGCGAAGCTGATTATTGTTAAATATAAAACCTTCCTTCATAATTAATTTTCTCAAGTGATACAAAAAATATTAAATAATTTAGTTTTTATTGAGATCTAAATTTTATACATTAATTTTGTTTTTTAAAAAAGAACAAAAAATTGTGAGAATTATTTTCATTGACGTAAAAAATATGTGACGTCATTGATTAGACGCGTCATAGAAATAGTTCTATGAGGTGCGTAATCTCGCTTGGGCGAGATTTGGTGGATAGAATTATTTTTGTTAGTTACGTGATCTCGCTTGGGCGAGATTTGGTAAGTTGACATGCGCATTGCCTGTTTTGCCCAGTGTATCCGGTTCCGGCTGAATTTTTTTTTAATCAACAGTCTGTGGGTGACATTTTCAATTACGCTCCTGTGTTACCGGAAAAGAGCTTTGCTCAAGCACCGCGCTTTGCGCGGTGCTTTAGAGCTTCGTCTATATTAATACTAATTTTACTGAATGATACAGATAGTGTCATTATTCTGTCCTCAATTACAATTGTCTAACAAAGTGATAAGAAAAGTGAAAGTGACTTATTTCTTTTAAAAACAGCTTTGCACTTTGTATGTAAACTTGTTGACAGCTAACAACTTCAAAATCCAACGTCAATCATAAAATGGTTGTTTTATCCAAGACACATGCTTTAAAGCCAACAGGCAGTATACATGTAGCTAAGCTTATACATGTATATCCTGTAGTCTTTAATTTTGATCTTTGATATTGTGACGGTTCTGTTCACAATTTAAAGTTGGATGCACTGCCTCATATTTCTTTTGATATAAATGCAGAGCCTCGTCTAAGGATATAGTCGAGCGCGGCAATGTCTGGCCCACGAGCACACCGCAGGTTAGATAACAAACCTTAATCTCTCAACCCTCCGTGTTTCGAGATAACACATGAGCCCATTACCTATAACGTTGCAGCTCCGGGAGCGATTCACACCCGGCATTTTTAAACAAAATTGATAATAGTTTTAATCAAAACAACGATTGATTATTGTTATTTATAATATTTCTACAACACCCAACTACAATTAAGCATATAATCCTACCTGAAACGTGTACAAATCGTCGTTTTTAAAATCTAGGCGTTGAGCCGTTACTAAGACCGCCATCTTTTTAAACGATACGCTGTCATCATGAAGGCGGGGCTAAATATAAGGCTTTTATAACAGCCAATCAAAAGGACAATCGAAAGCACAGTAACTATGAATGAATTTCGATGGCGGTGAAATGTCAGACAAAAACAACGCTTCATTAATTTAAACGCGAATATTTGGAGTTAGGCGACAGTTGTGCCACTACATTGGCCTCTGTAAGTTTAATTAATCATAATATCATAAACTTATCTATTTTAAAGATGTTACATGCATTAATAAAGAAATTGAGTTTGCCACTTGGAACTAAAGTCATCCAACAAACACATCAGTATATCTCAACGTTTTTAGCTACGTTCTCGTAGCTAACCGCAGGTGTGATCCCGTGCGGGGGGGTCCGGGGGCTCCCCGCCCCAGAAAATTTTGAAAATTGACTCCCTTAGACTCTATTTCTGAGCACTTAAAAAATAGTTTCGGAGATTTGATACACTATTAGTTTTGGCATCTCATTAAACCATGGATTGATTAATACCCTGTAAAATCGAGATGAAAACACTGCTGCAGCTGACCCGCAGATAGAAATATACCCATAAAACAATCAGAAAGACGATTTTGTAAACCTACGCATCATGAAATAGTATTACGTATGGTTTCAAGCCAGGGACATGACAGATTATCAGCCTCAGACATGCTTGGCACATGGGAAAAACCTTGTCAGCGATTTTCAAAACGTATGTATGTTGCCACCCAGTCTTCAACTTTTGGGCTCAGTAGGCGACACAGTTTGGCCACCGCCGCATAGTCACCATGTCAAACGAGGCTCTATATAAATGGCAATATCAAGCTGAATAACTATTACTATTATTCCATGTTTTGTTATCTTTAATCTAATATATTATTGGCATTATATGGTTATAGATGCAACAGGTCTTGCAATTAAATTAAATCGTTCATAACTACTTACTGATTAACATCTTTTTAATACTATGATTTAACAGCAGGCATGTTAACGATTACACTGATTGGTCCATCATCTAATGGTTTAAAGTGTGCCACATATAGTGGCGTAACTTTTAACATTTTTTTGATTGTGTTGTCCCATTACCCTAATTATGAGATGTCAAACTATCAAGAAATACAAGAAATGTCCGCATTATATAATTTTTCGTGCACAATTCCACTCTTATATAATTATTCCGTTTAAACTGGTACAGTTACTTACAAATACTTATAATTCTGAATTTTATAAAATAAAGGTTTATTTTCTAAAAAATCTGTCGTTTATAGCAATTAGTTTTACTGACAAAACTATGTACCATTCACATTTGACCAACATAAAGATACTTACTTATTAAGAATTTGATGAAAAACATTAAGGAATTATTTATTTTGTTTAAACAAATTATTTATTTTGTTTAAACAAATTATTTATTTTGTTTAAACAAATTATTTATTTTGTTTAAACAAATTATTTATTTTGTTTAAACAAATTATTTATTTTGTTTAAACAAATTATTTATTTTGTTTAAACAAATTATTTATTTTGTTTAAACAAATTATTTATTTTGTTTAAACAAATTATTTATTTTGTTTAAACAAATTATTTATTTTGTTTAAACAAATTATTTATTTTGTTTAAACAAATTATTTATTTTGTTTAAACAAATTATTTATTTTGTTTAAACAAATTATTTATTTTGTTTAAACAAATTATTTATTTTGTTTAAACAAATTATTTATTTTGTTTAAACAAATTATTTATTTTGTTTTAGGGCCTTGCCATTTCTAACCGGTAACTTTGCAATTAATTTTATATTATTTTTCAAACTCTGTTCCACATAAATTTAGTATGAAATTAATGACACATTTCTTTAAATTGACTATTGAAGCTGACTTACTACATCTACATTAAACTCCCGTGATTATTATTTATTGATTTGATACAGGAGGGAGTAATCTACAGTATGATATCAACACTGATTCTTTTAGTCTACATGTAACTTAGAAGACTCTGTACTTTATTTTCTTATGTTACAGATCTGAAATGATACGAACGATGATGTGTTACATTTAACATGTTAATTTCTTTTCCCACATTAATTTCTTGTTTTACAGTTTTTGATTGTGTTACTTGAACTCTCATCGATGATATTTTTTTTTTCTGTCAATTTTATTTTATAGAATATTCCATATTGACATCATTGATGGATGTGAATTGAAAAAAGTATGGAAACAATTAATTTCACATATAGTTGTGATTGACAATTATTCCGTACTATATTTCTAAAAAGATAATATTTAAACCAATGAAAATATTGCGAATTGGGTCATCTATCTTAAAATAACTAAACCTTTTTGATTTGGATTTTTTAAAAAGAAATGCTTAAAATGACTAAATCTTTTTGATTTGGATTTGGGCTATACTATATACCGGAAAACACCATGTTATACTGAATACCGAAAACACCGGAAACCACCCTAAATACCGGAAACCACCCTAAATACCGGAACCACCCTAAATAGGTAACCCGGAGAAGGGCTATACTATAAACTGGAAAACTAACCCTAACCCTAACCCAGGCACACAGAGGACCAGGCTCCCGGATACCTATTAGAGTGGTAGTCTCCGGGTTACCTATTTAGGGTATTTTCTGGTATTTAGTGTGTTTTCACGTATTTAGTGTTTTTCCGGTGTTTTCCGGTATTCAGTATAAAATGGTGTTTTCCTGTTGTTTTCCAGTGTTTTCCGGAATACAGTATTGCCGTTTGGATTTTAAAAAAAGAAAAATGTAAATTTCATTGTATTTAAATGGTGTAGAGCTTCATTAATTGAAATAACACATGTACACAGAAGTGGTTTAGAACCTTTAAATTATGTCATTAGGCACTGCAGTTTATAAATTAAGTGCTTATGTTTCTTGATTCAGAACTTCTTTTTTTATTGGATATTAAAGATACAGCATGTGGAGTATTGTGGAATATCAATATCATACTTATATATTTTCAAAAATTATATTTTAGAAAAATCAACTGATGGCAGTCAAGCATCAGAGAATTGGGGACTTTTCATGGAAATATGTGACCTCATTAATGAAACTGATGAAGGGTAAGTTATTTATATTTTGATAATATCAGATTATATTTTGTTTTATTTCATTACATACATAATCTTATAAATGAAATATTTTTACAAGTGAGGTGTACTACTATAGTTTATTAAAGGAGAATTTCAGAAACATTTTAATTATTGAAACAGGTCAATTCAGTGTAAATACTAAAAGACTGTTACAAACCTTTTTCGTAGTCCAATAAAGTTATTAAGCCACTCAAACATTTGAACTGTGGTATTCCTTAAATGAATTACTTAACTTATTAAGCAAGTCTAGTGATGACTTTTGAATTTCGAACCGCTGGTATTTAGTATTTTGAGGTGTAGTTGTAGCATTTAATTTGAATACATCAACACATTTATCAACAGTACCCTGTTAAATCTGCAACCTTTGTGATGAATAATATAATTTGATGTGTTGATATATGGTTCTTCATTTTATGTCATTTCTAGTCCTAAGGATGCAATTAAAGCTATTAGAAAACGATTAACACAGAATGTTGGCAAAAACTATACAGCAGTAATGTACACTTTAACGGTAAGCTGTGACCATTTATAGATGTCTGTGACACTCTTGGGATGTTAAATGATGGAGAAAATTTCAATATTCTTTTTTTTAATTTTAAATATCGTTATTACAGAAAAAATAAAATGAAGGTATTGAATTTTTGTGGATTTTTGATAACTGAAAGACTATTTATTTCATTTGTAGTGTTTAGAAACCTGTGTTAAAAATTGTGAAAAACGATTTCATCTTCAAGTGGCACATAAAGATTTTCTCCATGAACTTATTAAAATAATCGGACCGAAAAATGACCCCCCTCAAGTAGTTCAGGAAAAGATTTTAAGTTTGATACAGGTAGGTAATATTTACTGTAAAATTCATATATTTTGGTGTTTACATGGTATACCACAACAATCAGTATTTTCCAATATATATCACACACTATTTGGTAGATTGTTGTGCAGTATGAGCTGAAAGAGCAATGTGCCTGATTCATGGTAATGTAAAAAAAATTCAAAACGGTGCCAAATTCAGATTGCGACTAGTACATAGGAAAATAACAGTAAAATGATGTTTGGATACCAGGTTAGAGAGTCAGTTGATAATATTCAATATTTGATCTCTTAACGGTAGATAAAAAACCAAATAACTGAGAAACTTTGCCTTTATATTTAGTTACTATACAGTAAGGTGTCATTCCTAGAATCATAACTTTAAAAAATTACAATCGATTTTAAGTCGAGTTCAAATGTCTTTTAATTATTCATCACCATTGATCAGAATCCAGTTTTTGATTGCAGTAGGTCTTCTTTTTGAATTGGTTCTGTTTGTAATTCCTTGCATAAAAACAGAATATGATTACAGTGCCCAGGGATAAATTATTGATTAACACATGCATATAGAACTAGAAGCAATGTGTTTATGAAAGTGAGAATAGTTTGTCATTGATCACACAACAACTTTTGGTCTTCGAAGGAATTATCAGTGAGCAGAAATTCGCCCTATATCCGTTAGCACTCGTCACATCAGACAGTTATATAGTGAGATGACTCGTGTTTTCCTTTGGCGTTCGTCACTTCCGATTCAGAAAACCTGTGTTACTCAGCTATCGTAGCAATGATCTCTGTGTTAAAATTATGTTTGGAATGTGTTTAACCAGCTCTATCACATATGTGATAATGACTGGCACCAATATTGTCCTTTAATCAGTATCTTTAAGATCACCAGGTTTTGTAAATGATAAATAATTGAATTTAGCATTCAATATTTGACTACTACTAGAATAAATGTCTAATTAATAATTTACATACATTTGAGGCCAAAAGGTAGTCATGCAATAGGCAGATTTAGCTCTTACTTACAAATACTTATATTCTGAATTTACAAATTCTTATGTTCTGAATTTACAAATACTTATTTTCTGAATTTTATAAAAATAAAGGTTTATTTTTAAAAAAATCTATCTTTTTTAGAGCAATTAGTTTTACTGACAAAATTATGTATCTTTCACATTTGACCAACATAAAGTTACTTATTCAGAATTTGATGAAAAACATGAAAAGATTTATTAAAACAACCTGTTTTTATTTGATCAATCTGTTTTAATGACAAAACTCTTTACCAATAACATTTGGTCAATGTAAAGGTATGTTCAGAATTTTATGATAAATGCAGAGTTAATTGGTTTATTTAGAAATGTATTTTTATTATTATTAATCTGGTATATTGACAAAATTCTACACCTATTAATCATTCATTATTCTGTGAGACTGTTAAATTCCCATTATACACACATTCATTCCAATTGATTTCCCAATTCACACACTGTCTGGTAGTGTTCTGTACTACCATACATGTTTATTGATTATAATATAAGGCACATTCCATTCCTTTATTTCTTTTGTTGTTATAAATTGTCCTATAATTGTCTTGAGCATCTTTATACTGAAAAGGTTGCCACGGTGGCTAAGTGGGTAAGATGCTGGATCACTAGCCTGGAGGTCGCATGTTTGATCCCTGCATTGGCCAAGAAAGTTTCGAGATTTTCCGACGTGGTTTCCCCCTGGTCAGTGGTGCCGGACAGTGGACCTGGCAAGGACAGCTGTCTAGTCATTCGGATGAGATGAAAAACAGAGGTCCCGTGTATGCATTGGCATGCACGTAAAAGATCCCTTGGCAGTTGGAATTCGACATGAGTAGGCTGTAGTACCGCTGCCCAGGCAAAATTATCCTCATAGCACACTGTATGGTGTATGCCCGTCTTCATTAGCTCAGTCGGAGCAGAACAGAAGGACGTTAAACACCATTTCATTTCATTTATACTGAATAATTCTATACTTTCATTGTTTTAATGCTGGCTTGTAAACACAAGTGTGCAGTGGTTTGGAGGTGGGGGTGTGTGTAGAGTTAGTGGTCTTGTTATTGAGTCAAGGAGTGTGGTTGTGATCCTAAGCTTGTACGTATGTGACAAGGAGTGTTGTCGTTTTCCTAATCTCATGGGTTTTCTCTGTGTCCTCCGGTTTCCTCCCATTGCTAAAGAATCCTACACTTGAGCAATTTATTGTAATAAAAATTATACCATATGTTAATCTTGTTTGTGTTGAGTGGAAGTTAAAACTGTGATCCAGAAGTATTAGTCTGGATGCATTGTGAACATTTGAGAATAATAGGTCATTGGGTAGATTATCTGGTCTTTTACATTATCATAAACGAAGTCTAAGGGATGTAACTAATCCTAAAACAAGATGTCGAATCGATGAAATTAATTTAATAATGCCATTTCAGAAAATCCATTTGATTGCATTGCCAGTTCAATATTCAACACTCTTTATATTTTTTTTTTATTGTAAAATTTCTCTCTTCATGGCCCATATCTATATTTTTATGTGGACGTATATTGTCATCGCCCCTGTCTGCCCCTGATGAAAAATCACGTTTTTAGCTTGTGAACACTCTAGAGGTCACAATTTTCATCCGATTTTGATGAAACTTGAAATGCATGTTTATAATCCAAAGATCTTGGTCCCTGATTGTACGAAAAATCATGTTTTTAGCTTACGGTCCCTCTAGAGGTCACAATTATTATCTCATTTAAAAAAAAACAACGTTTGAATATATCACTGTTACACCGGAATGATAGTTGAGTTCGAATTTCGTGAAAATTGGACCCAAACTGCCGGACAAAATGTCCGTCCCTTTTACGCAAATAGTGTAAAAATATGGTATATCAAGGTTGTGGACCCTCTAGAGGTCACAATTTTTATCAGATTTTAATGAAATTTAAAATACATGTTTATAACCCAAAGATCTTGGTTTCTTTTGATATCAGATCGTAACTTCCTGAATTATGGCTCTTGATTGTATGAAAAATCTCTCCAGAGGTAACAATTTTTATCTGATTTAAAAAAAAAACTATGGGTATATCACCGTTACAACGTAATGATGGTTGAGTTCGAATTTCGTGTAATTTGGACCAAAACTGCCGGAAAAAATGTCCGGCACTCGTACGTAAATAATGTAAAAGTATGTAATACCAAGGTTGTGTATCCCCGTTACACCCTAATGACAGTTGAGTCCAAATTTAAAATATATCTTCTTATCCCAAATATCTCAGTCTATTTTGATATTCACACATTTCAGACCATAACTTCCTGGATTATGGACCCTGATTGTACGAAAAATCGCTTCTTTTTTTTTAGCTTGTTCTCTATCCATCTCTTGAAAAATGTGAACTTATCTTGCCTGGCAACCGCTGGTTTTTAATTAATAATTCGTCATCGCGATTCATGTTTATAATAATGCAAGAATTATGGGATTTATTTTTGGAATGTGTGCAACTCTTGCTTAACTTGGCCAAATATAATGGATAATCAACCACATAAAAAAACAAACTTCCGGTTACGCATGGGCAATGGAACTTTTCGTCAAATATTGACAACATTCCCAGACCCTCTGTATGTCGAGACTTAGAGGTTCTGAGTGACTGAGACTAAAACTGTGATAGATTATTATGGAGATTGTCGATATTGCATTCATTTGAACAGTTGATTTCATAGGCATATTATTATTATTATCCCCCACTGAACTAAAGTAATGGATTGATGTTTTGTTTATGGAGCATGTATCATTATCCATTTGAGATATCAATGAAACCTTGTAGGTCTACTAGTAATTGTGTCATTGGCTTATTAGAAATAATTTCATAATTAGTTTCCATGGAGATTAATTTGACTGAGTTTTTGGTGTGGGATGTTGATGAAAATAAAATCTTGTAAAAAAGATATTATAGTTATCAGCTTTCCAAAAGGATTACAGAGGTTAAAATGATTTTAAAAAAAATTAACCTTTTGGTTTTTCTTCTTGTACCTGTGAGTTCTGTTGAAGGAGCAGGTTTTTGAATTCATTCTAAATATAGTGTTCAGTTCTGTTAATTTCTACATTCATTTGGTAGTTTTACAAATTGTGGATGTCCTTCAGCCTAATAATAGTGGACATGTTACATCACACCTTATCCCCAATATCTTGATACTGGTTCTGTAATGACTTGTTTTAATGACTATTCTATTTCTATGCATAAATGAAATGGTGTTTAGTTTTTCTGCACCAACTGGGTTAATGAAGATTGGTCTATTTTTATGCAGTATGTATACATGTACATGTAGTATGAATTATATATGATAATGGGTAAAGATATATACAAGATAGTTGTCATAGTGAAACTTCATCACTCTGTGATAGATTAATTAGTAATTATTCATCTACGAAGAAAGAATAAAGTATGAGAGTTATTTATTGATGATTTGTTCAATCAATACATTTCAGCTCAGAGAGCATTGCCGAGTAATCAGAATACTTTTAAATTAGTCGATACAGCAATGTTTCTTGTTCGTTGGTTTAATTATAGCAATAATATATGATAAGTATGCTGTTAGTAGGTGATGAATCATTAAGCATGCCACATAGATGTGATCTCTTTACCATATCAATCAAGCGGTTATGAGCTATTTTGTCTGAAAGTTTCAATGAGATATCTATCATGAAGGTCGCTCAATATTTTTCGTAAGGGGTGGATGGCCGAATGGTTAGCGTATGCGGCTGTATCATAAGGTCTTTCATTGAGTCAACTGGTGTGGTTTCATTTCCCTGGTTGTACTGACAAGGAATAAGGTCGCCTGTCAAACCTCGTAAGTTTCCCCCCTTGTCCTCCGGTTTCCTCCCACAGCCAAAGACCCCTACTCGCAAGCGAAGTATTGAAATAAAAATGAACCATATGTTAGTCCCAAAAGTACCTAGTTTAGGTCGAGTGGATGTTAAACTCTCTCTCTCTCTCTCTCTCTCTCTCTCTCTCAACATGTTTGACCCAATATACCTGAGTTGGAGCTGACTTGCCATAAAAACCACATTTCATTTCAGTTTTCTCTCTCGTAAGGGGCACTATCACTTACCAGGGAGACAATGAGATTTTTAAGGAATTAGAAAAGTTACAGGTTATTTCCAAAATTGTGGCCTGTACTTTAGTTTAATACTGCCTACTCAACCAGAAGTCAATTTATCGAGATTGTTTTTGTTATTTGGTTGTGGAACACTGTGATAGTGGGATGCGGGTTGGGGGATTAGTTGGAAAGCAAGCTTGAAAAATGGTAACAGTTAAAAAGAGTTTGAAAACCACAACAAGGTTAATGTCTGCAAAATCACACTACATCATCATCGTCATCATACCATGGTTGTCAACTTTCAAGGCTATACAGTCATAAAAACATTGGTCATACACGGCTTCCTAAATAAAGATGTACTGTCATACATGTACCATCTACAAGAAAGTAAAACACAAATAGAGAAGGTTTTGAATGCAACTACATCATTTAAAGTGGCGATAAGTCTATGCATGCTAGATTAATTTGTCATGAATCAGCATTTAGTCATACTAATTATATTAATTTAGAAATTCCAACACTTTAAGCTTTGATACTTGCAATATTTTCGATTAATACCCTCAATAACGTTGTTCAAACATTAATTTAGAAATCTGGAGTTTTGTAGGATTTGAACAATAAGTTTATAGACTTGGATAATATAATATGTTTTAACTCCATGCAATGACAGGACATGTTTTGACAGTTATAAATTAATAACAACAAGATTGATACTTGAAAGGTGGTGGACAATACACTTGGTTTAAATTCATGTAATGCACTTCAATGTCGTAGTTGAAACTTTATTTACACATTACTTTCTCTATAGAATACAAATTTAATGGAGGATTTGTTTGTGGACAGTTTTAAGAGTATATCCATTCTCTAGTAAGACTGTATCATACACAGTGTTATCATTTGGCTAGCTAGTTATTTCAGTATTTGTGTACTATATTATCATGTGGCTATGAGTCATGTAAAACATATTGACAATATCCTCTATTTATACTCACATTCTGTTTTTATATATTATCTAAAAAATAACTAAATACATCTCTCAAATATTTTATATTATACTGTATCACATTCTTTATGAAGTTGCTGATTATCCCTCAAATATTTTATATTATACTGTACCAAATTCTTGATGAAGTTGCTGATCCCCATCATGCATTTTTCAGACATGTAATTTTTCACAGCCTAATCCACACTGAAATGTACTAAAATTGATTATTTAACATTTAAATAATTAAGAAAACAAAACCCAAATACTAATTCTAAATAGGAATGTTGGCAGCTATTTCAATGTGATTAAAACACAGATCCTATTTCGTTTCGTTTTTGATAGTTCTGATCGCTAAATGCCACTTAAAGATTATGTTCAAAATTTCGTTTTACTTGTCTTTACTACACTAGGATCTGGAAGGAAGAGTTGTTATATTACCGGTGTTCTGGTTAAAGTGTGGGATTAGCCAATGAAACGGTCTGTTGCAGCAAGTTTTTGGCGTGCTATACATGGAACTTTGGGTAAACCACTAGAAACGTTAACGCTGATTGATTAATCTATAGGTTCAAAAGCCGCTCGTATAAACCCTGACGTGACCTTCAATACATTCGGTCAGATCTTCATGTAGTGTCGGCCATCGGAGGTATAAAAGGATGAAACAAAATATAGATCTGTATTTATTCAGATTGTAGCTATTTGAAACAGTAGTAAGATGAGAGACAACCTGTCTGCATATGACAGGGTATGGTAACCAGACATCAAAGACAATCAAATATAATGTGTGACTGTTTCTGCATATATCTGAAATCTGTGTCAGACACCATATCTTTATATATTATAGGCTATTATATAAAATTATTATTATACATGTGTCAATAAAAGTAAATTTGTAAACATGTAACATGATATAATTTGATATTAAAGAGGCATTACTACTCTCAAAATAAAATAAATTTAGGTCATTTTAAATTATGATATTTGAAATACATTTAGACTATCAAAAATCCTACTATCGTGTTTGATAGTCTTTTTTCAAGTGTTGATTCAACTTTTCAAAAACAAATTAATGTTTTGTATGACTCATGATTTGAATGTTAAAATATGTATGGTTTTGGCGGATTTGATATTTTGCTTACAATTTAAATTGAACATGCCCATTGTAAATGTACAATCAAACCACTTCAAAATGAAAATAATTATTTTATCAACCACAAACACATCAAAAGAGCTAATGTCCATTTAAGTTTATTTTGAGAAAAAATTAATGAAATGGAAAGTTTGATATTAATATTAGCAAAATGTAAACAAGGTGTTTATACTACCTATTTTACATGAGCATTGACCCAGTTAGTATGACATGACCATTGTAGTTATTTAGTGAAATCAGTCATTGGAATGGAGGTAACTGGTGAATTTAAAAACAGTGTTGATCATTCTTAAAAAATGTGTTCTGATCAAAACGGATATATGCATAACTGTACACTTAATGTTTTAATTGCCTCTAGCTAATAAAACAACAAGTTAAACCTTACACTAATTTCAAGTATGAAGTACATTTAACACAAATAAAACAATCATATGTTGCATTATTATTTATTATATCAATTCAAATTTTGACATTTTTTTTCGACAAAAGAATACATTAAGTATATTTAGCCTATCCCATTCGCATTAATGAGATTTCAAGAGACATTTCTGTTATGTAGCAAAATAAAGTTTTGAGTGGTTTCAACAGAAAATGAATATTAACACACCTCTAGTTAAAGATACATTAGTTAAGAGTTTAATAAAGAGTTGGCCATTCTTGCTATAATAATTTAAAAAATAGATGATAAAAAAAAGAAAATATTTGAAATTTCAGTCAAATTACTTTATTCTGAACGGAGTTGTCACTGTTGGAAGTTTGGACTAGAAATAGGCATCAACTGTGTTCGCACCGTCTACGAGAATTGCCGATCATTTGATTGACAGACGATAACTCCACCCACATATTCTCGATTATCAAGTACCATTCTCACCTCAATGGCTATGGTTACATCGCTTGGTAGGCTTTCATCACCTGTTTCCGCTATTGACGTCAGTGACTAAATCCAAGATGTATCCAAGCCAACCAAGGGTCTACAGATTTGATTTTGAGCTTGTCATGTAAATAAAGGTCTAATTAATAATTTCTATAACATGTGAAGCTTAAATAAATACTTGCAATAGGCAAATTTAGCTCTTGCATAATGTATGTTTAATACATTAATGTATACCTTCATCGGTGTCCGTCTGTCCTGTTTTCTGAGTTTTTCCCCTTTGTCATGATTTTCACTGAGAACTTCCATATTTATGTCCCCTTGTTATGAAGTCGATGTCCATCAACCTGTATTCATATTTCTTGTTATCTTAGTACACCAGAGGCTACAATGAATAATCTCTTTTTGAAATTGATTTGGCTTGTCTACCTCTTGAAATAAAGAAGATTTTTAACATTTTGCTGACTAGCAAACTATGCTGTTGCTTTTTTAGCAGAAAATTTACATAAAAAAGCTTTCATTCTAAATTAGTAATAAATTGCACTGGACACCATTTTATCAAAAGTCATTTGGAACAGTTCTCTCTTCATTCTTTGCTTACATTTCAAAACAAATGTTTATCTAGGGATTTTGATGTTAAAGGAGGAATAAACAGTGTATAATTCCACAAAGAGTTGTGGTGTTTTCACAAGCCATATTTGTCAAATGTTTGTTTTAACTTTATTTTCAGACCTGGGCAGATGCATTTCGAGGTCAGCCAGATTTGAAGGAAGTTGATAAAGTTTATCAAGAATTAAAGTCAAAGGGTATAGAATTCCCAATGACAGATTTGGATCATATGGCACCGATACACACACCAGCAAGAGTAAGATCAATATTTTATATCCCTTTTGATGGACCCACCTTGTTACCTGGTATTAAATGCTGTCACACCTGTCTATCGCTTTTTTCGTTGACCGTCCCGAATTGCTTGAGGTTGATGTCTGACTATGAATTTCCATGATATTGGATGATAACTTCAAGGGTTATTGCCTTGTTGATTTACTACCAATATTTCAATTTTTGAAATTGTTATGAAGTATTAGAGGACAAAGTTACAGACTTTGCTTAGCTTTATGTTTAAAAGAGTTTCCCCATTGTCTGTAATAACACCCTTGTGAAATTTGACAATTCAGGGTAATGTTGTTTTACAAAAACAATAAATTTCTGACAGATTCTAAATTAAAACCTTAATGACAATACTGCTGGTGAGTATTTTTAAAAAGTTTAATAGACTTTTTTTTTTATATAAAATCATCTACACAGTAGGCAAACAAAACAGTTTTGCTTTAATACAAGCTAAGCTTATTCATCCTTACTTCTAGTTCTTCGGTATTGTAGCTGCTTTTACTTTGAATGCCCACATTGCACTGAGTTTGAATTAAAATGGAATTCAGATTAAATAATTGCCAAATTAGCATTGCAAGTCTAATGTCTATAATCTATCAAAGTACATTTACATCAATTTGAATAAATAAGAAAGTCATTTGAATTGAATTTATTTGGATCTCTTCCAGATATTGTCATTTATGGAAATGTGAGCGTAATTAGAGGGACTAGACAATACTTTTTTTGGCATTTTAAACTCAATGTGCGTTAAAGCTCTTAATAAGAATATCACTGAATTATCATTGAGCTTAATATTAAAAATAAGAATATCATTGAAATATCATTGAAATATCAATGAACTTATTATTAATAATAAGAATATCTCTAAAGTACCATTGGGCTTAATTTTAATAATAAGAATATCACCAAAGTACCATTGAGCTTAATTTTAATAATAAGACTTCTCATTGAAGTATCATTGAGCTTAATAAGAATACCATACATGTAGATAAAATATTGTGACTTATTGTCTACAGATACATATACCTGTTAGCATTTGTCTATTTGGCAGAGATTTACTCCGAGATTCAGAAAAAATAACTCTGATTATTTTCTCACACACAAATTCTATAAGACTTTTGAATATGTATTTTATTCTTCTGGTTAAAAAAATGCTACAAAAGAATTCTAAATTGGAATGTTGATCATTAAATTTATCATGACAAAAACCGACAACAATTTCATTGTACATAACCGACACAGAAAGGCCTATAGATCTGCGAATTCAATACTGGAAGAAATTACAAACTACCATTAATATTTTAATATTCACCGAGAAATGTGATATGTAGGTAAAAACAATCTTGATTAATTTTAAAAGTCTAATTGAATATCTTAATTAATAGTGGTTTTGCATGATACAACGATCAAATGAAAGGAATTAACCACAAGTAAATGACAGAAAACAAAATTTAGCAAATTTTTGTTGTTATATAACACTATTTGAAATCAATAAGTGTGAATTATTTATTTCTATCCATTATTTTTTACAGCTAGTTGAACAGTTACCTTCCGATTACTGGTACTAGAGTTATAAATGTTAGCACTAGGATTAACAAACAGAAGCCAATCAAATTTTAATTATTTTTAATAATTACTTCAAAGGTTTTTACTCTAGGCCAGTGGTTGATGTCTTGTAAATGCTCCCATTACCTATCAAAGAATAAATATGTGATAACCTTTGTGGACTGCTCAGATGACTTAGCTGCTGTATGCATATAATTTGTAGGCTGGCAACCTATCTTTGAATACCGGTACTGCTATTCAATATTGGTATTGATCAGCCAAAATTTGAATTTTAGAATAATTTGCTATTCGATGATGTTTTTGTTTGTTTTTAAATTGAACCATGGCATATTATTATTCAAATCTATTTCAAGAAGCTAGTTTCATGTTATAACTTCTGTTCCATGTTACAGCTACGTTTAATCAATATTTGACATTGATTGCCGTCTAACATCCCTAGTACAGTCTAAATTCTTCACATAACTTCCTCATATAATTTACCTTTACACATCTATATTTAATGTCTGTTAAATTTTAATCATCACAGAGCATTGCCAGCTTGATTTTATTGGGCACCTTATCTTGAGACACAAGTGTTGTTAATGTTGGCTTATATATTGGTGAGGGTTTGATTAATTTGAATAACATTTAGAAGCTGTACAAATGATACTGAAAGAAATACCTGTTATGGCTTCTCAATGACATCATTCCTTAGACAAAACAATCTAACAACTAGCTAAACATTTTCTCTATGAACCAGGAAGTGGGGCCCCAAGCACTATCTTTGTTATTGTTCTTCATGGGGAGTATCACTCATCACAGAAAAAAAGACCCAGGCTTCGCAAATTTAAGTACGATCAACATGAAACTCAGCATGCTTGTTCCTTAGATAATTTCTCATTGATTGATGGACTTTGATTTTTGATATAACATCACGATTCCAAGATAGCTGCAATGACGACATGCTCGGTTCCTGGTCCATTTTTAACTTGTACTTGTTTGATTTATTTTTTGGTGGCTCTTTCTGCTCTAGTTTATTTTTTTATACGCCCACATTTTCATGTGGATGTATTATGCCGTCGCCCCTGTTTGTCTGTCCGTCCACAATTTGTTTGTGGACACTCTACAGGTCACAATTTTTATCTGATTTCGACATCTATCTCCCAAAGATCTTGGTTCCTTTCGATATAGACATATATCGGACAATAACTTCATGGATTATGGCCCCTGATTGTACGAAAAATCGCGTTTTTAGCTTGTGGACGGACACTCGAGAGGTCACAATTTTCATCTGATTTTGATGAAACTTGAAATGCATGTTTATAGCCCAAAGATCTTGGTTCCTTTCGATATTTGCGCATATCGGATCTCAACTTCCTGAATTACGAAAAATTGTACGAAAAATCACGTTTTTAACTTGTCGTCCCTCTAGAGGTTACAATTATTATCTGATTTAAAAAAATGTTTGAATATATGACCGCTGCACAGTAATGATGCTTCAGTTCGAATTTCGTGAAAATCGGACTAAAACTGCGGGACAAAATGGCCGCCCCTCGTACGCAAATAGTGTAAATATAGGGTACATGTATATCAAGGTTGTAGACCCTCTGGAAGTCACAGTGTTGATCCGATTTTGATGAAACTTGAAATATATCTTTATAACCCAAAGATCTTGGTCCCTGTCGATGGTAACTTCCTGAATTATGACCCTTGATTTTTACGAAAAATCGCTTTTTGTTTAGCTTGTTCTCTATCTATCTCTTGCAAAAAGTGGGCGTATCCTGCCTGGCAGCCGCTCTTTAGTTTAGATTTTAGAAGACATTTTGAAATGTTTTCGCTGTTATATTGTAGAGTGTTCCAGATTCTGAACTTCCTATCAGTAGAACTAGAGGCTCTTCGAACAGGGCTCCAGTGAGTTATTAATACCCTTTTCTTATTAAATTTTTTTTTGTGCTCTAGTTGTTGGTAATAGGCTATCTTTCTGTTTACTCTATTGCCTTTAGTAATCATGTCTAACCCTTTTTATTTTTTAAATAGAATAAGAAAGTTGGCTTATAAGGGCATTTTTTTCACTGTCTTTTGTTTTTAATTCGTGGTGTAGCTAGAAATTACCAAATATTTAACACATTTTATTGTTCCAATTGGAATATTTTGTTATTATACCAATTTAATAAGACTGAAAACTGGGGCATCTTGGTGCCAAATTGACAAGTTGTCAATTTGAAAGGATTATTTTTCAGTTAATTTATTTACCATAGTATATTTTTTTATAGGCTCCACAAGGCACCATGCCAGCACCAGTTACACAATCTGGACCTCCTAGCCAAGATCAGTCAACTAAATTACAAAGAGAAATGGAAGTAGTGAAAGGCAATGTGAGGGTAATGTCTGAAATGTTAACAGAATTAACACCAACATCAGTCGATCCATCAGATCTAGAATTACTTCAGGTAATTTAGTCTAGTGTCTCATTTGAGCTACGAATTATGAATATCAGTAAATAAAAAAAAAAATATAAAAAATGACGATTGTGTCTGTGTATAAGAAACTAGTGATTGTTATCCGATATAATTTTTCTAGTTTTTTTTATGTTTCCAATTGCCAAATGTGCCACCAAAAGTAAATTTTTCTTTTATACAGTAATTAGAATGACAGTAATAAAGTTAGAATAAAGAGAATGTTTGTCCTAGTGTGATGTGTTATCTTAATATAGAGTTTGTTTGTACATTGATTCTGACATTAACAACCTTTCAAATATTGACACTGTCTTGGTATAAGAACACTTTAAAGATAGGTGCAAGTCAACAATATTATTTGAATAATAAGATAAATAACAAATCTAGCACATTATCGCTAATTGTTCACAATACCTTGATCATAATGAGACTAGCCTACAGTAAATTTAATTTCAATGCCTACCTTTCTACAAATTCCAACTACCAAGGGTTCCTTTACATGTATGGCAATGTATATACACGACTGGACCCAGGTTCTTCATCTCATCTAAATGGTTATACCATTCTGAAAGGCAGGCAAGGCTACCCACTGAAAAGTGATAACTGTGCTTCAGAAATCATGAATGTTTTCTCAGAAGGTGCCAAAATTCGAAACAATAACACTCTAGGCGAGAAGCCAGTGCTCTGTCTCTCGACCACCATATACCTATAAAAATTTCATTACATGTTAGAAATACCATACATTAGAATTGAGGTACAAAATAAATTTAAGCCGCTTCTGAAGAAGATAATTATAATCAGAAACAGGTTTGCAGTGGATCTTGTTTCTCATTTTAAAAAGACTGGAAGACATAACATTGCAGAAGCTTCTATAATGGGAAAAGGCATACATAATAGTCATTGCTAAACAAACTTTTGATAAGGTTGTCCTACGCTCATAATTCCACCCAACTAGCTACACAACTAGCTATTGACTGTTAACAATAATGCCCATGCAAACATCATTCTAATGCACAATTACAAAGGGCAAGAGTTCTAATCAGAGCTTTTACCTCCTTCATTTGTATTCTCAGCTATTAATTACTTGCACATATATAAATAATAGTCATTGCATTGTCAGATTGGTTTAATTATGAAATTTTTTACAGGAATTGAACAGAACATGTAGAAATATGCAGCAGAGATTAGTGGAATTAATTACAAACATTGGAAACGAAGAAGTTACAAGTAGGTCTTGTCATTTAATGATTAGATGTATGTGAATATTACATGGTGTAAGAAAAATATACCATATATATGTCCTTGTCCCTAACCACACACTTCAAAACCATATTGATATGTATTAGGCATATCAAGGGAAAACATGTCTGGATAATCAGCGTCTATAGATTAATGTAGGCTATTCATCAATTAATTTACATATGATAAAAAAAGGTAAATACTGGCATACTATTGACTTGAATGTCAAGTATTGCAGAAGACACTCGCGAAAAAAAAAAAAATACCTACAAGTCCTTAACCAATTTTCGTAAAATATTTTCCTATCACCTTTGATCGTTTTTCGCAAAAGCTTTTATTCCTGACTTTTGATAACATACATTCTTTACAAAATCCTGCCAGAATATTTAGTATTGGGATAAAGATGGTCACTATTAATTTGAGCATTTTCGCTAATATTATTGACTCGGACGTATGGATTCTACAGAGTTCAGATCTTTATCTTAACTTATTCAAATTTATGAGGAATAGTTATTACCCGAGTGGAGATAACCTCTTTCAATTTTGAGTATTATCATAAAAGTATTTCCAGAGTTATTGCCGCCATCTTATGTGATTGTTGATAAACAAACTTTACCATACCCTCTTTACCATTTAGTTTTTAATTGAATTTGATCAAACTATGTTTTAATATTCTAGATGAATTATTAAGAGTAAATGATGATTTAAATAATGTGTTCTTACGATATGAAAGATTTGAACGGTATAGAACGGGTAATGCTGTACCTGATGGAAGTACACCGGAAGATTCAACTTACTCATCACCACCTGCTCAAGAGAATTATCTCCCTCCGTCTTACGATCAGGTAATAAACAGCATATTAGCTAGTTTTATATACAGGAGCTATTTTAATTAGGTCAGAATTAAACATTGAATTGGGTTGATCTGCTGTGTTATTCCATTAGCTCTAAATATGATTTAAAAAAATATCTCAAATAATTACAAATTTCATAGCAATCTCCACATTTACTTAGATGTGTTATTCGATTAGCCCTATATACAATTAAGTTTTTGTTTCGGAAAATGAAGCAAAAGTTTCAGTTTTTTGGCTTATTGTGACTCCATTGAAACATGATTATCTCCAGCACAGACTTTATGTATGGATGTAAAATTTTCAGCAAAGACAATGTCATTCCAGAAAAAAACCAATACAGTGAAATCGACTTTTTATTTTTGACCCAACTCAAAGAGTCTAGTCCTTTTACAGCTAATCTACAACTAATTTATACTCTTGTAAACATTGTATTTTTTTCTGTCACATGCAAACATTTTAGCAATTTTTATTAATAAGATTTTAAAGCCTGAACATTTTAAATTTTTATGTCTAAAAACATACTCCTATAGTAATACATCTGTTATCAAAGCAAAAACAAAAACACTACATTTTTTATTAGCAAAGTAATAAGTAAACTATACTTATACAATTTCTTTTAAAATTTATCTCAAAAGTAAGGACATTCTTCAGATCAGTTGTCTTTGAAATCATTCTACATTAATGGACATAGATATTTTGTCATCTTTCACATGATACAGACCATAAATTTCACTTATTTTACTTTGTCTCATGTTAATATTTAAATTAGGATCATGACAATATTCTATAACATGATATTATGGTGTCCAGAATTTTAAAATTTATGTACTCAAATTAGTACTAAAACAGTGCCTCTGAGTTTGGATAAGTTGATAATAATTTTCTTTATTGGCCTGTTTGTGTTGTTGGTATAAGATAATGTAAAAGGTTTTGTTCTACAATGTGTGTTCTACAATGTGTGTTCTACAATGTGTTATCTTTAGGTTGTCAGTTCACCTGCTAAACAACCTAGTGTTAGTGCTAATCCACCAGCGGTAAGACTAAAACACATCAATTTACATGTTTTTATTAACGTAATATTACCCCAAGCTTTGTATCCTCACTGCTAAATTACTATACTGTGTCGTAACTTTTGTATACAGTCAGTCATTTTAACGTTGTTTTGACGTGATGCTGGTAACCTGTGTACACTCCTCATCCTGTATTTATCAGACTTGAAAATCTAGCTGCTAAGAAATTTCTCTGAAGTGATAAAAGTACTGTTACAGTAATTCTTAAACCTTTAGTACTGGATTCCGCTATATATACCAGTACATAGTATCCAAAGAGCAAAATTGGGGTTAAAGGGAGGCTAGTAATTTTAATAGTCCTTAGAATTACCCTAGAATTAAGTATTATTCTTGAATTTTGAAAAGCGAATGTAATCGGGGTACGCCGTAAGAACTGATGAGCTATTGAGCAGTTTTAATACATGTAGCTTGAAAAATAACTCGGGCTACATGTAATCTTATTGAGTTTTAAAGTTAGAAAGTAATGCACATATAAATCATTTCTGCGTAGTGATATGTTAACAGCACTCTGATTTTACAACATAATTACGAATAGTGATATTTAAATATAGTTGTCGACAAACTTAGTTTAGATACATGTAGCAGTTAGTTTCATAAGTTTAGGTTATTAATTAAAAGTTACTACTAATGTTTGATATTTGTTATTGTGTTTGTTACTTTGTGTGTTAACTGTTGACATTGAATTGTCAGTAATTTTTGCTGTAGTATTGTAGGTTAATTGCTTAAAAATTTTAAAAATCGGTTTTATGATTATAAAAGTGATACAGTATTTTACAAGTGTGTGCTTTGTTTGAATCTCACAGACAATATCATGGTTTAAAGTTATTATTATCGCAAGTTTCCAGATGTGAACTTGTTTCACAGTTAATAAAACATCTCATTTTAATGTTATTTTACACACACAAAAATGTTAGTAAATGGTATTCAAAGTACATGTAGCTTCACAATATACTTTAATTATTTATTGGTACAAGTGATTATAAATAATGTATTTCTTAGTGAAATCAAACTTTAATGAGTTACTGGTACAAGACAATATAAATAATTTATTTCTTAGAGGAATCAAGCTTTAATTATTTACTCAGGTACAAGCGATTATAGATAATGTATTTCTTAGAGAAATTAAGCTTCAATTAGTTACCTGTACAAGGCTACAAGCCATTATATATGATAAAGAATTCCAACTTTAATTTGTTGCTGGTCAAGCCATTTAGCTGGCTTTAGTTTTAAATAACCCTCGGTTACCAAGAAAATTCCTCCGGGTTTACCATTCTGGCTTTCACTTGTCAGTGGTGCCGGACTGGGGGTCTGGCAAGGAAAAGCGTCTTGTACATGTATATGGATGGAACAAAAAAACGATTTCTCCTGTATGCTATTGTATATACCTTTACATTTGGAAATCGAAATCCATGTATGGGTAGGCTGTAACGCAGCTGTCGGGGCAAAATTTCACTCAGAGCTATACATTAATATTGTGCAGATTGACAATGTAGTCCAGAACATTAAATATACTGGTACAGAATGTGGTCAAACTGTATATTATATAAAAAGTCACATCTACACTAAATACAAAAAAAGATTTCAGTTTCAAACATATTCAGTGATAGATGGTAATATTGGGTGCTTAAAGTTGCTGATTGTCATTTGAGGAATTTCGAGTCCTTTGCAAAATGACAATATTTTGAAAGTTAAATCTCTAAAAGAAATATCAGTCGAAAAATAATTCAATTCCGTTCAGTATTAATTTGGCAAATTTTGCAAATTTGGCAAAATTCGGCATGCTCTGCAGACAATACATATATAAGCAAGTCAGCACCACCTATAACTTATAGTTTATAAGTTTTGGTTAAATCTTAATATGAGCATCTGTTTTTTAAATCAAATGAATCCAACTTGGAAATTTAACTATTAGATATTGTCCGAAATATGTAAATGATCATCAGCATCTTTAATAAAGCAATAGGCAATGCTTTCCTTATTATTTTCACATTTTGTTTAGAAATTCTGTTTTTGTACGCATGCTATATATGTCATAACTTATTCTTTGTTTACAATGTTAGAGTATATGTATATTATATATTATTATAAATCAGTAAGTAATATAGTAGATATATTTATTTTACAGATTCAAGCCTCTAGTAATAATGAAGGTAATCTAATTGATCTTGGGGAATCCCCTAAACCACTTACTGCTGCAGAAGTACAAACTAAACTAGGAGCATTGCGTAAGTCCTAAGCAATGAAATCATAACCAAAATGCTAAAACTTTCAGATCATATTCTGATTATATCCGATCTGTCTTTTCTCTCATTTCTCCTTTGAAAAATAAAATATTACATCTGTATAAATAGATCAGAAGGCAAGTTTATGAAATTGTTGGAGTTTGGGTAACATATTCGATAGATTAACAACAATAAGTTGTTTTAATTCGTGGGGAAATCTTTCAATAAGCACACACTTAGTAATATAATTTCAAGTACTTTTTTTTGTCCTTTTCTGTAATTATGAGTATAATTTGCCATGAAGCAAGTAATGTTGGATCAGGCTGAACCAATTTGACTTGATGATTAGCCTCCTGATAATGTGTGAGCGATGTTGATTGTTCTTGTTTTGTAAAATTTAAACATTTAGATCCAAGAATTTTGAGAATTGAAGCAAATCTTTGGAGGGGGGGGGGGGGGAGGTTCTTCTAAAAAATAGATTGTGAAATTGATACTATACAACTAAAATTTAAATTGATGTGGCCTTACCAGTGGATGTGAGAACCAGTATCTATATGTGAGCTTATTCTATCGAATATGGTATATTTTTTTTATTTGTAGTGGTGTTTGTAGTCTCTTACTATTATTAGTATTATTTTGATTATGAAATATTTAACTTCCACAATGGTTTTTTTTTTTTTATCATAGACAAGATATCATTTCTTAAAAAGAGATTAGAATCTGTTTTATTTGAAGAACTTTAGTAATAGATAAAACTTGCCTTCTGACTCCTTCGTATTCATTGATATGGACTTATAATCATAATATAGTTATTTCATAAGTATTGTACATATCTGTCACAATCTGTGTCTGTTTGTCTCTCACATATTTATATTATAGTCAACAGTTTCTCATGAATGAAACTCCACATACATGTATTATATTTTGAACATTTTATTTGAAAAGATTTGAAAATAAGCTCATCAATTATCAGATCATAGACTTTATTAATATGTGTATTAATGAATTTAGATAATAATCAAAAGAAGTATTAAAGTATTAATACTCAAATTATTGTATTTTAGATTTGTTATTAATTGACAAGTACTGATTGGTATGTTAAAATTAACATTGATTGTTTATTAAAATTGTTTAATTAGGTGTAGGAAGCAATCCACCTACCTATGATAATGGTAATTTTGATATGTTTGCTCAATCTAGACAGTCTTTTGAAGAAAATAAACAAAGTAAGGGGTAAGTAGCCAACAGATTATACGTCGTTTCAATCATATTTGACAGTCTTCACTAACTGGCAGTGAAATTGACCGGCTGCCAGTCAATTTGCATGACATAAAATTTGAACTGGCTTGCTTGGCAGTATGTTTGTTCATGATAATAGAGTTGTAATTCCAAACAGCAAGGTTTATGTAAAATAGGAAATCCCCATTGAAGTATAATCTATCATAGTTTATATCACTCTTCAGGTGGGTGGGGTTGAGTCAAACGTGGTCATCAATTACCACGTAAAATTCAATATGAAATTGTTAATATTCAAATAATGAATTTGAGTAGGTGATGTCAAAACCATATTAATATGAATGTTGTATAAAATGGGAAATCCCGATTGCAGTATAAACTATCGTATCAGTCTTGGGGTCAAAGTCAGCTGGGGAAGAGGAGGGACGTATAGTCAAAGGTGTCCGCATTTAAAATGGGATCTGATAGCCAAGTACAATTCAATATGGAATTGTTTGTATTCAAACAATATGTCAAAGCCATATAGACATGAATCGACAGTGTCCTGGTAAATTAGTAAAATGTCCCAAAGGTGCATTGGAACTGTAAGTGTTCACTGTTAAATCCCAGTCAATGAAACATGAATGATGTACAATTTATATTGACAGAGGTAGTGGTTATAATCAACAAGACGATCAGTTTAGTGGAACTTTAGCCCAATCTGTTAATGCTAAAGCTCAACCTGAAGTTCTTAATGTAAGTCTCATTTATTTATCTTTATTTATTTCCTAGTCTATGATAAGATATTCATCATTTCATGATACATTATTATTGATCAAAATTTGTTTGCAATTATAAACTCGGACCAGTCTCTTAGCTATAAGTTGAAGGGGAGGGGGGTAAGTGCGTGTCCTTTAAGTTTGGTGTCTTCATAATTCCTAACAGTGTTTATTATCTCACGCAAAACAAACGAATCTGTCCTATTTTCCACTCTTCCATCCCAGTTTCGTCGCATAAGCTGGTCAAGATATCTTTATAAAATGTTGTACACACACCAACCTATTATAGTAGTTGTGCCTTTTGTCAAAATTGATATAGTTTTTGGTATACAAGGGCACAGGATATTGATAACTGAGCGCTACTGCTTGTTATTACTACACTGTCTAATAGCCATTGTTATAATATTGATATTTTAGTTACAAGATAAAGAAACAGATTATGATGAAATGGAAGCATATATTAGAGAAACTCAACCCGGGGTAAATATCTTAATTCTTAATTTTTTATGTTATTATAAACAGGTCTTTGTAGTGTAAGACAAATACCAAATATTACTGTGGCCATTTCCGGACTTAATTTCAGAGTTTCCTAAGTAAACAGATGTTGAATAAGAGATTCAGATTGTGCATTAAAAAAATTGGAGATTTGGGCTACAACTAAAATCTGTTGTCATAGACTGGAACACCGACAATTCAACCCACTTATCTGACAAATGTTACAATCTCTAAATATTTTATTATTATATCTTCATGTCTTTGTACTCATAGAGAGAGGTTGTAGACAAATCCCACTCAGTCAAAGGTTATGTTGATAATAAAATAGAAACTGATGAAAATTTTCTTTCACACTGTAAGAAATGTGATAAACTGTGAATAGATTATCTGTATCCAATTTTTCATCGTGAGCGACTTCTTGTTATAGCTGAAAAAGTGTGTGGTTTTATGTACCATGACCTACAAGAAAGATAAAAGCATATAGTCTACCATGTTGTACTTTCTTATATATTGTATATTATGTAAGAACATAGTTGTATTTGATATGGTATTTTGCTTTTTTTGTATTTCTCTGTTATTGCATAAAATCTTTATAATTTCAGTATTCAGCGACAGGTGAAACAATATCAAGTTCAGGTAAATAAAACAGTTTCTTGTTTACCAGACAGCATATTGGATACATCCTTTATGTTGTACTGTGAATTAATGGCCATTTAATTGCAATGTTATTTTAGACATTATCTGTCTGCATGCTGTTTTATGTATAATTCATAAATAAAAGTTGTGGCATTATTTATTTAAAGTCGTTGAGCGTCATTTGCATTTCTCTGACAATATCTAAGTTTTTATGGTTTAATCCATAATAAAATGTACTCCTATTGATGATTGAACGTTTAATAAAGAAAACAGAACCAAAATATCAATGGTAGATAATCCAAAATCTCAACACTAGTAGGTAGCACAAAATTTTCAGTTGATTGTATCTTTATAGTTACTAAACAGTATTAATCAAATATTGGACAAGCATTCATTTTAGTATTCACAATCTCTCAAATGATGATCAATAGCTTTAAAAAAAAAAAACGATTTTCAAATGTTGAATCAAATTAAAACCTGTTTCCTATTTTGGCAGAAAAGAGTACTCTAAGTCCAGGTACCATTCTCTGTTAGATGTATCCTAATTTTTATTTATTTGTGTTTTACATTTAGCTTTTGGCTTGGTTATAGGATTAATCACCTGCTTTTGTTTATTTTGTGTCTTTTCTGATCAACAACTAGTTTTTCACGATTTCTGCCTAATTGGGTGATTTAATTAATTTCACAATACTAGCTTTGAAGAAGCCGTCTCAAGATATAACAGGGTATCTTTTGAGTAGATTAAGTAGGCAAATGAAATGTAAAACTTATTGTCTGCATGTATTTACATTGTCTCAAAATTTCAGCTCAAATTATTGATTGCCTAAATTGTGATTTGTTTTAAGCATATTTAAGGAAAATATAGATAACAGAGATAGCTACTCAGATCAACTTTTGATGTTCCTATCCATGTGGGAACAATAATTAAAGAATGGATTAGTTATGTCATCGATGTTGGCAGAGCTTCCCAAGCTTAAAATTGTTAATCTTCTAGTGGACTGGTCAAATTTGTTTAGATTTTATTTTTTGTGTTGTAATTAATTATATCCTTTCCAATTGATAATAACTAGTTCTGGTTCAATCATTGATAAAATGAATTCAGTCTTTAATATTATGTCGTATTTGAACAGAGGTGGGTAGAAATTTGTTGAAAGTTGATTCTGGTAGCTGTGGTTAGAATGTAGAGAAAGGGAGACCATCTCATTTAAAGATGCATTATGTAAAATAAGATAAAGAGCTGGTCGTTCTCAATATACTAGTTTAAGAAAAATACATAATGAAAAATGAATATTGAAAATTTCAGTCAAATTATTTTATACTGAGTCAAGTTATGAATGTTATAGTTTTGACAAGACTAGCATACATGTAGTCTCAATTGTTATTGCTACAATAATAAACATAATCTTGATTATCCATTTGATCTTTGAATTATTAAATGGCCAAGCTGTGCATTATCCATTTAATATCTAAATCATCGGATGATCTGGTAATTTGATTATGGGCTCATGTGAATAAATGTCTAAATAATAATTTTATAACATTTGAAGCCTGAAAAAAGACCTGCTATAGGCAGATTTAGTTCTTACATAACTCATCTTTAACAGAGTATTCCATTGTTTTGTTGAATACTTCCACACCATAAATGTTACTATCAGATGCTTTATAGACATGTTTGAACAGACATAATTATCATCAGTCACATAGGAAAGCACAGACCAGAGGCAATCACACAAAATTTAGTCAATAGAATATATCTGCGGCAGCTTCTGTAAATAAAATGTATACTAAGAAGATTATATTATTCTCTCATGATTATCATTTTATATGATCCTAAATGAAAACTTCTTTCATTTTATCAGCCAGTCTAGGTATAGATCATTATTCACAGATTTTCTTTCACTAATACATCAATCTTAAAGTTGCTAATCGTCATTTGCTATTTTTAGACATCAATTTTTTCACAGTTTAGAAAAAAGCTAAAATGAAAGTCGATTGATTATATAAGATTTAATTAAGAAAGCAAAATCAAAATAACAATGGTATATAATCTCCAGGCTTGGATTTAATTGAATTAAAAAGAAACCATTCAAAAGATTTTACCTAGCACTTGTAGATGGTATGGATTATCGTGATGTTGTTCAATTTTCAATTCACCATATCTTCGAAAATACTGAATGGAATTGAACTAATTTGGGGTCTAATTTTCTGTTTATAGATTCTACTTTCTCACAATATTGTAATTTACATAGGATTTAAAATCCCCCAAATGACTATCAGTTATTTTATAGCACTAATAAACTTACAACCAGTACAGTGTCTCATCAACTAATTAGGAATTTAATTTCATTTGCATTGTCCTAGTTTTCTAACACATACAGTTCATTTATTATCTCTTTTGTTTACTGGTAAATTAATTTTGTTTTCCTTCATTTTGCCTAGTGGATCAGGGGAATGGAAAACAATGTATGTACTTACTGGACTTGTAGTAACATTACCACTGTTTATGCCACAAAATTTGTTGATTCTTCACATTTGTGAAATATTTGTGGAAATTGTTGTAAATCTGTGATCTACTTCATTTTTTGTTTGAAAAACACTGTGTGTCCTTGTAATTCTATTCTTTTTTTTTCTTTTTTTTTTTACTTTTTTTAATATTAGTAAGATGTAGATATCAAAAGTAAAAGCCTAAAAAAAAAAACCCTTAAATGTTGAATAATGTATTCCCAACTTTTATTAGAATGTCTTTTTATTGCCTTTTGAGGATATATCTTCATGTCTTTTTCTCTAGCTTGTCTAGTTCTGTAGACTTGTGTTGATCTAATTTGTCTTAATTAACTTATTATAATCGAAAGAATGCTTTGGAAGAATAGAGAAATGTTTGTATAATTTCTACAGCTTTTTTCAGTAAAATTAACAATAATTGGGATAATATTAATATACAATTGACAATATACAGCCAAAACCAAAGTTACCTGTGTTTACGGTTACCTGGCCAAACCTTTTTTTTTTAGCTCATAACTGAGATCCCAAACTTTTTATTCTTATTTCCCAGGTGCTATAAATCAGTCTTAGCATGGTTTTCAGAAGACACTAAAATTTCGGTAATCAAACTAGAAATGCTAGAAAATAAATAATAAATACTTTTCGGTATTTAAAATGACATCGCAAAAGCTAAACATTGCAAGTATTGATGTAGTTCATTAAAACATTAATTTATAAGTTCACTTAGTTCTATCTAATCTTAACCAACAAAAAACTGGAACCCCCCCCCCCCCCCCAAAGATGACCGACCAACACTATTCACTATTTTTGGCGGCAAAGTTATTGTAAACACAGGTATTTTGTTTTTATACGCCCACATTGAAATTTGGTCGTATATTGTCGTCGCCCCCATCCGTCCGTCCGGCGGTCCAATTATGGACGCTCTAGAGGCTAAAGTTAATATCCGATTGACTTTAAATTTATACACAGTGTATAATAACTTCCAGAGTTATGGCCCTTGATCACTTCAAAAATCTTGTGGACGCTCTAGAGGCCAAAGTTAATATCCAATTAACTTTAAATTTATACACAGTGTTTAAGGTCATGAGACGAAGAATCCTATTGATTTTCAGCGATTTCCGATACTTACTGCCCGAGTTATGGCCCTTGATCACTTTGAAAAATCTTGTGGACGCTCTAGAGGCCAAAGTTAATATCCGATTGACTTTAAATTTATACACAGTGTTTAAGGTCATGAGACGAAGAAGCCTATTTATTTTCAACAATTTCCGATAATTACTGCCAAACTTATGGCCCTTGATCACTTTGAAAAAACTTGTGACATTCTAGAGGCTAAAGTTATCATCCGATTGACTTCAGATTGATAATTACTTCATGAGTTGTTACTCTTAATCAGATTTTAGTGTATTATAAATGTTTCAATACCAAAAAAAGTAAAAAATATGCGACAACACTTGTTGACTGCCCGGATGATTTAGCTGCTGTTGGCGTATGTTTCATTGCCTGGCAACCTATCTTTATTTGGTCTAATCATGATATCATTTACTAGTCTACTAAAATGGATGATCAATAATATTTGCCAGTGTATAAATATTTAGTTCTACAGATAAATGTAAAGAAATGAGTTTTATCAAAGAAAAATCTAAAATGTTAATATCCCAATATTCTTTCCTTTACTCTAATAGTGTCTCAGTATCTCTTCCCATTCCAAGATTTGTTTAATTGATTAACTGCAATATGTATATAAAACATTTAATTTTACTAATATCTTATTGCACTTTATTATATATTGGGTATTAAATATTACTGGTAAGTGTTTTAATAATATATTCTGTTTTGTTTGTTTAACAGAGTTTGACAGATTTTTAAATGAAAGAGCAGCAACTGCAACTAACGTACCCAGCATACCAGCAGAAACAGGTCAAACACCACAAAGAGGGGGTACTCGAAATAGTCGTCAGATACAAAAAGACGATGATGATAATCCGTTATTTGCTTTATAGTTGTTATTGTTATGATTGTGTTGTAGAGTTCAAGCAATGTATTGTTTGTTTTTTTTTATGTATAAAGTATGTAAATAATATTAATATATAATAATCATAATTCATAATTTTATGTACATCTGTCCACCTTTTTAGATGTTGAACTATGTAGATATTATAAATGGAGGCCCGGGGGGTGAGGCTATTATGATTATGCACTCAGTGTTACTCATGAATTAGAAATGACCAGTTCACAACTGCAATAAAAGAAATATGTGATTTGATATATGGTATAAAATTAATATTGTAATTCTGCATGTTTTAGTGAAAGCATTCATCTATTTCTTTGTTTTCATTGCAGCTGTAGTAATTAAATTGTAACATTACAAATTTACATTTCAAGGGACCTCGTTTTAGTCATATTTTCGAGTCTTGATTGACTGGAAATAAAATGGACTAGCTGAGAACTTACCAGTCAGTTGATTTTACATGCCATAAGATTAGAATTTTAAAGAATTTAACCTTAAAACATAATAAAAACATTTAGATTTATTGTTTTATGTGTAAAACCATTGAAAAAACATTTTTTAAATTTGGGATAATGTGAAAAATTGTAATATTCTGTTAAAGAAATATCTTGCTAATCTGAAGTAAACAAACTATGTCAAATATTGATCAGCTCGCCCTGGTTCAGTCCTCGTAACTACAATTTGTGAGAACACCACTGTGTGTAGTACTAGTAACTACAATATGTGACAGTACCACTGTATAGTCCTCTTAACTACAATTTGTGACAATTCCACTGTACAGTCCTCAAACTACAATTCAACATGTAATTTCGAATTGAGGTGTAATGTGTCCTTTTGGATTATCAACCCAAAAAATTGTACTATTACAGTATACCTTCTACCTAATCTGGAAAAGATGTCATTTATCTTTGTTCATTAAGATGTAAATTACCAATTTCTTATTTTGTACAGGACTTGTTTTTAACTTGTTATTAAACTTTAGTCATTACCTCTATGATTTCAGTTATGATCTTATATTTACAATATATAGCTGTAGATCAATGTGACATAACATCAGAAGATATTAAATCTATATTCCAATTTTTTATGTTTCTTGGTCATGAAGTTTCTTATTAGTAAGAAACTGATGCTAATTTAAAAATAATCTGTATAGATATTTGTGGGTTTGGGTGGACGAATGGTTTATTGTGTGGCATGGTTTCGATTCCCTGCTTGTACATGGCAAGAAGTGGGGTTGCCTGTTCAACCTTGTGGGTTTCCTCTGGGTCCTCCGGTTTTCTCCCACAGCTAAAGACCTCTATGCGCAAGCGAATTATCGAAATATAATTGAACTATATAATATGTTAGTCATGAAATGACCTAGTTTGTGTCAAAACAATGTTAAACCCCATTTCTGTTTCTGTATAGATAGTTAACTAGACAGGTTGTGAAATAGTTCCACGGTTTTAGCTGAAAAGCCATATATTTGAACTTTCTACATAGAAAGGTGGATTTAATGATCGTGCCTGGTATTTATGGATTGGAGAAGCGGCTATGGCAATATTCAACTCATCTCCGAAGTCTTATAGTGAAGTTAATCCTTCAAAGTACTTAAGCCATTGCTATGTTTTTATTTGTAACAGATGATGGAACAATATTATATCTTTGTTATTATTGTTGATATTACAAAGGAAAAGGATATTTAGGGCCAGACCAGTTTCATTTTTCGTTTTTCAGGGATCTTGATAAATGACTAATCAATAGCTACTCAAGTCTCATGTATGTTGAAAAATATCCAATTATTTTTTTTCCAAACACAAGATATTTGGAAACATTTTTCATAGGCATTCCCAAAGAACGAAAATTCAAATTGGTGTGGCCTATCAGTTGATTATTTGTTACTGTTATTAAAAATTAGTGTGATGTGTGGTATTGTACTATTGTACATTATGATAGATAAATCATATGTAATATATTAGTTGTCAGTGTTGTCTATATTCAGTGTAATAATTATACAATGTTACAAAGACAGATCATCTATATAGATGATCAAAAGATCAATCACTTTGTCTAAATGATCACTAGTATGATCTTAGAAAAACGTAAACTTACCCTTTCTTGTACCATGTGTGCACTCCTATATTATTCAACACCGATGTGATATCACTCTAAAGTGTTTTAGTGACATTGTAGAAATCGGTCACATTAAATAACACGAAATAAAAAATTTATGTAATACAATAACTGTACTTATTTTTAGGAGCAATGAACTATAATGTTGACAAGAGAATTATTATTGAAATATTTCTCCTATAGATCCATTAATTGTATTCCATAAAGTTTTTTGTTTTATTTTTTTGATGTGTAATCACTTTCAATTTCACATTGACATGGTGAGATAGTATGACTTTTATGTACCCATCACATAAACAAAAGTTGATTAATGAGAAAGTGATTTTTTTTTTTTCAACACTGGAGAGAATTGTTTTTGTAATTTCCGTATGCACCTATATTGACAAATTTACAAGATTGATTTGGTTTTATAACAAATCTTGTGAAAGATGTATTTACACAATTGAAATATTGCTAATGTGTTTTTCTTCAAATGTATTTTGCAATTTTAGAGAAGTCGACTAAATAGAAATATACTTTATAATAATGTAATGTAGTATATTACAAAAAAAGAGAACATATTATGGTGTGTAATATCTACATCTTGTGAAAATGATAAAATAAGATAGTGTATGACATACTACATGAAAATTTAACTCGCTAATTATGTGTTAACAGACTTTTATAATTTCTAATTATAATGCAAAATGTTAATTCTCTTTATGCATTTAGCTGATTCTTATAAGTATGAGTCAATTACATTTTTCCATGTTTTTTTTTTTTAACAATTTCATTTTATATACCGTAGTTTCTTTTCTCATGTAAAAATAGTCTCCAGATTATGTTGACCTTCATTTATAAATTTGAGGAAAAAGTTATTTTTAAATTGTTTAAAGGACTTAAACCCCCTTGGGTTGATTTGATGGGATGGGTTAAGCTCTATGGGATTCAGTTTTTGTTTCGAAAGATTACACGGAAGTCAGCTTGTTTTATTTTTGGCTTGTTGACTGTGCAACACAAAATGGTTTATATTTAAACACTGGATTTATGTATAGATATCAAATTTTCGTCCGGCTTTCAAATGAACATATAGAATCCAATGAAATCAACAATTTTATTATTTTACCCAAAACAAAGGGGTCTGGACATAATTAAGGTTTATAAATGTGATATTGCAATATTGTGGGCAATTTTTCAAAAAAGACTGTAAAATGGTTCAGTTTTATTCCAACCATTGAATATGTGTACAAATACATATGTTATAAACTATTTTTTTAAATTTTATTTATATCTCAAAGATCAGCTGTATGTACATGTATATTGTACTAAATTATGCTTTCTTTTATTATATTGTTTTATAGCTAATTCAAGTGTAAATCTGTAGTTTAGTTGAGTTCTGTATAGATATAACAACTTATCTTTAATTCAATCCATTATTTTTCTGTAAATTTAACAAGAATTGTATTTTTTATCACATTGTGTATATGTGAGATAATATATGATAGAAACAAATTTTTGTTGTATGTTTTTATGATCCCGCACCAGGTAGAAATATCTCATGAACCATTCCTGTTATATCTTTCTAAAACCTTCTACACCATCAACCTATTATTATAGTACCAGTAGTTATGCCTGATGCTGATCAGATATTTCTCAGAGTTAATGAGTTTTGCGATTATGGAAACAGATTTGATTATGTTTTGGATATACAGGATTTTGATTACAGAATCTTTTTGTTATTCTAGACAGTATACTGATAGACAGGTCAGAAATACAACTAACATGAGCAGGATGATTTACCCAATACTACCGCATTATTGTTAAAAACTGACAGAATAATTCAAGACAAAAAAATTGACTTAATTCACTGAAAACTTTCAAAAAATGAACGGCAAATGTGATGCAAAATGAATTGAAATGATGGCCTTGGGATGTGGGGGGCTGGGGGGATTTGTGAGGGCTTTTCAGGTAAAGACAGCCAGTTTTGAAAATTAACAAGTTCTTTTTGTATGCAATATGGGGAACTGTTTATGTGGAGCTTAGCAGTTACAAAATGTACTGTTTAATAAAATGTATTTTAAAAAAAAATAAATCGGCACCATTGCAGTTTTGTATGAAATTATGAGCAGAAAAAAAGTCTGAAATTTTGTAAAGTAGTTCCTTGTTTAGATTTACCGTTTACCTAGATACTGAAATCAACTACATCTGAACTATACTAATGTCCAAAAGAAAGTATACACACTAAAAAAATGACTAAGTTTTGTTTAAATCAACAAAATGTGATAAAACTAAACTGAACATGTCTTGTGCGTCCAAACTCAATATTTCTAAGCAAATAAAAGGCAAAACAAATGGACATTGTACCCAAATACCACATACAATGGAAAAATGACTTTGTTTGAAGCAGGATGAAATGCACAGTGTATACTTTCTTTTGGACATTAGTTTTTAAAATTTTCTAAAACAAACAACAGACTAAGAAAAACAAAAATTAGACAACAAAATTTGAACAATATGCTTGTTATTGTGGCTTAACCACCAACATAACCTTAAAGGCTCAATACCACTATTGTTGTAACTGAATAAGAAGTCCCAATGTTTATTCTGGTCAACAAATTGCACTATTTTACAATATTCCAATTAATTGATGATACAAATTTCATCTTAACACACCTAATTTATAAAATTGGAAAAATTCAACTAAATGATTTGAAAAGCCTGACGTAAAGCTTTTCAAATGTGACTTGGATTTAAAAATATTTTTGAACCCTCTGGACAAGTAAAATAGGATTTAATGGATAATTTAAACAACAGGTAGGACACTAACACATTTAGTACTTAGAATAAGGCTATTTCTGGAGCTGTCAAGCCAGCAAGAGTGTTATTGTCCCTTTAACAAGCATTAGAAAAATAACAGGGAATATGAATGACGATTATGAATGTTTTAGCAGACCATGATGTTATGATTGGAATTCTTCATTAGATCCAAACCCCATATTGTAATCTTTATGATTGTCACTTACCCCTTGCTGCATTCCACCCTGTATTGCCTAATGTTTCAGTGTACGACTCTGGACAATGTTTACTGTTTGTTATGCATTCAGTTTACCATTTAACCATGGTTGACCTTCCCCAGTAATAAAATAGGTAACGAAAGAATTTCCATATACAATACTGTATTTATTTTGTACATAATATAAAAACATTATAGAACATATACACAGTATACTGTACTTATCATACAAAACCTCTTATATATATATACAAATATACATTAGATTCAAAAGGCATATACACAACATTGAATCATACTGAATAAATAATAGCACTGATAAAATATTTATACATTTATGAAAATTTACTTCTCTGTGCTGTATAAACATATATTTACATAACATTTTATTGGCACTTAATTCACAGGAAAAAACACAGAAATGAAACGTTCGACTTTAATATAACACAGACTAGACCTATTTAAAAATTGTGAAGTAACATTTTACCAAAAATATTAACACCTTGTATTTAACTGCTACAGTTCATATAATTTTGCGTGAACTAGTCAAACATGTTACATTGCAAAAGCATGTTTATAAGCACCATAGTGACTAGTTTTAAATATAAAAAATTTTTCTGATTTCTGACTTACTTTCTTTCACATGAGTGATGCCATTGACAGTTCTGTTTGTATCAGCCATTCATTTTATAACCCTAATCCTTACTGCATCATTTGCTGGGGTTTTAAAACTCCCATAATTATCTACGTACCACTGTCCTGTATATAGCAATACGTGCAATTGGATTGGCCAATAATGTTGTGCACACTGACTTGAAAGAAAAAATGTTGGATGTTGCTGTTATACAACTTTAAAAAATTAATTGTCTTCTGCTTTAATCAAATAGGAAAAAAGTAAAGTGTGTTCAGCACAATATGAATGGTCCAATATTGATACATAAAGATATCAAATGTTTAAGTGTCATTCAGTAATTGCTCAAATTAAATAAACACAAAACTATAATAACGATTCTTTTGTCATACTTGTTGAAACATTGGTCCGAAAAAATCCAATAATAACTTTTCATACAGATTTGTCTTTTATTTTTTCATTAATGTAACAAAATATTTAAAACAAATTTTTTACAATAACCTTGATTGTCAGTAACTTGAATTTTTCATCAAGAACATTAAGATCCTTATATAATAGTTGATTAAAAAAAATTAATAAATAAGCTGAAAAAAATAGATCTAGGCTTCATCTCGATTATTTTCTTCCATCAGTAAATCGTACCGATGTTCCGTCTACTAATTCTACACCTTCACCTTGCTATAAAATAATAACACAGAAAATCATTAAATATTATCCTTGAGTGGCATTTTATGATTGACCACATAAAAAACACAAAGATCATTGATATGGTTTATTATACATATAGCACAACCAGTGTCAGATTTAGATGAAGAGAGGTTGACAGGACCTAGAATATTCCACTTATAGGGCCCCTCCCAATCACCCACCCTCACGACTAGAGAAGTGTTTTAAACAAAATTTAGCAAGGATGATAGTGTGTGTATGAAGGGCTTATAACAGTATCAAAAATATTATACACCTTGGCTGGAGGTCCCCTTGATCTTGAGGCTCCCTTGATCTTGAGGCCATAGGCTTCAGCCTGTCAAGCCTGTACGTAAATCTGACACTCCATTTAATTTAACGATAAAATCAATACCATGACAAATTGATTATGGGCAAAAAGATTACAAAAAGTTCTCTACATAAATTTGTAGACCAAGCTTGGGACCAAATTAACCATGCCACTTAACTCAATGACAGACCCTGTGAACTAAAGGCTGGGTATTATTTTAGATGGATTTAATAATAAAATATTTCATTATGTACTGTAATATTTAAACTGTGCTCTCTACTACCCCAAAGCTTCATTAGTCCTTCAAATATCTGAAGTGATGATGATAGAATAATTTTCAAATTACCTCAAATAATGGTGGTTCTTTTTGATGATAATGAAAACCTGTTTCTTTACACGACCCTATCTGGGTTAAACCATTTTGTGTTAACCGGAAAACTCCAGATCTAAAACATATACATAGATGAATGCTTTAATATATTAAATACACCCTCAAACCTAATTTTGTCAATTAAAGCTACTAATCGTCAGTTGAAGAGATTTTGAATCACATGTAAACTTCAACTTTGTCATAGTTGAATATCTAAAAGAAATATCTGCAGACGACATAAGAAAAAGCTAGCGCCAACGTTAAGTGTTGGGTAAAATTGGATTGAATCAAAGCTAGGAGTTTATGGTTTGTTTTCTTCATTAAATGTTAAATATTCAAATCATGGATGATAATGTTTGATCTAATGCATGATATTTTTGTAACAGCTTGATCATCCAAGAATGAGAGACAAAATTTAACATCCATAGGAGGAACCAGAGAAAACCCATGGACAGACAACCCTATTCTTGTCATGTACAAGTGTGGGATCGACTCAATAACAGACCCAAAACCCCCGATCTTCGAAGATAACCGAATATTTAGAAACTTCTTCACATTTATTAGCACAACACAATACTAGCAAAAGATATTAAGAACTACTGAGTACTGAATCAAGTTGGGAGTTGACACATTACTAAGATATAGAAAAACTACTATTATGTATTGATTTCCTGCATCTTTCACGAAAAATAGACATTTTATCTTACAAAATATAAAAGGCCTACTTACTCCTTGAACTTTGGTGAACAAACTATAGCTACAGATTCTGGCATCATTTTCTGGTATGGAAAATGTGTATGCATGTCTACACTGGATAGAAAGGCTGTTTGTGTAGGATGTGTCTGTCAAAAATAACATATTATTGATAAACTATGTATCAATAAACTATTCAAAGTTACTTATTTAAAGAGCACATAAACTGGTCATATCAAAATAATATAATTTATATATGGTAGAAGAGTTGTTAGCAACGGGTCCTTCTGGTCTAGCATTGTTCTTGATTATAACTTGTGACTGGATTATAATATTGACTGAGAATTGTGTTTGTCTTACAATGATAGATTCTGCCCCTTTTTCATAAATTTACCAAGTACAAATTAATATTAAACTTTTTACATAAATTTAAATGATAAACAACAAAATATTGTTTCACAAAATCCAGTATTAAGACAGAAGGACTTTTACATATGGACAATACCTGTTAGTAGACCTCTCAGGAGGAATAACTATGCAAGTTTGAGAGATATATAACAGTAGAAGAAATTTCATTTGGAGTGGTAATAAATTATGGAATGACTTACATGTATCCATCCAAGTGTAATTAAATCGTATTTATCTTGATAATCTATTAAATCTATTTCATTCTCCATATCACAGCTATCTGGGGTTCCATGTTGTTTAGGTATAAAAACATCAGATATATGGAATGCATTCTTTGCCTGGAAAGAAGATGTAATTTTTAAAAAGGTTTCAAGAAACATTCAATCAAAGCTAGTCTATTTACTCCAAATGCTTATATTTCTAAACAATATCCATTATTGAAATATCAGTCTATTGTAATGAATATTATGACATCCTTGTTTTTCTACAACACCTGGTACCACTTCTCATTTAAGATGTTCATACATTAACAAATTGACTGGATTGGTGGCTGTTGGCCCTAAGGTCATCCTCTACACTGCAGGGGGGGGGGGGGGGGATGGCCGAATGGTTAGCATGTGCACTTTATCATTAGGCCTGTCATTGAGTCAACTGGCATGGTTTCGAATCCCTGGTTGTACTAGCAAGGAGTAGGGTTGCCTGTCCAATCTCGTGGGTTTTCTCCGGGTCCTCCGGTTTCCTCCCACTGCTAAAGACCCCTACACGCAAGCGAATTATTGAAATAAAATTAAACCATATGTTAGTCCCGAAATGACCTAGTTTGTCTCTCTCTCTCTCTCTCTCTCCCCCCCCACTGCTTCTGAAATTCAGGTCCAAACCATCACTCACTCCAGTTAGCTATTACGAGGCATATGCTTACTCCTTCTAAAACACCTGATATGACTTATCCATCAGTTTATAAAGAAGACTGAACAAACTATGTATTAACATATAACTCACCAATTTACCAAATAATATACCCAATGTTTCTGTATTTCTGTTTGTATTTGATTCAGCTACTGTAAGGAACTGGGTGAAAATAGATGTAGGCACTACAACTTTTCTAATATTACTAGAACCGCCTCCAAAATTACCAATACTCGTAAAATGGTCAAAGTTTGGTTTACTATCTCTATTAACTAGTGGAATTTGTGGAGAACTGAAACATCATAACACCATTATGAACATTTCAAATTAAATAGTTGTTTTATTCTGTGTATGGTTTTATTAATAATATTGTTCTGTCTCAAAATACCATATCTATCCATGTTCAAGTTGCACTTCTAAAAGTAACTGTACAGTGCAGTGGATGCTTACGGCTAGCCCCCGGATCCATTCACTTAATCTGATATGTACGTTTGTTTGTGATTTCTGCGTATTGTGTTTTGTCCGTAGTTTTGTTTTGTGTAATTGTGTGTGGTGCAGTCCCCCTGCACTTACTATTATATAGTCAAAATCAGAGTTTGCTTTTTTGGGAATCTTGACTTGCTACAATAAATATTCGTTCAAAAACTTGTAAAGCTAGTCCTATTGGAACTGCCGAGGTGACTAATTCTCATCAATTGGTTCCTAAAGAATACCTCAAAATATTGCACTTTCAAGAAATGAAATTGGTTTTAAAGTCTTAATTTTCTGCACCAACCGGACTAATGAAGGCATGCCTATGCCATGCAGTGTGCTATGAAGGAAAATCTTGCCTCAACTCTTGGTGATCTAGTCACTATGGCCCAGTTATAAGTAGTATATTATTACCTTGAATCACTAACTGTTAGATTTTTCTTTAAATCACGATTAGGTACAGGAGGTATAGTTGTTATACCAATATCTGTTGGTGGCATATAATTAGATAAATCATTAGGTATAAAGTCCAAGTTACCAGACGGTACAGATATACGTTGATTATTTAAACCACTTGTATTATTATCTTTATCCTTATCTATCTCTAGTTGTGCTAACCGTCTTTGTTCCTGTAACTGTAGTTCACGATATCTTTCTTCCTGTTCTCTACACCATCTTTCTTCAGATTCATTTCGGATCTTTTCTTTCTCAGCAAGTTTTTTTCTTAACCTTTCTTCTTCCTCTGCCTGTTTTCTAGCATTTTCAGCTTCTAGTTCAGCTTGTCGTTTGGCCTATAATATCAGTCAAATGAAATCATATTATGTATGATACATTGTTTCAATGGCAAAATAAATAAGGTTTAACGTACTACTTTTCTGCACGAACTAGGCTAATAAAGACGACTGTTTCAATGGCATTTAGTAATTGAACTGAAAATACACAGAACACAGTTCCATGGAATATAATTACTTTTAATTACTACGTGAACCATCAACTAAGTTTTCCTATTCTTTTTATCAATAAAACAAATAACAATACAGTCTACTTACAAAATTCAACAAGGACGAATTTGTTATCGGTGATTGTGCTTTCGAAGTTATCTTTTGTCATTACAAGAATACATGTACATGGGAAATTTGTTGTTGTTTATGTCCCATCAATTGTTATGATTGCATCATATGCAACCATGTTGCTCAGTAATAAGCAGTAATTGCATTCCAAAGAATTGTGTATTATAGTTTGATACTGTTCCATAAAGAAGGTCACACATCATCCAACATTGAGGATACTTGATTGAACCATATGGGATTAATTCTCTCAATCTCATAAATAGTGATAAATTGAGCTACAACCATGACAGCTGAAATCTATTCACTGTGTTTGATTATGTGACAAATCAACACACACTACCTTAGCTGACAGAACTATTACATTACTGAATTCTGTTTCAATTCTGTCAATTTGGTACATTAAGAATATCCATTTGTAAAATAAACTATCTAACAATGTCTTACGTCCAGTATTGTATTCCAGTGGGGAAATTGTGAATGTCATCAATATTTTAAAATAGCTATTACAATACCAGTAATTTTTGAAAAAATTACCAACCTCCAACTCTTCTCTTTGACGCTGTTCTTCAATATATCTTTTTTTTAATTTGGATTTGATTTCTTCCGCGAGTGGAAAAACTGTCTTCATTTTCTAAGGAAAAAAGTGTAATATGTTACAGAGAATATATAAATTGTTTAGGGTGTGTTGGTAAGGGTAGTAGTCGAGTGATCCGGATAATGAACTCATGATTAAAATGACACAGGTTCAAATATCGGCATAAACCGAGAAGCACTGTCAAGATTTTTTAAGCCCGGCACTGACTTGTTTCAATTTCGATGCCCCTGCAAGACTGACAAGGAAAGAGTGTCTAGACGACTGCTGTCTGATGAAAATTCTCCTGTCTTGCACTGAGCACATAACCACAGAAATAAAAAGAACACCATGCAAAGTGTGGAAATACGCCCACATAGCAGCAATGTCTCGACAGCAACTTATCCGAAAGGAAACTTGGATGTTGACCAAATTCAATATTTTAGCAAAGGGCTGATAACTTTGAAACAGAATATCAAAGAATGCTGTTTATCGACAGGGTTTGTCCTCTTGTGACCCCAATGCTTCAAACCAAATTTGGAAAAAATCTGTTAAACACTGTAGCCTCTATCACATTTACAAGGGTTTGGCAAAGAGGAGATAGCTCTGAAACGGAAAGTTGATGAACTTGACTCAAATGCTTCCACCAAATTTAAAAAAAACATCTGTTATAGATCTTCGGAAAAGGGGCATAACTCTGTAAAAAGGTCACAGAATGCTGAATGTCAATAGCGTTTGTCCTCTCATGAGCACAATGCTTGACACCAATTTAAAAAGAATCCATCAAAAAATGTAGCCTCTATATAGTGTTCACGAGCCAATTATTGACGCACTGACAGACAAGGTGATGACGTATAAAAATTACTTTTTGTTTGTCTCAAAATGTGTTGACGATACACTAAAATCCCATTCCATGGAATTCAAGCCCAGCTATAATCCGTAACCGACTGGTCTTAATCACATTTTTGTTCTTGAACTGCAGGTTTTTGATTTGATGTGGCTATCTAGAGTGCACAGACAACAAGTGCAGCTAAATATTTCCAATAGTAATCTGATTCAATAATAGTATTAATAGCTACATGTATTATAACAGCTATAATATTCTGATTCAATAACAGCCACCGGTATATTATAGTTACCTTTTTGATTTCAGCCAGATCAGGTGGTGGTGATGACTTATAACCAGGATGACTTGGAAGTCTTTCCACAAATAACCTGCAAATATTCATCAAAATTCATTTTATACTATTCAAAAAAAGTAGGGGATATTTGATTTTTAAGTGTTATTAAAGTCACCTAATGAAACTGACGAAGAAACAAATGACAAAATGAAATGAAGTTCACATTCATCGATTTATTCCAAATGATCGTTAGACTAAGTAAGGCACAGACTGACCATTATAAGGGTAAAATGATGCCCGGGGTCAAACAGCAAAGTTACCACAGCATCACAACCAAGTCAGTAACGGGTAAATCCTCCTCTGTTTGCCAAACAAGCATTGATCCGACGTGGCATACTCCTAATGAGACGTCTACGGTCATTTTGGTCCAGATTGTCCCATTCCTGTTGCAACGCAGCAGCAAGTTCTTGGACATTGGCAGGACGTTGTTGACGTTGACGTAACCTCTGTCCAAGCATGTCCCAGACATGCTCGATGGGGGAGAGGTCGGGACTCAGTGCTGGCCAAGGTAATGTGGTGATGTTCTGTTGTTGGAGGTAACCTGTAACGATCCTGGCCCTGTGACATCTTGCGTTGTCATCCTGGAAGATGAAACGGCGGCCATGACGTCGTGCGAACGGCACAACATGGACTGCCAAGATGTTGTCCCGGTAGTACTGGCCTATAACACGCCCTGCAACAACATGTAAAGCCGTTCTTCCAGCAACAGTGATGCCTCCCCACACCATAACAGAACCACCCCCAAATCGATCATGTCTGATGACGTTAACGTCTTGGAAGCGCTCGTTTCGACGACGCCACACCCTCCTACGTCTGTCCAAAAAATCAACAGTGAACCTTGACTCATCTGAAAACATCACATTGCTCCAGCGTCGATTATCCCAGTGTTGACGATCCCTACACCAACGACGTCTTGCCTGAATGTGATGATCTCTCAAACAAGGGATCACGCGAGGACGTCGGGCGCGAAGGTGACCCCTATGCAGTCGATTCCGAATCGTCTGGCCACTCACTCTCACACCAGTGTCTGTTTGAAGACGAGTGCTGATCTGATTTGCTGTGATGACACGATTTCTCAAGGCCAAGGTACGGATAAATCGATCCTGGGCTTGAGTTGTCGCCCTCGGTCGACCTGAGCGTGGTCTGTCCTGTACAGATTGTGTATCACGGTATCTGGACCATAGCCTGCTTATGACAGACTGAGAAACATTCATCGTCCTCGCCACAACCGCCTGTGTTGTGCCGATCTGTAGCATGCCAAGGGGACGTAACCTTTCATTTTGGGTAAGCCGACGCATATCAAAATTTGTTTTCTGGTCACTAAAACAATTAAACTGAATTTTAAAATTCTAAGCTTGATGGTTTTTGCTCTTTATACTTACGTTATATATTTAGAATATAAAATAAAAGCACTTTCATAATTGGCTTCGTCCAGATAGACATTTGCCATTCTAATCAGCTCACGTCCAGATCTAAAATATAATTTGGTAGATAATGTGTTGTCAACTTCCACTTGAGAACCATATTCACATAATGCTTTCAGTCTAGCTGATGGATCATTTATATGAGATACTTTCGATGCCATTGTCGTTACTAAAAAAGAAAAAAATTCAAATAAATATTAGGTAGTGACATGAGAAAAAAAAACAAGATAGGTCAATTATTAGGCCCATATCTCTTCAAATCTCTTGAAGCTAGCTTTATCATAAGACCTGTTCGTTCACCCCATTTAAACCCCTAAATTGAGTTGTTTCATACAAATAAAAACAGACAAAAGACAGGACTCTCGATTAGAACATTCTAAGTTTGATTCCTGGTGTGAGCGGAGAAGACGAACCCAGATTTTTCAAGTTTGGTTCACACTTGTCAGGTTTAGCACCTGGGCAGACAAGGAAGGTATGTCTAGTCATTCAGATGGGACAAAAAAACCTGTGTACACATGGAGGTGCATGTAAAGAACCCATGACAGTTGGAATTCAGTGACAACTAGGTACAAATGCTGCTCGCTGGGAAAAATTACCCCCCCCCCCCTCTTAGCATTACACATGAAGTATTGTTCAAATCTATTCCATCGTATCCATTACAAATAACATTAAAAATTCATATCATCTATAATTTTTAATAACATAACTTATATTACATATATTATTTATGTCTTACAAAAACAACACAACCAAATGTCTAATATGTATTTATCACTGTTTGTCACATGGTATCGCAATCTGATGAGACCATACAACTTTCCACAACTACTCTAACATTAATAAACGACTGATTATACTAAGACCAAATCTTAGTGTAGTCAAAAATAGTATTAAATTCTGTGGATCACACCTATGGAATACATTATGTGGATGTTTCTTCTTTTTTATATATATATATGTTATATTTATAATGTATATATATATATATATATATATACTTTTTTCTTTTTGTATAAATTTCTATTTCTTCTCTATCTATTAATGTACATATGTTCCCATTGATTAAAGGGCAAAATGTAAGAAAGGCCATTGGCCTAATTTTCAACCCTTTTGAAATAAAGTTATTATTATTATTATTATTATTAACTTCATTTCATATTACGCATAGAACACCCATAGATAACTGCACAAGCTTTAGATGGGTGAGCTAACTTAAAGGGCGTATGGCTCTATTTTTTGGAACCTTTAAATAGACAAAAATGGTTCTAAAATCAAATATAATATCAATGTATGTAAAGTGATTTATATTCAATTTTTGAAAAAAATTTGGTAATATTTAACCAATTATGTTACAACAATTCAAATTGAGTGGCAGTTGTTTACGCCTGCTTAGTGCATTGCATGTTTTTTAAATTATTATTTTGTCCTTTGTGAATCAGCCTTTACTAATTACTTACACATTGTGTTGAAGGATGTGTTTGAATTTGTTCATTAGGAAATGGCACCCGAAACCATAAGAACACAAGTCATGTACTTATTATAAAATGTTAATTTATCTTTTAAAATATTGGATATATTAGGATCCTATAGTTTCACGGCAAGATAACAACATCAATATTGATTGAAATTGATCAATATTGAATTCAAATTCGTGTTTTTAATTTTGAATATTATGAAAAATATTGAGTAAGAGACTTAGCTACTTTAACATGAAAATACTTTGAATTTATTAGGACATTTTGTACATCTTGAACACTTGCAATGTACGGTAACATCAGATTAGTCAATCAGGCTGGAATTCTGTAAGCGTTGACTGTTAAGTCCCGGGCCTGTAATGGTACAGGCTTCATTCAAAAAGAAAAAAAAAACAATTTACAAAAACGACGCAACAGAGACAGAGAGAGAAATGGGGTTTAACGTCCACTCGACACAAACTAGGTCATTTCGAGACTAACACATGGTTCAATTTTATTTCAATCATTTGCTTGCGCGTAGGGGTCTTTAGCAGTGGGAGAAAACCAGAGGACCCGGAGAAAACCCATAAGGTTGGACAGGCGACCCTACTCCTTGTCACGTACAACCGGAGAATCGAAACCTCGCCAGTTGACTCAATGACAGACTGTATGATAGAGCGCGCGTGTGCTAACCATTCGGTTATCCAACCCCCCAAGATGCAACAGAATAATGTGATCGATCTTGACACCATGAGTCAGATTGTCAAACAATTTTAACAATAAGGGTGATAATCTGGATAGAATCTCTACCAAATACCACCACATAGTACCTTATTATTGTGAAAAGCTAACATTATTATGTACATGTAGAGACTTTTTTAGTTAATTTGCAAAAAAGCAATGGCAAATGTGATTGTCAATGTCTCACCATTTCAGTTATCTCCCTTGATCACCCAATACTACCAAATATTAACCCATAAAAGTATAATTATTTGTATATAACAATATGTTTGTTTGAGGTAAAATAAATCATTTATTCAATGTTCTGCCGTTCCATTTATCACTGAGTGATACTATAAAACAGAAATTTCAGATTTCTGGTACTGTACAAATTATACACATCTTTGGGGAACTAACTCATTGGTACTGAAGTACCGTAATTAATTATGTCAGTTTTAAATTAATTAATAAGATAGTATGTGGTTGTATTTAATAGTATTAGATTAGTTCAGACACTAGAGCTGTGTAGATGTATACTGACTATAAATAGACATTCCAGTCTAGCATACAATTTTTGCAAATTCCATAAATTAACCTCTTTTTTTAAAAATATAATTGAAGTAGATTCTAAGCCTAAGGTTTAAGATTGCAAAAAGGACACAAGGATTTTAAAACGAACTTTGTGAATTAAATTCACATGCCATATTTGATTCACTCTATATAACCTTTGAATTTACTTTTTATGGTGTTTATCGAATAATTTCAATCAAATTTAAATAAGCAGAAGTTTACAAATTAAAAAGATGTTGATGTGAGTAGACAACAAGAAAGCCACAGGTATCTGTCTCTTTTGAATTAATGACTTTGAAAGATGTTCATAATGAAAAAGGAATGAATGAATGTTTGTGTTATCTGTTGATAAACGGCTACCTAAGATTTAAACAGTAAACTGATATGATCGATAGCGATAATGGACCGTAGCGATTGATTTGCAGGAATGGAACCCAGGAATTTTTTTCTGTTTGAGTATTCCAAAATATTCAATAAAGTTATGCAGAAGATCAAATGTGTTTTTCAAACCACCGTTGCAACCTTAAGTTGACAAATCAGAATTTGAATAATTTACAAAAGCAACCCACTCGTTTCGTACTTGGTAAATTTTACCTTTGTAAACCTGATGCAATTATCAGTCACACAATTAATATAATTTTATAATGCCGCATTATCTACATGCGCTATGCAGCATTATAAAATTTTCTCTAAACTATTATAATCTATAAGGTTCGTTGTTAACAACGCTTCTATATAAAATTGTTTTTTTTACATATTAATGATTAGTACAGCCAGCATGTTGATTGAAGCATGCAGTGAATCTACATCAGCTTGTGTATACAGTGATAAGATGTGTAGTCCCTGTGATGTCACACGCCAATCAACAGGATTAAGACTAATTGAAAAATTGACAAGTGTTTTAGACTTAGAGGGTCTGACATATAAATGGTCATCATATCAATAATTATATCAAATAATTTTAATCAGTTTTATGTGCAATTTCCTAAAGTGTTTAAAATAAACACCGGCTTCAAGTACATACAACTTTCATTAGATGAAATAAGATGTTTATTGCATCAAAACGTCCATTAAGGACAGCATGCATACATATACACTAAGACATAGTCATATATCAATGGTCATATATGTTCCTTAAATTATATTTTGGGTGGGCCTTGAACTAAAGTATTTATGTACGCTAGTAATAGTAGGGATAAATTGTCCTTGCCGCAATGCAATGACTGTCATTTTAAATTTTAATGATTTTTCATTAAATTCGATTGATTTACCTTTTCCTCACTGAACTCTGAACCTGTTGGATGTCAATGAAGAACATGAATAATAAAATTGGCTGTATTACCACCTGTCACTGTAAGGAAAGAAGTTTGAACTCTTGTAATGTTGTAAGACTGTTTCAGTGTTGGCTTTTTTGACTTGCTACTAGGCCTATTCAATTGTATTAGTATTATTGTTAAAAAATCTAGCTCTAGTCTAGGTGTGATTATTCAAAATCAAATTCAAGAAAACATCATTGTTCATTTCCCTGTCTTCAGCTACAACTATAAATACCGTTTAATTTCAATGTCACGAGATAATGAAGACGTGAATCATAACTAAATTCGTATCAGTTGGGATCCAATGTTATTAAAATTCAGCAAATATCGTCCATTTTCTTAATAACAATTTATCCAGACACAAGTTATGTGGGTCGTTTTTTGTCCAGGTCATATCTCTGACAAAACTAACTGCCATTTTTTTTATCACGATCAGTCAATTATTTTTAATTCTCAAAAATATTTTTACCCGCTTCAAAAATATTTCAATAATATTGCAACGATTGTAACCAGTGTTACTGAAATTGATACAAAATAAAATAAGATATAATGTTGAAATTACTCAAAACAGCACAGATAGGAAAGATTCAGAGACCTGTACAATCGAGTCTTACGCGTGATGACGTACAATTCATACAGACTCCCTCTCCAAACCTCCCCTCAAACAAATCAAAAAAATTACCATAGATCTAATATGATTCACTACTTTTTATTATCAAAAAAATATTACAATAATGCTATTATTTTATAATATTTGTTCATGTAGGTCGGATGTCAAGAGTAGATCATCACCGTTTGCAGATTGTAGGATTTGATTGGTCAATTTCTGAGTGGGTTTCCAATATTTTCATAGACTCTTGCGTCAGGGCATACCGAAGAATGTATTAAGAGAAAATGACCTTATTGATCAAATCTACTGCTTACCTCGAAAACACTAATTAATTAGGATTCCGAAGACTTTTTGCAAATTATTCCGACCTTCGTGCCATATTTCCTGCAAGAGATGTGTCAGTGACAGTAATATATCAGGTAATTTAGTAAAATATACACCAACCTCTGAGTGAAATACATAAAATTATTTGATTTGCACGTTGTAGATTTGTATATTATTAGTAATAGTATTAGATTTAGAATTTAGAAATACCGCCGTGTAGATTAAATGATTGCAGACAAATCAAAGACTGCAAGAAGACTCTGAAGATTCATTGATGATATTGATAATGAGTATCATCATTGTATTGACACAAGACTTTATAAAAGTGTAGAGTGTAGGCGAAAAACGTCTTAATTTTGATAAACATGCATTTGCTATTGGTAAGAGCAATGCCAATGAGCATAGCAACAGCCAATATAATGACTGTCTATCCATAGATCCAAGTTGAAGATGGCATTGGCATTACATCATTCATAGTGAGATTACTTAAACTGTGTAAAGGAGCTAAAACCTCTAGAAGTTAGAACTCAATATTATCCTTAATATTGAAAATTAGTCCATTAAACAATATTGATGTTATTTATTAACTTACTGAGTTACAAATTTAAATATTGGATACGAATCACTTATACACTTAGCTACAATTAAATGTATCGTTAAACTGTGTTTATGCTACAATTGATACAGACTAAGACTCCTTATGCAAGTTCAAATAGGTTCAAACGCACAATAATTGTATTAAAATATTATTAAGTAATTCTATCACAAATAGTGAAGACTGGACCATTAAAATAGTTACAGAACAGTTTTTATACGCCCACATTTTCATTTGGACGTATTATGCCGTCGCCCCTGTCCGTCTCTCTACAGGTCACAATTCTTATCCGATTTCGACGAAACTTGAAATATAGGTTTATCCCCAAAATATCTCGGCTGCTTTCGATATTGGCATGTATCGGATCGAAACTTCATGGATTATGGCCCCTGTTTGTAGGAAAAATCACGTTTTTAGCTTGTGGACCCTATAGAGGTCACAATTTTTATCCGATTTTGTTGAAACTTGAAATGTAAGTTTATAACCCAAAGATCTCAGTTCCTTTCGATATTTGCGCACATCAGATAGTAACTTCCTAAATTATGGCCCCTCATTGTACTGAAAATCACGTTTTTAGCTCGTGGACCCTATAGAAGTCATAATTTTTATCCGATTTAAAAAAACGTTCTATTATATCACCGTTACACCCTAAGGACGACTGAGTTCGAATTTCGTGAAAATCGGCCCAAAATTGACAGACAAAATGGCTGCCGTTCGTTCTCAAATAGCGTAAAAATTATGGCCCCTCATTGTACGGAAAATCACGTTTTTAGCTCGTGGACCCTATAGAAGTCATAATTTTTATCCGATTTAAAAAAACGTTCTATTATATCACCGTTACACCCTAAGGACGACTGAGTTCGAATTTCGTGAAAATCGGCCCAAAATTGACAGACAAAATGGCCGCCATTCGTTCCCAAATAGCGTAAGAATATGGTATATCAAGGTTGTGGACCCTATAGGGGTCACAATTTTTATCCGATTTTGTTGAAACTTGAAATGTAAGTTTATAACCCAAAGATCTCGGTTCCTTTCGATATACATGCATATCGGACCGTAACTTCCTGAATTATGACCCCTGATTGTACGAAAAATCACGTTTTTAGCTTGTGGACCCTATAGAAGTCATAATTTTTACCAGATTTAAAAAAACGTATTATTATATCACCGTTACACCCTAGGGACGACTGACACCTGAATATTGCCACTCGTGCAAACTAATTCCCCAGTTGCGTGTTTCAAAATCATAAAGACAACAAAATGGCATTAATAAATAGTATGATTTATTACAATATACACAAAAATCAATAATGTCAGAGTTCAATACGTCGATGGGCGATTTCGTGACTTATTGGAATTCCCTGAAAACTATTGGAATTCGCACAAAAATCACACAACTAAACATAGTCTTCACCGTAACACTCGCGCAGTTGTTTGAATAGCCAAGTCCGAAATTTAGGCCTGTAGATCCTAATCTGGTACTGACTTGAGCATTCTGTTTCCTCAATATTATACCGTCACGACACTTATGGTTAACTTGTTCCCCAACGTGTTTCCATATAAAAATGTGGTCCTATCAATCAACCATACACATAGTTTCACATCTGGTCTACGAACATGGCCCCGATAACCTTACTGCAAATCAGTAAGAAAAACCAACAAACAATAATAAGAGGCTAAAGTCTGCTAAAGTTAGCCCCTGATCAACCTGATTGAACCTGATTGAACAATACTAGAAAGACTGATAATGAGGTACTATCCACCCTGCTTTTATACCTATATTGTGCACAAGCTGCATGCCTCAGATTGCAGTTGACAATTCAGGTGAAAATCGGCCCAAAATTGACAGACAAAATGGCCGTCGTTCGTTCTCAAATAGCGTAAGAAAATGGAATATCAAAGTTGTGGACCCTATAGAGGTCACAATTTTTATCCGATTTTGTTGAAACTTGAAATGTAAGTCTATAACCCAAAGATCTCGGTTCCTTTCGATATTCGCGCATATCGGACCGTAATTTCCTGAATTAAGGCCCCTGATTGTACGGAAAATCGCGTTTTTAGCTTGTGGACCCTATAGAGGTCATAATTTTTATCCGATTTAAAAAAACATATTATTATATCACCGTTACACCCTAAGGACGACTGAGTTTGAATTTCGTGAAAATCGGCCCAAAATTGACAGACAAAATGGCTGCCGTTCGTTCTGGAATAGCATAAGAATATGTTATATCAAGGTTGTGGACCCTATAGAGGTCACAATTTTTATCCGATTTTGTTGAAACTTGAAATGTAAGTTTATAACCCATAGATCTTGGTTCCTTTCGATATTCGCACATATCGGACCGTAACTTCCTGAATTATGGCCCCTGATTGTACGAAAAATTGCGTTTTTAGCTTGTGGATCCTATAGAGGTCATAATTTTTACCCGATTTAAAAAAAGGTATTATTATATCACCGTTACACCCTGAGGACGATTGAGTTCGAATTTCGTGAAAATTGGCCCAAAATTGACAGACAAAATGGCTGCCATTCGTTCATTTCCTTTCGATATATGCGCATATCGAATTGTAATTTCCTGAATTATGGCCCTTGATAGTAGGAAAAATCACTTTCTTGTTAGCTTGTTCTCTATCCATCTCTCGAAAATGTGGGCGTATCCTGCCTGGCAGCCGCTGGTTCTTTGTGGTAATGCGTTCTACATTTTCAAAGCCATGTTTCTTATAATGTGAAAGCCACCATGACACCGCCCCAGTTGAAATAAGTTCGGTAGGCGAGAAATTTCGCGTAGCAGTTGGGTTTCATATTGTGCAGTGAGGCTTCACCTTTATTTCATTGAGAATTGGTTTATTATATGTTAAGCTATGTGCAGTACAGTTTTGGGTCAGTTTATGTGTAAATAAAGGGAGCTATAGGCAAGTAACCTTTTTGTAGTCATTTGACTAAAAAAACTTGCTCAAAGGAACTCCGTAAGATGAACCACTACTGTGGCTGGAGTAAGGCGGAAGACATCAGTAGTGGAACCATTTCTAATACACACTCATTAGTCATTGATCATATTACATTAATGTGTGCTTTTGGAACCATTTTCGTCTATTTAATTTTAGGGTTCGAAAGAGTAGAACTATTCACCCTTTAAATTATGAAACCAGGTTCTTTTTTCTGTCCGTCCACAATTTGTTTGTGGACACTCTAAAGGTCATCATTTTTATCTGATTTTGACGAAACTTTAAATATAGGTCTATCTCCCAAAGATCCCGATTTCTTTCGAAATTGGCACGTATCGGATCATAATTTCATGGATTATTACCCCTGATTGTACGAAAAATTACACTTTTAGCTTGTGGACACTCAAGAGGTCACAATTTTATCCGATGTTTGATTTATTTGTTTATAACCCAACAATCTCGGTTCCTGTCGATATTCACCCGTATTGGACTGTAACTTCCTGGATTATAGCACTTGACTGAAGAAAAATTACTTTTTTGGTTCCTCTAAAGGCCACAATTTTTATCTGCTTTAAAAAAATGTTTGAATATTTCACTGTAATACCATAATGCTGGTTGAGTTTGAATTTCTATCCAATTGAAACGTAAAACATGTGTTTATATCCCAAAGATCTTGCTTCCTTTTGATATTTGCGCATAACGGACCATAATTTTCTTGACGCCCGACGCAAATGGTGTAAAAGTAAAAGTTACAATTTCTATCCGATTTTAATGAAACTTGAAATGAATGTTTATAACCAAAAGATCTCGGTTCCTTTTGATATTAGTGCCATAACTTCCTGAAATATTGCCCCTGATTGTACAAAAAATCAGATTATCTCTTGCAAAATGTGAGCATATCTTGCATGGCAACCGCTTGTCAGTTACCATTGTTTAAATTAATGAGAACTGAATCTCTAAATTTAAAAATTTAGGTTTGAAAATACACGAACTACAAGTGTAGCACACTGAATTAGTATTTAAATCGTATAATTGTCCATTATTGACACTTGAGACTCATGTCCAGATACATGTATAAGAGTTTCATTTTTGTCTCCAAACAGTCACAAACCTGTCACAGAATTGTTTCACATTTCTTGATCTTTCTAAATCACAAAAACTAAATGCCACTGCTCAGACCAACTCTGTGACAACTTTGAGAGAAAATCGTTTGCACGATTTTATTGAACATGTTCAAAATTCTAGCGGCACAAGAGCAAAGCCCTGCGACTCAAGCAAGGTTATTTGATTAATAAAGGGAGATAACTTGACTGGTAAAACATTGACCAGAAGGACACTGTGGAATCAATGAAAAGTGTTTGAATTTAATGTATATTTTCGTATGGTTTTGTGGCTGAAGGATAGCACATTTGAGAGGTTGGTTACATTGAAATGTAGGTTTGATAGTTATATGTTTACTAGTTTGCTAGTATCTCCCAATATATCTATCTATGGTAGCTTAAACCTATATAAATGCTTTTGAGCAAGGCGTTGCCTCATGTTGCTGTATCTGTG